CCTTCACATTGAGAGGGTTTTGTTGTAGAGAAGAGGGAGAGATCAGGAAAAGAGATTATTACAGAGGGAGGCCTTCTGGATTTGTGAACTTTTGTCTTAGTTCTTTAAATGGTATGGATGAGGATCTCAGTCTCAATTGTTTTTATAAAGAAAGCTAGATTTTATCAGTGTGTTTTCTTTAGAAATGGTTTTTGATGTTTATGTGTTTGATTTCTATCTTTGGTATGGAGTATATCCTCTAGATGTTGTCCTGTCACTTTAAGTAGTCCTTCACCGAACCTACGCCAGTAAAAGCAATTTGTTTGGGGCTTCAAAAAAGAAGTAGGCTAAAAAGTTGCTTCATGAGTATCAATGACAGTAAAAAGACAATCTTTTACCTGGTTTGTGTCAGGTTTTTGTACTCTATTTAATAAATAATACATTAATTTTTTTCTTTGCCAGACTAGTCAGATTTTTCACTGTTCTAGAGAGACTGTTGGGTGAAGCAGAGACAGGAGTGATCCCCAAGACTCTGACTCAAATGTTCACCCACTTTCTGATCTTTCAGATAAAACACAAGGTCCAAAAGTACCATGAAAACTGTGATATTGATCCTCAGCAGACCAGAGAGACTATTCTGGCACTGGGAGAACTGGCTTTCCAACAGCTGGAAAAAGGAAACCTGATCTTCTATGAGGAAGACCTGAGACAGTGTGGCATTGATGTCAGAGAAGTGTCAGTGTACTCAGGAGTTTGTACACAGATCTTCAGAGAGGAGTTTGGGCTGCACCTAGGGAAGGTGTTCAGCTTTGTGCACCTGAGTGTTCAGGAGTTTTTCGCTGCTTTATTTGCATTTCTCTCTTTCATCAGCAGAGATGGAGCAAAACAGCTGACCACTGACCTCTCTAGTATTTTAAAAGAATCCAAAATGTCAGACTTCCTCAAGTCTGCAGTGGACAAGGCCTTACAGCGTGAGAATGGACACCTGGACCTTTTCCTCCGCTTCCTTCTGGGCCTCTCACTGGAGTCCAGTCAGATTCTTTTACAAGGCCTGCTCACACAGACAGGAAGCAGCTCTCACAGCAAAGAGGAAATAGTCCAGCACATCAAGGAGAAGATCAGGGAGAATCCCTCTCCAGAGAAAACAATCAGTCTGTTCCACTGTCTGAATGAACTGAATGATCATTCTCTGGTTCAGGAAGTCCAATCATACCTGAACAGAGGAGGTTCCAGTGGTCTAAGTGGAACTAAACTCTCTCCTGCTGAGTGGTCAGCTGTAGCGTTTGTGATGCTGAATTCAGAAGAGGAACTGGATGAGTTTGACCTGAGGAAATATGATCCATCTGAAAAATGTCTTCTGAGGCTGCTGCCAGTGGTCAAAACATCAAAAAAAGCTTTGTGAGTACCACATTGTTTTTTCAATGTAAATTGGGATCAATGGATTCTACTTTTATATGTATTGATTTCTCTTTCTTTTCATGATATTTTCATGTTACTGTCCAAGTTAATAAGTCAGAGACATTTTTTGATCCAATCTGAAGGATCTGTCATGGTTTCCTGGGCTAGGATCTGCACTTTACTGTTTCTGCCTCTTCTCTCTTGTCTCCTTATAATCTTTGCTCGGCCTGCTTATTATGTTTGTAACCACTCCATGGGCGCCGACTTGGGTTAAACATTGAGAGGGTATTTTGACTAATTCTAGTTCAGCATTTTCCTGGAGCCTGCTTTTGTGGTTGGTGCACTGTTCAATTTTATGCTAATGAAGAGCACAATATTAGGTGCAGCTTTACCTCACTGATGTTTACTAACAGCAATACAAAAGGGATTTTAAGCATTGATTTTTTTAGGGATGGATTCAGAGGCCATACATAGTTTCTTGAACATTGAAACTGCAGAAATAAAAAATAAACAACAAATAAAATCATTCAAGTGTTGACAAACTAAGATCATCAGAAGAATCAGAAAAACTAAGATGATAAAGCTAATTTGATGCAGTCACTCTGCTCTTGCTCTAGTCTCTTGGAACTTTATGAGCATAGTCAGTAATACCTCACTGGTATACCCTTTTTTGCTGTGGTAAGTCAATACCGGCATGATAGAATTTTTTGATAAATGTAGCCATCTCTACATATTTAAAATCTGTGGCTTCAGTCTATTCCTTGCCATCACATATGTTTCAGACTGTTGAATGCGGGGGAGTAAAGCCTCAGTGTTCCTCCATTGTTGGAGCCTATCTAACAAGTTGTAATGATTGTTATTGCTAACCTCTTAATTTTGTTTACTGAGTATTATTAAGTTGTGTGAACAGTCCTGCCTTTTATATCGTTAGTTCTTGCATTTTCCCTGTTGTGTTGTTCCTTGTTTCAACTTGTTCTTTAGTTTTAACCCTATGAAAACAAAAATCTAGTCAGTGATTCATTCCAAGCTTTTGGTAGTGTTACCTTCAACTCAGAATAGTTGATTTACTTGGAAATATGTGTCTGTTGCATACTTCACCTGTGAAATATGTGTGACTTTTCTGTAAGAAAAGAAGAGAAGAGAGGGCAAAAGCCATATTTAAACTTTATACCAGCATTATAAGAGTGCCACTCCTGGACAAAATTATCTAGTAGCTGTAAAGGGGCAGTCGTGGGCCAGAGGGAACCAGCCTTGTGACCAGGTTGCTGGTTTGATCACCTGAGCTGACAGTACATGACTGAAATGCTCTGGAGCAAGGCACCTAACCCCCAACTGCTCCCTGGGCGCCGTGGATAGAGCTGCCCACCACTCTGGGCAAGTGTGCACACTGCCCCTAGTGTGTGTGTGTGTGTGTGTGTGTGTGTGTGTGTGTGTGTGTGTGTGCGTGTGCATGCTCACTAGTGTGTATGTGGTGTTTCACTGCATAGATTTCCTAATAAGGGTCACTTAACTTAAAGTTTGTACCTAAATATTAAACTATTTTCCTCCCCATTTTGGAGTGGTGTTTTGAGAGAAAGGTATGAGGCAATTCTTGGAACCTCACTCCAATGTAAACTAAAAGAAACATACAGAACAAAAAAGGATATAAATAATAAAATATGATTGCACTTGATGCTTCCATACATGATAATACTAAAAAACTGGATCAGCATATGGAATTGTAGCTTTCTATGAGCTGTCTTGATTCCTATCACTGTATAAAAAGAAAAGGTACATGCTGCCTTTAATGTTAGATCCTCTGCAATATGATCTGTGTACATACATTAAGAATAAAACTCACATTGCTACGTAAACACTTACAATTGATGTGGAATTATCATCACTTAATTATATCACTCGGTTAATTTAATGACATAAGAACAGTTATCACAGGTGGGGAGGGGATCTCCCATTAGCTTCAGTTTAACAAACAATACCTCTGGGGTTCAGGTGAATTGCCAGTAATAGATTTAAAAAAAATGAACAAAAAATGTATTATCACAATTATGCATAAGAAACATATTTAAAAAAAAAATTAAATGCAGAGTCCAATGCCATCCACGAGTCCAACAAAGAAAAACAGAATAAAATTGTCCCAAAGTCCTCTCTGACTGCAGCACCTTCAGTCAGTCATGACATTTTAATCATTTTAATCAGATAATTATGGTTTTGGTTTTAGTCTAGTTTTAGTCAATGGAAATTTCAGTCTAGTGTAACTCAATTAAATTTCTAAAATATTTAGTCTGATTTTAGTCATGCATTTTTAAAAGTTTCACTATTTTAGAGGTATTACGTTTTACAAGAGCTATACAAAACAAGGGTTATAGTGTTAAAAAGCCAATGATAGCATGAAGCCACGCAAATGTTGCCATTCTGATTGCGGTGCTGGCAAAAATTAGATTATCAGAGGAGAGCTATATCAGTATAGACTGTTTAAGATCCACATTTAATATCAATACATTTACAATGCTCTAGTTATTACTCACTAAGTAATAGTTAATAATTAAAATGGCAGCATGTATATATGCAAAAGAAAAGGTGTTATGGTTAATTTACATATTTAAAACTAACTACCATGTAATAATTAAGTTGCTATTTAAAGGATGCTGTTATTTTGTTGTATTAAAAATATGCATCATGGTCCTTGCTGCCTCACTACAGAATCAAGATCAGAGCAAATCCAAGTACATTCACTGGATTAGGTATCTGCTATATTAAATGAATGATTCTCATATGAAAATTCCAGTAATGTCTGTAGGCATTTGAGATTGTTGGTGTTTAATAGCAGAGGCTGTATTTTGGCAACCCTCCCAAACAGCTTCTGGCTATGCATGTGTCATCTGATTATATTCTGCAATTCTCTAGCTGTGATCCTTGGAAATTCTTTGGTCACTCAAACGTTTCCCAGTAGATTCCTACATATTCATCTGCTTTAAACTTGTCAATTATTGCCCTGATAGTGGAAATGGGCATTTTAGTAATGGTTTAGCCATTTTTTTTAGCCATTTCCTAATTTATGCAGCTCAAAAATGTTTTGTCACATATCATTGCTGTATTCTCTGGTGATGGATAATTAAGAGAATCTGACCTGTGTATCTCTTCATGTTTGTACACCAGTGAAACAAAATCTTTTTACAGCCTATGTTTACCAGGGGTCTATAAATCAAGGCATGTTTGGTGTCCAAAGTTTTATGTATAATATCTTATTGTAAATAAAATATTATCCATTCTAAATAACATTAACCGCATCTATCCAAGATTTTTATTTTTTTAATCTACTACACACAAAAGATATTTTTGGGGTTGAAATGACTATTCATATTATCCATATTATTCAGCTGCTGAATAATATTACTAAGCATTCTGCACACATCACACCAATTGTCCATCAGCAAAATGATTAAATATTTTTTAATTGTAGTAAAGGAAAAACAACTTTGAATATGAGAAAGAAATATTTGGCTACAACATCTGTGTACTTATATCTAGATAAAAAGAAAATGTAACATGAAGAGTAATCCCACTCCATTTTTATTCCCCTTATTTAAACTGTACTATGTACTGTATTTACTCTGCCTTTACAGACTAGCTGATTGTAATCTCACTGCAATGTCCTGTGAAAAACTGTCATCAGCTCTACATTTAGTTAATTCCTCCCTTAAAGAGCTGGACCTCAGTAACAATGACCTGCAGGATTCAGGAGTGGAGCTGCTGTCTGCTGGACTGAAGAGTTCACACTGTAAACTGGAGAGACTCAGGTGAGTTTTCTGCAAAGTGGATCTTTAATGATAAATGTTAAGCACTTACATTTAAAATGTTTTTCAGAAACGAGCATTCATACATTCAAAGTTGTCAGCTTTTGGCGAAATTTGCCATTTTGGATGATAAATACACTACACTGTAAAAGTGGAACAGGGTAGAAGTTAATTTAAAGTGTTTTGTGAGATTTAAAATATGTCAAACTGCTTGTTAGCAGAGAAAGTACATGTTTAGGTTGATCTGACAAAATATTTTTGCAGTATCAATAGACTCCTCTTATTCAAAGTTCAGTTGCTAAGATTCTTACATACACTAAGTGTTCTGCACACATCATACCAATAATACATCAGCAGCATGATGAATGTAATTTCTAAGGAATTGTAATTGTTAAGCAACTTTAAATGAAACTCTTGAAGAACTATCAGGGTTTTATCATCTGCTGTATTTATTTCTAAATAAAGGAACACAAGGAAAGTAATGTCTGTCCATTCTCCTGATTTAAATGCACCATGTTCTGTATTTACTCTGTCTATGCAGACTTGCTATATGTAATCTCACCACAACATCCTGTAAAAAACTGTCATCAGCTCTACAAAAAGTAAACTCCTCCCTTAAAGAACTGGACCTCAGTAACAATGACCTGCAAGATTCAGGAGTGGAGCTGCTGTCTGCTGGACTGAAGAGTTCACACTGTAAACTGGAGATACTCAGGTGAGCTTTCTGTATATTAGGTCTTTAATAATAAATAATAAGCTTACATTTATTATATGACTGTTTTTCAGGAATGTATTTTCAGGAATGAATTTCTAACTAGGTTTTGTACCTCTGCTACGTGGGCTGACTGATTTCTGTCTGAGATTAGCTCAATCAATATTTTGTCATTTGTAATTTTTATGATGGTTTAAGTATCATGTGCAAGTACACAGTTGTGTGGGTAAAGGGAGTAGAAGATGGGACTCCTGTGGTGTGCCAGTGCTCAGTGCTATTGTAAAGGAAAGGTGGGTACCATCTGTGGGCAGTCTGGTAGAAAGTCCAGAGCTCAAACCTTGGTTATATAGTTTGGAGGATATCTTGCTGGGGATCACAGTATTAAAAGCAGAGCTGTAGTTGATGAATAACATAACATTCTGATGTTTGTACCCTGTTTTTAAAGATGAGTCAGGACAGTGTAAAGTGCAATGGATATGCAACGTTGTTATGTAACGGAATACAAGTGTTGGGAATACATCTGAAAATTACAGAAATTAAGTACATATGATCATCTGAAGTTACATTTTGTAAATGCAGTATTCAGAAAACAGTTACCTTTAAAATTGTGGGTGAATACTTTTAAAATACTTAAACTAAATTTATATAAATACTAATCTTTATACTATCTTTAAATCTAACTATACTATATAAAGACTATCTATAGCACAATTTTAAAAACAGCTTTACAAATACTGTTCTCACTTTTATACTTTTTAGATTTTGTTATGGAGATATCGTGAATTGTTTGCTTAGTTCATGAGATGGTAGTTGGACTATGGGAGCAGCAGTGAGCTGAAGCAACTGAAGCAGGCTGAGCCTGAGTGAACTGAGAGCCAAAATAATGTTGAGAATTTTAATCTCTGTTTTGTCCTTATTTAACTGAGGAAAATGATGTGCCCCATATATTGGCAGAGAGAGTCTGTTGGACTGTAATGATATGGTGAGAGAGTGAGGAATAGCTGTGTATCATCTACATAACTATGGTAACCATTGTTGTCATTCTTTTGGAGTCATGGGGGTGAAGAGCAAAAAGAAGGTTGTCCTATCATTTTTTAATTCCAGTCCAGCTTAGCTGAGCACCATCCAGCCTTAAAATAGTATGTAAATGCCATCTCTTACTCTTTTTCCTTCCTTCCTGCAGATTGTCTGGTTGTATGATTACAGAAGAAGGCTGTTCTTCTTTGGCTTCAGCTCTGAAATCAAACCCCTCTCACCTGAGAGAACTGGATCTGACCTATAATCACCCAAGAGAGTCTGGAGTGAAGCTTCTCTGTGATCTACTGGAGGATCCACACTACACACTGGAGAAACTACAGTGAGTTATTGACTTACTGCCTCTATACAAAGACTGACTGTAAGTATACATATTATACACATTACTGACCATAATATTTTACTGTATATGTGTTTGTCTTTATGATAAGGTGGTGAATTTGAAATGTTTTTCTGAACATGACTATAACTAGCATGAGGACACTGAGGTCTGGAGCTCAGTAGTTTTGAAACCGTTTATGAGATTTAATGTAAATAAAGTGATGAGACTGCACAATCAGCAGTGACTGGTTCTCAGCTGACCTCAGAACAGTTGTGGTTTGGTCATAGACTTAACTGCCTACTTTATAAACATCTAGAAATAAACAATACATATTTGACACACATCTCTTATCAGGGATTACAGTGTCATATCAGTTGTCTAATTATTAACCAGAATATATTTTATTATATGTACATATTGGACAAAACTTTAAGCTCTTAGAAAATGACACATCTCAGTAATTCACTGTGATAATTTGTGTACTAGGCTTGGGCAGTATAACGATTAGTTCGTCCCTGCACAACCTTACATTGCCACGATGGTGATGGTAATATTGAAAATTATATTAAATCACTAATTGTTAGTTTTTTTTTTCTTGTTAGTTTTGCATTTACTATTAGGAAGCTTGTTAGAATAGTTTTTTAAACAGGCTTTGTGACCTTGTGATGAACCCATCTGTTGTGACCGTAATTAAAGAATATGGCAACCAATAACAGCTCCAGCTGAGTGGCAGCTGTCGTAGTCAGCCAGATCTGGCTGAGTTGTTTTGGACACAAACCCAGCACTGAAGAATTCTATAAAAACCGAGAGCACTAATTTCTCTCAGCTGTATTTTGTATTCAGTTGAGCTGTGTGTGTTTGTGTTTTATACGTAATGATCTGTTTTATTCTTTATTTTAGTTTAGTTTTATCTGTACCGTAAGGTCTGAGGAGTGTTTTATATCATAATGATCTGTTTTATTCTTTATTTTAGTTTAGTTTTATCTGGACTGTAAGGCCTGAAGTGTATAAATGTGTATGAAATGTGTGTGATTGTTCTTAGGGTGGATCATGGAGGGAAGATCAGGATGAAACCAGGACTAAAGAAATGTAAAACACACACACACACACACACACACACACACACACACACTGCATAAATTAAAATTCTCTCTATGTTTTCTGTGATCTGTGTGTGTGTGTGTTTGTGTGTTTACAGATGTGTGTGATCTCACTCTGGATCCAAACACAGTGAACAGTGAACTCTATCTATATAAGAGTAACAAAAAGGTGGAGTGGGTATGGAAGGATCAGCGTTATCCAGGTCATCCAGACAGATTTGATGTCTGGTCTCAGGTTCTGAGTGTGGAGAGTCTGACTGGACGCTATTACTGGGAGGTTCAGTGGAGTGAAGGAGTTGAAATATCAGTATCATACAGAGGAATCAGGAGGAAAGGAGGCAGAGATGACTGTGGGTTTGGATTTAATAATCAGTCATGGAGTCTGAACTGCATCACAAACAGTTACTCTGTCTGGCACAATAAAAAAAGAACTGACCTACCTGCCCTCCCCTCCCCCTCTAACAGATTAGGAGTGTATCTGGACTGGGAGTCTGGCACTCTGTCCTTCTACACCATCTCCCCTAACACACACACACTAACCCACCTACACACATTCACCACCACATTCACTGAGCCACTCTACGCTGGGTTTGGAGTTTATTATACTCATTCCTCAGTGAGTCTTTGTGAGATAGAATAATCTCTACAGAGAGAGAGAGAGCGACAGAGAGCGAGAGAGAGAGACAGAGAGAGAATTTTTTGAGTGGCCTTGCTTTTGTGCTACCAGTCACAACAGAGATTCTTGATGGGGTGGATCCTGGCTTATACTGCATATAAATTTGAGTTTGGACACTTCGGTCTCAAAGATCTTGTGTCAATTTTCCACTGATGACAAGTGAGGACTGCTGGGCTTGTTGCTGGGGCAGTAGTCTCAGAACTTTATCAGTTGGTGAACAAGGCCGTGGAGGGTGAGTTGGTGTGCTGGCAGATGGGGGTAGAAGAGCTGGTCATTTTTTAGGTGAGGCTTTAGGGCTGGCTGAAACAGAGAGAGAAAGCCTAGTCCCAACACACACAAGTTCCTCTGTCTTTGCAGAAAAGCCCAGATAGGGTGAGAATGAGATGGTTGAGGAAGAGGCTGAGTCATGAATGTGATTTAGGTCATCACATTTTGTCAGCTCCATACAGTGTTCATCCTCAGGTCTTTTGTCAGCATAGTATGAGCCGTCTAGTATCCGTACGTGGAGAAGGCTGAACTGTTTTTTCCTCTGAGGGTTGCTAATGGCACAGCTGCTGGGAGTCCTCTTGGGGTGATGAATAGGGAAGTTCATCATGGGTTTCAGATGGCTGAGGTTGTGGCATATCAATCTTTTTCCATGTTGAGTGTCATGTGGGTGTTCTCATAGGGCTGAGACGAAATAGCCCAGTCATCCTGGATGAGACTGGATTCCTGTGTGTTGACTTCAGGAGAGGGAACAAACAGATGTTAAAGGGAGAAACTAAGATTTTCCTAGTAGTTTTACCTTGAGTCTGTTTGGGTGAATGCTGTGTCTAGAGAGAAAAAATCCTGTGCCCCCAAAACAGGTTAAAGTTGTCTATGTAGCTCAGCCCCTTTAAGCTACAGGTTCTCTGAAACCATGTATTCAGTGCCAGCAGATGTAAAAACGTAATCTCAGTAAGCTGGCAGCGTCCTGTAGCATTTACTGGAATTGACGAAGCTAATGTCAATTTTAGGGAAACGCTCCATTTGGATTTGAGCTTTGTCTCTACTGTAGAACATTTGGTTGAGACTGCTGGTGGCTGTTTCTGGTGTAAAGGCTCTGTACGGTGGTTCTGTTTAAGGTCCACTGTATGTGCTATAGCTAGCACATGCTGCTGCCCTGTTTAAGTTGTTTGACTCACCGCTACACAGCTGCATGGTCTTGATTTGCCAAGAGTTCTGGAAACACATTGAGAATTCTGGTTTCGAGTTTGACAGTTTTCTGAAGATGTCTGTGGCAGTTTGAGCAGCAGGAACAGCTAGAGTCCTTTGGAGCCATGCTGGTCAAAAACAAGAAAAATATCTGCTTTTGGCTACATAGTACTCTTGACCTTTCTATATATTTAACAAGATCAAACACTGAAAGATAGCAGAGCTAAGCAAAGAAGCATCTGAATAGCACAACGCAGTCTTAAAACAGATTGACATTTTTATTTTATATTAAAGATTTAGAAGATGTGTTTATTCTTTGCTAATACAGATTGAGAAGTTATTTATTCTTTATTAATAAACATGGAGATGTGTTTATTTTTTTAATAAAGACTGAGAATGTATTTCTTTATTCATATAGATTGAGAAGATAATTTTTTATTCCTTGTTAATAAAGACATGTTTTTATTCTTTATTAATACAGATTGAGATGTGTTTATTCTTTATTAATAAAGATCTAAAGAGAAACCTGTGAGAAGAAACGCAGACTGATAAAGCTGATGACAATTTATAGATTAAACATGCTGTCAGCTGCAGTTTGGGGTAAAGCATGAGACACAACCAAATTAAATAAATACTAATTAGTATAATATTATAATTAGTTAATATATTAGTTAATCATTTTGTATTATAGCTATTAGATCAGTATTTCATATTTATCACAACACACACACAATAACTACTGTTTACACATTTCTGTACATGAGAGTCCACTAAAGGAGAATTCCACCCATTTTTTCAAAACTCCCCCATAATTCAATGTGTCAGATGTAAACAGAGTGATTCAGAGTGGTTTGATGTGAAAGGGTTCAGATTTCTTTACAGTGGTGGTGATAGGAACCGTGCGTCACCATGACTTCCACACAATTGCAGCTATTTTATTTACAATCCAAAACCATCAGTGAACCTACACGTGTCTTCTGAGCTTTTACATAGAATGTTGATGATGGTAAAAAGTGGAAAATCTGAAATAATATATTTTCTTTGGGGACTATTTTGCCTACCCTGCATTTATCCCTCCACTATGAATGGAGTTTAAACTATATTTTAGGCCAAGTGATCACATCAGAGCCATCGTAAAACAATGTCTCAGACATCAGGTAGTCAATTCATAACCATTTCATGTAATAACTTTCTGTGAGGGAGCTTTTAGAGGTGGACTTCAGTAAGTTTGTCTAAAATGGAGCATTTCACACTAAATCACTCTGAATGACTCTGCTGCTGGGGTTACTCTACTATCCACTAAAATTAGTTCACTTTACTGTACAGATCATGCAGATTTATTACCTCCAAACAATTCAGTACAGTTACTGAACAAGTTGGAGCTTAAATAACTTTATATATGAGTTATAGTTCCTTTGATCTCCAGTGATATCCAGTGATCCAGAGTCCACTGAGCTGCTGTCTCTACTTTCACACTCTGATTAATCTTTAATTAGTCAGAGTAACTAGATTAACTCAGAAACTCAGGATTAGACGAGGAATAATGTGTTACTAGATTTGTATCAGTAACTTAAAAAATAGTAAAGTAACACACAAATCTGAGTGAGGTTATTTATGATGTTTTACAGGGATCCTCAGTGGGGGTCTCTACAGTGTTTTGTTTTTCTTACCCTCGTTCTGATATCCATCCTTATTCCCGCACTGCTCTCTGGATGAACAAATAAGCTCCGTAACCTGATAGCTCACTATTTAGCAGGCAAACTAGCTTGAGTGTTTGCACTGAGTCATGGGTAAAGTTGGTCAGAATCACCACATTATCATCTGACTGTCACGCGTTTCAATGAAGTGGATAAGAAACTGAGAGGAGAGAAAAATCAGTTTAAGTGAAATTGCAGTGTGTGTGTCACATGCTCATGTACTGTCTTAAATTATAGAACTACAAAATTACAGCATAATTCAATCACTCAGAAATAAACAGCATCTATAAATAAGCATCTGACATGGGCAAAAAAGTACTGCTCTCCTAACACCAAGGGCTGAACAAAAAAAATCCATCCCTGTGCATTTTCCCCAGTAGAGCAGAACTACAGCATTGGGGACAAGGAACTGGAGTCACTGGCTGGAGGGGGCCAAACCTGCTCTACATACAACAGGCCAAGCGACAGAACCCCTGATGGCCCAGTGGGCTTTCTTTTTTGGTCACTTCCACTTCCTCTTTTTTCCGCATTAGCTGGGTTCCTACCCCCAGGACTGATTTGCTGATTCCAGCACCTTCATGGTCTCACATCTCCTTGGACTTCGTGATGTGCCTACCGCCTATATTAAGCAAGTATGAGAAAACATTTCACTTTTAAAACTATAGCAGTGTCTCCTCAGTTGCCAAATGCTTACAGAGTGTTGTTAGAAGAGGAGGTGACACAACACAGCAGTGAACATGCAGCGTTGCAACTTTTTTGGAACATGCTGGCATCAAATTCAAAACGGGCATATATATATAATTTCTCAGTTTCAACATTTGATGTGTTGTCTTTGTATTATTTTGAATTAAATATAGGATTTAAATATTTGCACATAATTGCATTGTGTTTTTATTTACATTTTTCACAGCATCACAACTTTTTTGGAAGTGGGGTTGTGATATGCAAGTAGGAGAAATTAATTATAACAGTTACGTTTGTAGAAGTAAGGTAAAAAATACCCGGCCTCTCTGCAGTGGTTACAATGTACTCAGTTTCTGAATTAGCTTTGTAGGGCACCAGGTTTGTGGAGCTTAACTGTGTGTTTTGAATTTTATGCTTGATTCTTTCAATTTTTATTGAAGAAATTCATAAAATCATTGCTGCTCTTGGCTGATGGCATCTGGGGTTCAGTAGCTGTTTGGTTTTTAGTCAATTTAGAAATTGTGGTAAATAATAAATTAGGATTAATCTTATTATTTTCAATTAAAGAGATAGCGTGCTGCAGTAATTGCTCTTCTATAGTCTATAAGGCTATCCCTCCAGGCGGACTGGAACACTTCTAGTTTAGTCACGCATGATTTTTGCCCTAATTGTCTGACAGTCTGTTTTAACGTTTGAGTATGTTTATTGTACCATGGGGCAAGAATGAAAAGTATCCTCTAAGCATTCAGTCATCCTATCTAATTTGGTAGGTTCAGAGGACAGCTGATAGATGCTGACAGACAAGTAAATTAATTTCATATGACATTAGGTAATAATCTGAGATAGATTTGCTCTGGAGGATAATGGCTAAATGATCTACGTTTACACCAAAGGTCAAAATTAAGTCAAGAGTGTGTTCGCAATAATGACAGAACTATATAACATTTTCAGTGAAACTAACAGCCCCTGGATAGACACAAATGCCTTACTTAGTGGATCCTGTGGTTTATCCAAGTGGATATTAAAATCTCCAACAACAATAATTACTTTATTTGAGAATGTCATTAAACTTGATAGAAAGTCAGCAAATTCCTGTAAGTACTCAGAGTACCCCCTGTGGTCTGTAGATTGTAATTAGTGAAAGTGAATTCTTATTTGTCCCAAGATCACTTGTTTTAAGAAAAAGAATGTCAGAAGAAGAGAATTTGTAGCCCACTTTCTGAGTAATGTCTAAATCATTTGTATAAATGATTGCTATACCTCCACACCAGCCGCTTAAGTGAGGGCTATGAACATTATTGTAGCCTGTGGGGGTGGCTTCATTTAGAGCAAAGTTTTCGTCAGGTCTATACCACGTTTCTGTGAGGCACAGAGCATCAAAATCATGATCAGTAATAAGTTAATTTACAATGACCGCCTTAGATGTGAGAGGTCTTGTCTTAAGAAGTTTTAGCCCAAAGGTGCTATCATTGCAAATTGGTTTAACTCGTCTGATATTGATTAGTAGAAAAGGTTTTCTGAAATTTTGTTTGATTCAGGAAACAGACACAGTCTCAATTGCAAGGAGCGTCTGTGGCATCTCAAGGCAGACAGCAGATAGTTGGTTTAGCCTGTCTGTCTGTCTGCTGCCTGGCCACGGTCCTGGTGTAACATGGTCATTCTGAGACAGGATCAAACTCAGACCTCCTTGTGGAGGAGGCTAGTGTAAACTCAGTGAGCCACCACTGGAGAACAAGGGTGGGACTCAAGTGCAGGGCACAACATACAGAGGACTCAAGAAAGAGATCTGAGACTAAACTCAAGGAGCCTCTACCAAAATTACCAGCCAGCCTGCTGCCAGAACTCTGAAACACCAGGACTGAGCACAAGACTCTGGGTGAGCTTGGCTTATGAAGGGTGGACATGGCTGGCCAGGTTACCACATGTGGCCCAGCCCGGGGCTGGTCCCCAACACCTGGTTTGTCAGCAACTGACTGTCTCACACTGGTGGCTATCTAAGAAACTATATGCTATGCTAAAAGAAAAGAGGGGTGGATCCTGACCAGGCTTGCCCTTAAAGGTAGACCAATTATCTACAAAGCCCATTTTGTTTTCTGTGCACCACTTGGAAAACCAGCAGCTCAGTGGCCATAACCTGCTGTAGATTTTGGTGCCATATCAAAGTGGGATAGGGCCAGAGCATATTATGGCATTGGACGTTGTCTGTGCTAATTCACATGTATCTTTAATATTAGCATTACTTATTTCAGACTGCTGCAGATGAACATCTTTAGTATCTACATGAATGACTATCCTCAAATACCTATGGCTAGCTAACAGCTTCAGGTTCCCTCTAATGTTCGGTGCCTTGGCTCTGAGTATACAGCTAACTGCTACTGGCACCCCTGAAGGAGAAGCTATGTTCATGTGCTGTAAAATGGAATCACCTATAACCAGAGCTCTTTCAATAGGGCTGCGTTCAGCCCCAACAAAACATAGCAAAAAGTTTATTTAAATGGAAACGGTGGTGTGTTGAACATTCCGTTGTGTTATATAAGTGTTGCGATGATGGGAGTTGCGGAGGCAATTCTTGTCATTCTTATTGAAGAATTTTCAGAGCTTGATGAAACAGGTTTAATACTTCAAAAACATATACTTCTAACATCTTCAACAGTTGCGTACACCAAGCTGGAGCTTATCAGGATCCATTGTGTCCACTGCCTTTTTAATACGGCACGGTTTTGTAGTGGGTTACTTTAAGTCAGATTTACTACAGTTAAGCAACACACTAGCTCTATCTAGGCTCAAAAGAGAGGGAACAGTAAGCAGAGTAGGCAATACGCTTATAAATGCTAATGAATTGGATTTTTCACAGAGTGCACATGTAGCTTTAGTTTGTTCAAAGAACACAGCCATTCAAAATGAATTTAAATTTAAACTTCCTAGTAACCAAAAGTTTAAATGGGTTACAATTTATTTACACATCACTGCTGATTTTGTAACACCTCTGACACGCCCATCAAACCAGAGAAAATATACCTCAAAGCCCGCTGCACACCATTTTAAACCATTGTTACAAAACATGTTGTTCAACCCGGAAACCAAAGCAAAACAGTGTGCAACGTTTTACAATTACATCGTATTTATACGCATAAATATATGCTGTAATAGGTCAGAGTGGCAGAGCAAGCAGTGACCCATTTAATGAGTACTAAAGTCACCAAACAGACAGTGAGGGGATGTTTCATATTGAAGCTGTACTTTTGCAGAACTTTAATAACTGAACTTAATTATCGAAAGATCAAAATGAAGACAAACTGTTCTCAAGTACACGTCACTCTGAAACTATGAAATAAATTAACAAAACATTGTGTGTGTGCTTCAAGAATTAATTACGTGAAGCGTTTGAAGCCAGTGCACAATAATGACACCTGCTGGTTAAACACATGAACAGCAGCTCTAAATCTACTCTGCCCTGGGGATGTTTTAGAATAAAAGTCCAAACGATCTCTCTAATTCCACCTGCTAGTTTATGGTTAAAAAGAAAGACATCAGCTATTGACACTTAAGTGCAGAGAATAAAATTATTAGCATTGTTTATTCAAAATGTACACATATTTACTGAAACTGTATTTATTTTAAAAAATAAATACACAATTGTAAAGTCTAAATAAAGGCCAGATCTAGCAGTAAAGTACAGAGATGATTTTTTTTAATTCAATTTAAGACAAAAGAAAGGAAAATAACCATCCTCGGCACAATGAAACACATTCATTCACATTCTGACACACTTAGAACATGTTATTATATCACAACATGCACATTAATAAACATAACATTTAACAGATTGTTAATACATCTATACAAAGATGGATGGATGAATGAATCCAGAACAAATATTGCATTTCTACATCTACAGTGAGACACTGATATGATGAGAAAGAAACTAAATGTCTTTATGGACTGAACTGTAGCTCGATCTTTCATTCTTTTACTGCATCCCTCTTTTGTTTTCCTTTTTCCACCAGCATCTGCCACTTCTCTCTATTTTTTGTACAACCATCCTTTAAAGGAGAACAAGATTCAAACAGACTGGACAGGGCCTATAAGAGAGAGAGACAGACCGAGAGAGAAAATACAGTGGGAGAGAGAGATATAAAGGTAATGTAAGAGAGAAAGTGATTACTGAAAGATGGTGATAATAAAAAAATAAAAGCTTTTAATGTGTCTTGTGCTGAAAGAGAGTCTCACCCCATACAGCGGTGAACAGACAGAGTCGATGTACTGGACCTGCAACTCAGCTAAACGAGTGCTGTTCACTCTGTCCATCACAGCCTGACAAAAAACACCAACAGATTGAACGTTACAGAAGTTAGTCGTGTTTAGTTTCAGATCATAACCTGTTCATGCTTACGACTGGCTGAACGTTACTGAAGTTAATTGTGTTTAGTCTAAGATCGTGAACATTTCACACATACAACTAGCTGAACGTTGCTGAAGTTAGACATGTTTAGTTTCAAATCATGAACTCATGTTTATGACTGGCTGAACGTTACTTGAAGTTAATTGTGTTTAGTCTGAGATTGTAAACAGTTCACACTTACGTCTGGCCGAATGTTACTTGAAGTAGTTGTTTTCAGTCTGAGATAACGAACTTTACCTATGTTAATTGTGTTTTGTCTGAGATTGTGAACAGTCTACGCTTTTTACTTGCTGAGCATTGCTGGCGTTGAACATTGAATCATGTTGAATCATGAACAGTTCACACAACTGGCTTAACTTACTGACATTGGCCGATTTCAGTCTGAGATCATGAACAATTCAGACAGTTGAAGTTAGACGTGTTTAGTTTCAGATTGTGAACATTTCACACTTACAACAAGCTGAACATTATTGCCATTAATTGTGTTTAGTCTGAGTTTGGGAACAGTTTACGCTTATGATTGGCTGAGCGTGACTGGCATCAGTCGGGTTCAGTCTGGGATCATGAACAGTTCACACGACTGGCTTAACTTACTGACATTGGCCGATTTCAGTCTGAGATCATGAACAGTTCAGGCTTACGACTGACTGAACATTACTGAAGTTAGACGTGTTTAGTTTCAGATTGTGAACATTTCACACTTACAACTGGCTGAACATTACTGGAGTTAATAGTGTTTAGTCTAAGATTGTGAAAAGTTCACACTTATGACAAGCTGAACATTATTGCCATTAATTGTGTTTAGTCTGAGTTTGGGAACAGTTTACGCTTATGATTGGCTGAGCGTTACTGGCATCAGTCGGGTTCAGTCTGGGATCATGAACAGTTCACACGACTGGCTGAACATTACTAAAGTTAGTGGTGTTAAGACTGACATCATGCACAGTTCAAACTTACGTCTGGCTGAATGTTGAATTCACGTTTCTCTCGGTCTCCTTGTGCAAAGAATTCTTCTGCAACCAGCCTTGCAATCTGTCAACGAATCACAAACATATGTAAATGTGTGTATGTGTGTGTGTATATGTGTGTGTGTGTGAGTTTGTGTGTGTATCTTACTCGTTTTTGTTCTTTCCAGGGTTTGGTGATTGCACACACATCACAGGCCGTCATCAACACCGACCTGTTACACACACACACACACAACGTTTATTCATTTTTTTTCTGCTGAAAACTGAAAGCTGCTGTAAAACACATATAGCTCTCTTGTTCGGCTGTGACAATAAACAAATTTGACAAACCTGGACAAATTTACTTAGAAATATTGTCATTGTTTTACATTAAACATGTTATATATTTTATATTTAAGACACATGTTCAGTTTCTAGTTCCACAAGGAGGGGCGACAAAACCTTGCAGCGTTTTCACAGAGTCTTACAGGGAAACACTAAAACAGAATTTTACAGGAAAATATTTTTAAAAAATGTTATATTTTGGGGTTGAATCAGAGCCCCGAACTCCACTCAGCACTGCTGTAGAGCCTTCATTAGATCTGTAGATCAGTCTTAAAGAGCCTTCAATGACTCTGTGAATCAGCTCTGTAGATCAGCTGTGAAGAGCCTTCATTAGCTCCATGAATCAGCTCTGTAGACCAGCAATGAAGAGCCTTCATCAGCTCTTTGGATCAGCTCTGAAGAGCCTCCGTCAGCTCTGTGTGGAAGTGAGATCACACCACATGCTTCACAGGGAGCTAACAGTAAGTATGAAAGTATTAAAACCAGAACTGGAGTTTCAAACACCTGGACTGGAGCGCAGATGCTCACACATACAAATAGATATAAATACATCCCACTCATTGATTTGATGGCTGTAATCGATAATTACTGACAAACTGATAAGTGGTGTCGGCCTCACTCTGTTTACTGTTCACACTGTGTTTACCTCAGCAGATCTCTGTGCTCCTTGTTCTCCCACCGCAGAGTCTTATTATCAACCAAATGAAAGAACTCAGATCTTCTCCTGAAAACACACACACACACACACACACACACACACACACACACACACACACAGAAATCATCAGAAAAACACATCAAACATCTCCTAAAAAACAAAAAAAACAGACACTCTCTTTAGCATTCTCTCACTATCCTCTCACTCCACTCCCTCCACCCTTTCTCTCACTCTCCTCTCTATCCTCTCACTCTCCTTTTACCATCCACTCTCTCTCCTTCCACCATCATCTCACTCTTCTGGTACCATCACATCACTCTCCTCCCACAATCCTCTCACCCTTCTTTTACCATCCTATCACTCTTCTTTTACCACCCTCTTACTCTCCTCTCTCCATCCTCTCAGTCTTTTTGTACCATCCTCAGTCTCCTTGTACCATCCTCTCACTCTCTTCCCACCATCCTCTCACTCTTCTTTTACCATCCTATCACACTTCTTTTACCACCCTCTCACTCTCCTCTTTCCATCCTCTCACTCTTCTTTTACCATCCTATTGCTCTCCTTTTACCATACTCTCACTCTCATCTCTCCATTCTCTCACTCTCCTTTTACCATCCTATTGCTCTCCTTTTACCATCCTCTCACTCTCATCTCTCCATCCTCTCACTCTCCTTTTACCATCCTATTGCTCTCCTTTTACCATCCTATTGCTCTCCTTTTACCATCCTCTCACTCTTATCCCACCATTCTCTCACTCTTCTTTTACCATCCTCTCACTCTCCTTTTACCATCCTCTAACTCTCATCTCTCCATCCTCTCACTCTTCTTTTACCATCCTCTCCCTCTCTTTTTCCATCCTCTCACTCCAATCTCCTCATTTGATCACTGTCCAGTTATTGTCCATACACTGTGTAGTTACTCACTGTGTGTGAACTGTCAGGTCTGTAGCCAGAATGTTCTTCTCAATCATCCCAATACAGGCTTTATAATCTTCAGCTGCGAGATTACAGAGAATTCTACTGTCCTGAGAGAGAGATAGAGAGAGACAGACATATAGAGAGATAGAGAGAGAGAGAGAGAGAGAGAGAAATTTGGTGTTTATGTGAGTGATGTTAAATAGATTGTTAAATGAGTACACCAGACTGGAGCTGATGGATTGACACACAGGTGGACAAGTGGACAGATGTTCTTACAGGGTTGTTGAGGATGAGCAGACAGATGTTAACATGATGGTGTTCCAGAGTGGAGTGTGTGTAGAGTCGAGATAATGGGTGCTGCGTTCTGAAACACACACACCAACAAAAACACACACACACACACACAGTGATGATATCTGTTATAGATCACTGATGTGTCCATCTCTATGTGTGTTTGTGTGTGTGTACCTGTGTATGTAGGAGTTATTGACACCTCTGTGATCGAGATCATGACTCAAAGCTGAAACCATCAGAGCCAAAATCTCCAAACTGCTTAAATTACTCTGTAAACAAACAAACAAATAAATCTGTAAACAAAAATAAACTTTTTAAATGACTCTGTATACAAAACAAACTACTCAAATTACTCTGTACACAAATAAACAAATGGCTTAAATTACTCTGTAAACAAAACAACCTGCTCAAATTCTCTGCAAACAAACAAACTGCTAAAATGACTCTAAACAAAACGATCTGCTCAAATTACTCTGTAAAGAAATAAACAAACTGCTCAAATTACTCTGCAAACAAATAAACAAACTGCTCAAATTACTCTGCAAACAAATAAACAAACTGCTCAAATTACTCTGTAAAGAAATAAACAAACTGCTCAAATTACTGTGTTAACAAAACACAGAGGACACAGATCTGTTCAAAGCATCACTTTAAAATGTCACTAACCTGAAGCTGCTCTGTTCTTCTGATAATGGCGAACATGCAGTGCGCGGTGCTTAAGGCATGGCTCCAGTTGTGATAGGCTATGTTACTCCTGTAGCCCCTCCTTACGCTCAACACCCACCGACACAGAGTCTAGAAAAGGACAGAACAGAGCTGAGTGCAGATCAGCGCTGTGTTCAGAGTCCCTCTGTTACGGCAGTACTGGGGTGTTCAGTGCTCATAATCTTTCACTTCACAGTAAACACTAACCAGTTAATGAGTTTACCTGAATACAGCATAAGATCGACACTGGAGCTACAAGGCTAAAGTAGCTAAGAAGTAATGGGAACTTACACCTCACCAATTAGCATGGTGCTAACTGCATGCCTAAGTCATTACACACTTCCCTCAAATGGTGTTGAGCTGTTAAATTATTTCAAATAATCAGCTTAAACCAGAGCTAGCTGGTCAGGTTTAAAATTTGGGTTGTAGATTGGTGCTAATTGGTGGAGTTTAAGCTCCCATTTTTGGTGAAACATCACTTTAACCCAGACATCTATAGTTATTTCTTGTGCAGTGTGTTTAGACTGAACCTTATACTCTATGTTGAAGTTCTGCAGCAGGTCAAGGTCCAGGAACATGCGCACAGCAGCCTGAGCGCTAGCAGCCAAAGACAAGCCAGCCTCGCTGAAGCTAAATTCCATCAGCCCTAGAGAGTGCGCTGAAGGAACTGTACACTTCTACAAGAGAGAGAGAGAGAAATGTTTAAAAATGCACACCATTTACAATTTCACACAGAAAGAAGGCCAGGTTCATTCTCGGAGTGCCCAATCCTGATCCTGGAGATCTACCACCCTGCAGAGTTCAGTTCCAATCCTAATCTAACATGACTGATCCAGCTAATAAAGGGCTTTAGGAGTATTTGATAGATCCAGGTTCTGGTTCCACCAACAGGGCTTATGCCTGATTGTAAGCTAAGTCAGTCGTAACTTTCTGGCTGTAACTTTAAGACCGTTGCACCAACTGGTCATAAGCCAAATTTTCACCAAGACCAGATGTAACTTTTACACCTAAAGTCAGGCTAATATAACCCCTTTAAACAAGATATTACTTGGGTCATCAAAGTGCTGCTGCACACCATGATAGTTTCATTTTCTGTTGCTGCTCAAGCCACTTAAACAGCTAACTTCACTAATTACTAACACCAGAGCTGGTTTATGAGGAGCCTGACCACTTCCTATTTCCCCCGTTGTATCAAGAATAGGACTGCAAAATGCCAGATGTTCAGGATATGATTGCATTCTTTTACATTAAAAATGTTTAAGCATTTATAAATTATGATTATGCTCACGTTCCCTATAAACCCATTCATTTTGGACTCGCTCAGGAGCGCCCTCTAGCGTTTGAGAAACCCAGAAGACATTACAGAGACATCACAGAATGAGTAGAAGAAACTGTTGGAAGTCTGCAAATATTCCCATGTATTTTTAATATCTAGTTAAAACTAAAGTGGCTTATTGTTGAATTTTTTTTTTGGGTAAAACATTTTTGCAGGTTTTCCCCACTTGTTTGCCAGCCATCTTATCTATCAGTCCTCGTCCTATATGAAAGTGGCTCAGGTGGGATTTGAGAAGATCAGATTTGCGTGCCCACGCAGCTCTGAAAACATCACATTAGGTTAAAAAATCAGATTTGTGCCACTTCAACCTTGGTAATATAGCTAAGATCTTGAAGTTAGGGTTTGTGTGTGTGTGAAACATCGTGTGAGAGAGATTGGATTTGCAGAAAATGAGGCTTGCAATGGGAACGTAGTCTTAGAACTGTTATAGTTAAGACACGCTGGTGCAACCAGCCTCAGATGTTTTGAACTCTCCAGGACCAGGGCCATGGGGGTATATATTTCAGGAATGTCCACAGATCTTCTGTTGGTCTTAGATTAGGAGGAGAACAGTTTTACACTAATAGACATTTCTGAAAAGGAGACCAAATCAATCACCTCCAGAGCCTCAGCCTCATCCACAGGAGCAGAAATGTGGTAAGAAAGAACCTACGGATGAAAAAACAGACACACAGATAAAGGCGGCTGCGAGTATCAGTGATAGTCTGTACAAGGTTGCTAGTAGACAAGTTTAACCCAAAGGTTTCTGGGAGTTGAAGTCCATATTCTTTTACTCATCGTCAGTTCAGCTACGATGGGTTATTCTGAGAGTCCTTTATAAATTAATTATAGATGATCACATCCTCACAAACTGTGTTCTAAAACAGGTGATTAACACTGTTACAGTTTGGGTTAGGTTTAGGATTAAAGGTTTGGGTTAAAGTTGAACTTTAAATTATGGTTATGTTTACGATTCATGATTAGGGTTTAGTTTGAACGTAAAATTAGAGTTAGATTCAAGATTAAAGATCATGGTTTAGATTAAAATTAAAATTAGGTTTAGGTTTCGGATTAAAGATTAGGTTTTAGGCAGACAAATTAAGCCTAGGATTAGATCTAGGATTAAAAGTTAGGGTTCGGGTTAAAATTAAAATTAGGGTAAGGATTAGGATTAGTTTAGATTGAAGTTAAGGCTAGGATTGAGTTTAGGATTAAAGTTTAGGGTCTATGGTGTTGCCAAGGTCTTAGGGTTGGGTTTGAGTTTATGGTTAGATCATAGTTTAGTAAGTAAGGCTAGGATTATGTCAAGGATTAAAGATCAGGCTTTAGGGTTAGGCAGGTTTAGGATTAGGTATTAGATTGAATGGAATCTGTAGGATTCTATTTGGAGTTCAGTTATATTGGAGATGTTAGAGACAAGGTGAGCATCCACACTGGAATTTAAAAATAAAAGTTGTCAAAATTATTTTAAGGACTTATTTATGATACAATGTTGAATTATTTGAGAGAAAGTGTCAGTGATTGGAATTGGATCTAAGTTTTTACCTCCTCAGTGATGGTCAGTTTGGTGAAGTTTTTCTCGGCTTCTTGCTGGACAGTGTAAGTGTGTAAAGCCAGAGCACAGCACTCTACAAAGGTCTGCAGGAGGCGCTCATCTGCCCTGCTGAAACCACTCCCTTCATCAGAGTCTGTACTGACCTTATTCAGCAGCTCACACACACCTACAAACACACCATAGTCAGGAACACATACAGAATTACAGGTAACTTAAAGCAATAGTTCATTTAAACGTGCAAAGACAGTTTTATACCTAAGACCAGGTTCCTCTGAGAGTCTCTGATTGGAGCACAGATCAAACTCTGAACACCTGCAGCCGTCTGAAAACAGAAAGAGCTTCAGTTTAAACTAAACATATCAACATCACTTTATAAACAGACTGTAAAAGTATTTGTGGATGAAATGTGAAGTCATTTATTTATAAGTATTTATTTACTGATTTATTGTTTATTAGTTTATTGAACTGACCGGTTGAGTCACACTCTTGACGTTAGAGATATTCAGCATTTCATTGGAGTTACGGACTCTCACAGCATACATGTAGGAGACATCATTCACATCAAATTCCCTAAAAATGTATTAGAGGTTATGAAATTCAATGCAAACACAGCACTACCGACATAAACAAACTCAAACACTGTGCAGTCTGGAAAAAAAACAAAGTCACTATTTTCAAATCAGAGATTCAACAACAGTCCAAATACTTATGGAAACTACTGTATATGTACAGTAAAAATGAGCAAAAACTTAGTTTTTATCTAAAAACACAAGAATGTAATTAACAAATATTTACATTTGTATTTTGTGCTTTTTGAGTCTGAGTGTTCAGGAATTTATTTGGATCACTTTGTTTCCATAATATCTTGAGAAATGACATTATGTGAAGCACCTCATTGAACTGACTGACTCAGTAACTCACTGACTGAGTCACTGACTCACTCACTGACTGACTCATTGACTCACTGCCTGACTGTCTGACATTCAATGACTGATTCACTAGCTGACTGACTGTCTGACAGACGAATTGAAGGACTCACCGACTGGCTGGCTGTGAAATTCACTGACTGACTCACTGACTGACTAACTGACAAATTCACTGACTGACTGACTGAATGACTGACTCAGTGACTCACCTGACTCAGTGACTGGTTCACTGACTGACTGATTGACTGACTCACTGACTGACTCTTTGACTCGCTTCACAGACTCACTGACTGACTGACTCACTGAGTGACTCACACTGACTGACTCACTCACTGACTGACTCATTAGTTGCCTGACTGACAAACTCACTGACAGACTCAGCCTGATTGACTCACTGACTGCCTGGCTGTCTGAAAAATTCACTGACAGACTCACTGATTGACTGACTCACTGACAGATTAACTGACTGACTCACCAACTGACTGACTGTTAGCAGGCTGAAATTTCCACAAGGTGGCACTATTAGAACTCTTTTCATGGTTAATTCAACTGGATTTACTGACCTTTTGGAGTGGTGTGTTGAGCGACCGTGGTCAACACGCTCTTCACACACCATCCACGAGAAACACTCCTGCACACACACACACACACACACACACACACACACACACACACAAACACAGTCAAGACTGCCTTTAAAGCATAAACGTTTCAGTCATTCCCACCATCTTAATCACAAACAGAGCCCACTGAAAAATCTGAGAGAAGATTTAGAAGCATTACCCTGTCACTCTGATCTGAAATGAAGATTTTACAGAGTTTCGCTTTAGAAGCCTGCAGGATGACAGCAGACAGTTTACTGAGTAGAGTCTCCAAACATTGATGATGTTCGGTCAGCAGCCGGACCAGTTCCAACAAGACCTGTCAATCAAACCAATCCAACACATTCAATTAAACACAACACAGCCAAAGAAAAACACAACACAGCCAATCAAACCCAACACTGTCAAAGAAACCCAACATGACCAGTCAAGTCCAACATAACCATTCAAATCCAACATATCCAATCAAATTAAACACAATCAAATCCAACACAGCCAGTCAAACACAACATGACCAATCAGATTTAAGACATTAAATCAAACAACACAGGCAATCAAACCAAACTCAACCAATCAAACCAACACAGCCAATCAAACCCAACACTGCCAATCAAATCCAACTCATCCAATCAAACCAACACAGCCAATAAAATCCAACACAGCCAGCCAAACCCAACTCAACCAATCAAACCAACACAGCTAGTCAAACTCAACACAGCCAATCTAACCCAACACAGTCAATCAAACCTAACTCAACCAATCAAACCAACACAGCCAATCAAACCCAATGCAGCCAATCAAACCCAACTCAACCAAACCAACACAGCCAATAAAATCCAACACAGCCAGCCAAACCCAACTCAACCAATCAAACCAACACAGCTAGTCAAACTCAACACAGCCAATCACACCCAACACATCCAATCAAACCAACACAACCAATCAAACCCAACACATCCAATCAAACCAACACAACCAATCAAACCCAACACAACCAATCAAATCAACACAGTCAATCAAGCCCAACTCAACAAATCAAACTAACACAGCCTTTGTGGCGACTCTGGCGGGTTTGAAGTTAGGTCAGAAAACAGGTTAAGTTTACATGTTAAGTAGTAGTTTACCTGGTTGTGGTGGCGCTCCTGTTCAAACCTTTCAGTGAGCTGTTTATTTTCCAAAATCACTCCTAACAAAGCCAAGTGTGATGACAGGACCTAACCAACAACAAAAAAACAGCACCAACACAACATTGATTTGTTAAAAAAAAGCAAATGCACAAAAATTAAATAGCCACAGTATCATAGACATACTCATTACTCTGCTGAGGAACACTGTGATCATCAGGCTCATGCACAGGCATTTTGGGGGGCTCAAGAGTAAAAAGGGCAACCTGGACATTAATTAATTTTGATTCAATTTACAGCATATTGCAAACACTCTTGTGAGAGACAATGTAAAAGCTGGTGTTAAAACTATAATGCTAAGGTTATTGCTTGAGCAGCGATTTGAACCTCAACTTCCATCATTTAAGCCCAAATTGTTACCCATGATGCTAATCACTGTGACTTGAGTTATAACTATTTAAAAGTTGCACAGTGTCTGCTATATTAGCTGTTTCTTACAAGAGAAACTTATTAGCAACACTTACTGAAAAAACATAAATTAACAGCAGTGATTATCAGTGCTTTATTGGCAGGATTTCCAGCGCTGTGATAATGTGTGTACTTGTACAGTCTGAGGGCAAACACACCTTCTCATCTTGCTTTGAGAAAAAACAGGCTGTTCCCGTCTTGTTCACTGCCATGACAACACCAATAACCTGCCGGAAAAAAATCACATTTAAGCCAACATAGCATAATAACCATATCATTTAATATGTAATATTTAATATTTAGCCCTGTGATGGACTGACAACCCGTCCACAGTGTTTCCTGTCTTCCGCCCAATGATCACTGGGCTCCAGCATCCCCTGTGACCCTGAAGGATATACGGCCTAGATAATGTGCGTGTGTGTGTGTTTAATATTTATTTACTATTATTTTTTATTATTAACCACAGATTCTCACTCCTGTGTTATATTCGATGTTTCTATATCTGTTTCTTTATGATAAGATTATGATAATATCATATGATGATATGATCCAGCGCAGAAATACCCTTCAAACATTTCCTGAATCTGTAGAGTCGCCCTTTCCATTCCATCTTATCACGAGATCATACGCGACTCACATCTGGAGTTATGAGCCTATGAAGAGGGGCTGAGATACACATCATCTGCCTCTCACTGTGTGGAACTGGTGGATCCGTCTACATTCTGTGTGAAACTAACCAATAGACACTCAGGAAATCCACATCAGAGACTCATGTGAAATGGAGTCCAGAGAGTTTACAGCTGCTGAAGTTGCTGCAGCGGTTTTGAAAAAGTAGTGATGAAGATAACGGAGCATTTTGATTTGAAACATATGACTATTGTGTTGTATTAAGATCCTTCAAAGGAAGATTTAAGAAAATATGCACAAATCAAGAATGTGACCTCAGACCCCAGAAGTTTAAGACTGATCCTTATGTGTTTTGAAATTTTCTGCAGAATATCTAGATCTAAACATTCATGTTAACATTACAGTTAGTATGACCTGCTGACCTCACCATTCTAGTTTGGATTAGGCCAACTTTAGATGCTAGTGCTAACATTAGGTTTAGTGTGATCTGCTGACCTCAGCATGCTGGTTTTTGATGGGTACACTCAGGATGCTCTTAGGTCTGCAGGCTGCTGGTTCATCCACTCCTATGTGATATCGCGTGTCCTATGCAATACAAACACAAATTTTCTTAGCAAACAAAGCAAAACAGTCAAACAAGACTTATGAATATTACTGTGCAGTGTTCTACTCAAAAGTCTTGGTTGATTAGAAAAGGAAAAGGAGTTGATTTGAAAAATTCTGAAATGTTGACCTTGATGCACCACTCAGGACCTACATTCTTCAAAAACTATCCCATAAAAATCATGTTACATCAAACAATTCTTGCCAAAAGAAATAAACTTTAGTGTAGTTGTAAGATGACATATCTAAATCACATAAATAAAACTACTATTACTTCTAATACTATTTTAAGTGCAGGGATAAAACTGGACTAGAGTGAAATCTCCACTGTATGTCATAAACAAAACATTTGTCAAGTTGATCCCAGGAACCAATTAAGGAAGGTGTCATTACTGCCAGAGAAGGCATTACCAAGTACTGACTGAATGTCTGCATGTACTACAGTAATTCTAATGGTGAATGCCATTGTGCATTGTTGAAATGAGGAATCTATATGCTGATAAACGAGCCATTGTCACAAACAAGACAAACAAGACTAGTTCTACATCGGCAAAGCAACGAGACAAGGCTGCCAACTATCCCATACTTGTTCTACCTCTATGCAGAACATATAATTTGAGATGCAAGGCTGAAAGAAGATAATCAAGGTTTCAAGATTAGTGGAACAAACATCAGTAGCCTTTGATATGCGGGTGGCACTCATACTGAAAATATTATAAAGAATGTTCTTGTGAAGAACATTAAGGAACAAAGTGAAACGATATGACTTTAGCTCAGTCTGAAGAAAACAAAGGTTTTAACAACAGGAAAGAGCGCTAAATTTCCTGTAGAAAACTGTACTTTTTGTAGAAGTGGAGGGCAGCTTTTGCTTACTTGGGTCAACCATTAACAACAGAAGATCCAGCAGTCAAGAAATACGACACAGACACTTGGTAGAACAATGATGTTTCTTTTCAAACAAATATCATAAGAGTCCAAGCCATGGACTTTTCCACCATTCTTTAGACTTTTGAGAGGACTTTGAAAGGCAAGAAAACAATTGTTGGCTAAATCAGGCTGAACTGCTAACTTCAAGCCCAGATATTCAAGCTGATGCTCTTATTTTAGATATATTACGGTAAAACAGCAAGAAGACCACCAGCTCTGAGATGGATGGAGACTACCAGCCAAGGCTGAAGACCCAAACAGAAGACAAGACATTCTGGAGAAATATTATCTGTATGGTCACTAGGAGTCAGAACCAACTTGATGACACTGAATAATAATAATAATAATAATAATAATAATATTAATAATAGTGCTAATGTAGAATGAGGGTAAGAAAAGGCTACGTTAAAACTGGCTGCTTATGTGAGGTTACATTAGAGCTGGGGGTAGGGTTAGGGTTAGCCTAATGTTGGGGAAGGGTGAGGTTAAGGTTGGTCAGGAGGCCAGGGTGGGGTTATGGTACATTATGTCTATGGTTAAAGTAGGTACATTTGGGGTTACTGCAAGGATGTTTTATTTTATAGGAGAATTATTGCATAAGGTGGAGTATAGGTTATATTTAAGGGTAGATAGTTAAGGTGGGTTTAGATTAGACCAGGGCTAGGACAGGAAAACTGGAACCTGACATGAACTGCTGAGGTCGTGTAATGTCATGTTCTTTCTGTGTGAGAGATAAAAGTTAAGATCTTTTCCACAGACACCTCCATCCTTTATCCAGACTAAACATATCTCAGTTGGCTGTCTGGCAGAAACTGGGATTAGAGGCTAAATGTAGATCAATGAAGGATTCCCCTCTAGCTATCCCATGATCTTACTTTTTACCTTTCACACTCCCCTTGTCTGACCTTTTGTCCACATACTTTTTCCTACAAGCTCTACTAATCTAAACAAACTTTTAAAAGCTAAGAAATCTATAAAATATCTATAAAACATAAACAAGTAATATAAGGTTTGGTTTTGTAAATCAATTTGCAAATCTCTAATTCTAATTGTGTAATATGTTGCTTGAAACACAAACACTGTGTTGTACGATGGTATAACTTACTGTGCATTGTTCAAGGCAGCAAATAGACTGTAACCAGACTAGCAATGAGATTCTAACTACACCAGCAATGAGACCATAACCAAATCAGCAATAAGACCATAGCCAGGCCATCACCAAGACCCTAACGAGACTAGCAATGAGACTCTAACCAGACAATTCAAATCTTGTCAACTGCAAGATTTTCATTATGTAGATGGACTTTATTTGAACAGATCTAAAGTAGAAATAGTCTTTATTGCAGGTGTGCTGCTTATGCATTTGTCGATGATTACCTCATAAGCATCTGAAATATTCAAAGGCCACCCTGTGCTGACTACATATCCCATTATGCTTCTCTCCCAGTCTGGGTGTGTGTGGTTTTGGGTCTTTTTTGTTTGGAAGAAAGGTCCCAGAACTCGACCACCAGCCTCATCTGTGGTTGTCATGGCAAGGCAGCAGCGTTCAGCTGCAACAATATCACAGATGTGCACCAAGACCTTGTTACAGATTTCCTGGCACTTCAGATGACTGGCTCTGCCTCCCAACAGCCCCATCATCCAGTCACAGCACTTGCCTAACCCACAAGGCCCAGCAGAGCATGGCGATCTTCCTGGTCGTGGTTGGTGGTACTGATGTGTGATGGAAGATTCTGGAAACAGCAGTGATCTCACTAAATGACCCCCACTGCTGTCTTCAAAATGATTTAGAGATAAACACAACCATGGTCTCTCCAGTGCTGCAGGGGGCACAAGTCTACAGGAGGATCCGCATGGAGGGTGGGAGTCCCTGCGCCTGCCTTGTAGAAGCATGCTCAACTCGGGGTGCATCCGAACCCAGCCAGACATCTTTACAAAACGAAGGTTCTCCCCGCAGGACCTCCTAACGGAAAAGAAATAAGATTGTCAGCAAAAAACTGACTGCACTGTAATGACCCCATACAGTACTGTATTGTGCTGACTGTACTGTAATGACCCCATACAGTATTGTATTGTACTGACTGTACTGTAATGACCCCATACGGTATCATACCGTAATGACTGTAATGTAGTGACTATACTGTAATGACCCCATACAGTATTGTATTGTGCTGACTGTACTGTAATGACCCCATACAGTATTGTATTGTACTGACTGTACTGTAATGACCCCCTTCGGTATCATACCGTAATGACTGTAATGTAGTGACTATACTGTAATGACCCCATACAGTATTGTACTGTACTTACTGTACTGTAGAAACCCATACAGTATTATACTGTTATGACCCAGAGTACTGTACTGTAATGACCCCATACAGCATTGTACTGTACTGACTGTGCCATAAAGACCTATACAGTATTCTACTGTAATGACCCAGAGTACTGTATTGTAATGACCCCATACAGTATTGTACTGTAATGACTCTACTGTAATGACTATACTCTAATGACCCCATATAGTATTGTACTGTATCGACCGTACTTTAATGACCCCATATAGTATTGTACTGTAATGTGCCCATACATTATTGTGCTGTACGGACTGTACTGTAATTACCCAATACTGCATTGTACTGTACTGACTGTACTTTAATGACCCCATACAGTATTCTACTGTAACATGCACATACAGTATTGTACTGTACTAACTGTATTGTAATTGCCCAATACAGTACTGTACTGCTGTGTATACCCGTAGAATATTTAACTATCCTGACTACTGTACAATATTGTACTGTAATGACTGTACTGTAATGACCAATACAGTATTGTACTGTACTGACTGTACTGTAATGGCCTCATACAGAATTATACTGTAACAACCAATACAGTATTGTACAGTACTGACTGTACTGGAGTGGCCTTATACAGAATTATACTGTAATGACTGTACTATAATGACCAATATACTATTGCACTGTACTATATTGTTCTGTACAGTATAGACCCCATACAGTATTATACTGACTGTACTGTAATGACCAATACAGTATTGTACTGTACTGACTACTGGAGTGGCCTCATACAGAATTCTACTGTAATGACTGTACTGTTATGACCAATACAGTATTGTACTGTACTATATTGTTCTGTGCAGTATAGACCCCATACAGTATTATACTGACTGTACTGTGTTGACCAGTACAGTATTGTACTGTACTGTAATGGCAAATACATTATTGTACTGAACTCACTGTACAGTAATGCTCCCTTGCTACAGTGTAGATGTCTGTAAGTGACTTGTACCTTGGACTGTTGATAGTCTCTGAGTGGTCTTCTGACCATGACTCCTGTATCTCCACTGGCCCCTCCAGGGCCTTTCGGAAGCCCCACTGCCCAGTTTTAGCTTGTAAGCTCCACAGAGGAGGGAGAACCTTTCCACTCTGCCTGTCTTCCTTCTTCTTCTTCTTACTCCTCTGTGTAGTCTCTGGGGAAGGGTGTGGGGGGGTCTTGGGGTCCACAGGGCTCCTGACCTGGTTTTCTGTGTGTAGGCACGGCATGATATCCCCTTAGAATGATGATGAGAAAAACAGACCAGCTCTATACACCACTCAGGACAAAACACACAATCCGTAACGAGAGGAAAGCAGACGGAAAGGGAGGACGAGGTGCAGGATGAAGAGCAGAATGAAGAGCAGAATGAAATATTTAACTAAAGCTCTACCCACCTCTTCACTCCACAGAGTCACACCAGGTCCACTAATCTGCTGCATGAAGTTAATCCGTCAGAGCGAATCTGCATCACTGCAGCCAAAGGTTATTTTGTCCGTTCAGAGAAGTGGATTATGGTGCAGCGCTCTGCTAATGACCGCCGTCTCTCTTTCTCTCTCTCTCTCTGTCTCTCTGGGACTCACTCCAGGTTCCAAAAACACTCACAGACAGATGGACAAAGATAAATCAAGGAACTAGGACAACAGCAGATTAGCTGTATAAATAATACTGTAATTATTTGTTAAAACCTGACAAAGTGTTAAACGGTCAGTTTACTTGTCTTACTTGCCTTATATTCATATTGTTTCATTTAAGAAGTTAATTGATAAAAATGCAAATTAATAAAATCAAGCATTAGCAAAACAAATTCATGCATGCTATTGAGGAAAATAAGAATGTGAGAAAAGAACTGCATAGTTTTTGTCATCGACCTCAGTTCTGAAATTGGAGGATCTATCTGCAGTTTTTTGTCCTCACTGAATCTCATGGAGATCTGAGAGGATCTACTGAGCATGCTGTTTCTGCACGTGTTTAAATCTGTGCTAACTGCAGAAATGAGTTTCTTTCTATGTGCAATTAGAAAATATACTGGATCCAGACAGTCCTTCAGTCAGTGAACTCTACAGGTGTACAGTGTATTCATGTTATGACTTGGTCTCAGGTCAGACTGTAACTGACCGGTGTGTGTGTAAAAAAATGATAAAAATTGAGTGTATTATGCACAAATGAAAGTGCTAACATCACTTTGGACTTCATGTTTGACTACAATAAATAAATTTCATACAAACCTGAAAGTCACAGTTTGACCCTACATCAAATACAAAATAAAAAGGATCTCTTAATCGTGCTTTTCCAGAGCAAACACAAACAACTCCTCACTAAACCCAAATGCTAATCACCCACCAAACCCAAACGCTAACTCCCTACCCAACCCAAACACTAACTCCCTACCCAACCCAAACACTTACTCCTGCCCAATCCCAAACAGTAACATGCTACTAAACCCAATTAAAACTCTTCATCAAACTCCAAACTCAAATGCTAACTCCCTACCAAATCCAAACAGTAAGTTCCTAATAAACCCAAATGCTAACTCCTTAAAAAAACCCAAATGCTAACTTTCAATCAAACCTTAACTACTAAGCAAACCGAGGAAAGACTTCCCACCAAAATCTAACCTCCTAACAAATCTAAATGTTAACTCCCCACTAAACCCAAACACTAACTCTCTACCAAACCCAAATACTAACTTCCCATCAAACCCAAACACTAACTCCCTACCAAACAAAAACACTTAATTTCCTACCAATCCTGAACTGTAGCATGCTACTAAACCCAAATGATAATTCCTCATCAAACTCCAAACTCAAATGCTAACTCCCTACCAAACCCAAACACTAAGTTCCTACCAAGTGCTAACTACTTACAAAAACCCAAATGCTAACTTCCAACCAAACTACTAAGCAAACAGTACCATGCTACCAAACCCAAACACAAACTTCCAACCAAACCCAAATGCTAACATGCTACAAAACCCACATGCTAACTCCCTACCAAACCCAAACACTAACTCCTTATGAAAACCCAAATGCTAACTTCCAACCAAACCTAAACAGGAACACTAACGTCCTACCAAATCGAATGCTAACTTCCTCCCAAATCCAAACAGTAACATTTTACCAAACCAAAACACTGACTTCCTACCAAATCAAATGCTAACTCCCTACAAACCCAAACAGAAACATGCTACCAAACATAAACTCCTTACAAAAATTCAAATGCTACCTCCCAACCAAATGCAAATACTAACTCCCCACCAACCCAAATGCTAACTCGCTACCAAAGTGATGATTGAGATGAGGTGACTTCTGTTATGTCTTCCCTCCAGGTGGCATAACAACAAAGACTTGTCCAGAAGATGGCAGCTCAGAGTGCTTTACAGAAAGGTGATAAAACTACAAAAGAAACTATGAATATTAATTTAATATGATATAAGACAATAACACAGATCAGATTAAAAAGATAAACACCAAAGAGACATAGAGTTTTAATGAAGCACTGAGTTAAAGAGCTGCATTTTCAGATGTTTATTAAAAGTGAGCTCTAAACTTTGACTGTCTAATAAAAAGTGGACCGAGCTCCATGATTTCTGTATTTTATGGAAGGTGTTTGCAGAAGGTCAGTATCTGTGGATCTAAGATCATAAACAGACAGACATGCAGGAGCTTTAAGGTCATTTAGAGCTTTAAAAACCAGCAGCAGAGCTTTAAAGCCTTCTGTATGAGTTGTAGAGGATGGATTGTTTTCTCCAGTAAGAAGATCATTACAGTGATCAACTCTGCTGGAAGAAACGCATCAACAAGTTTCTCTGCGTCGCTCTGAGAAAACTCCGAGGAACTTTACTGATATTTCTCAAATGATAGAAAGCTACTTTAGTGACTGTGTTTGCATGCAGGATGTAATGCAGCTCAGAGTCTAAGATCACACCCAGGTTTTGTACATGAAGCTAAAGAGCAAGGCTTTAGTACCAATGATCTCACACACACCTTCTAAGCCACTTATCCTTCTGGGTCATGGGAGGAGCTGGAGCCTATCCCAGCAGTCATTGGGTGGAAGGCAGGATACACCCTGGAGAGATCACCATTGCAGGGCAGACAAACATATACATTCACACCTAGGGGCAATTCAGCGTGTCCAATCGGCCTGACTGCATGTCTTTGGACTGTGGGAGGAAACCCATGCAGACACAGGGAGAACATGCAAACTCCACACAGAAAGGACCCCACTCGCCCGGCCGGGGAATTGGACACAGGCCCTTCTTGCTGCGAAGCGATAGCGCCACCCCCTGCGCCACAATTTTGTAACATTAACTAAAACATATTGGACACACAACTGGTCAGCCTGTTGACAGGGTCTTGATCATCAAAAGGAATGGAAAAATACAATTGTGTATTGTCAGTACAGCTATGAAAATTGATGTGTTTCCTAATGATATGACTTAGAAGTAACATGTGTAAAAAGAAAAGCAAAGGCCCTAAAATTGAACCTTATGGGACACAATAAATGTTAAATGTTTTTGTTTATTGATTTCCCAGTGAAACCAAAAACTATCTATTAACTAAATATGATTTAAACCATTCTAAAACTGTGCCTGAGAGGCCAACCCATTCAAGATGTTGGATTAGAATCTTGTGATCAATGGTATCAAAAACTGCATTATATAAACTAATGAAAGGATTGAATAGCAGAACATTCTGATGTCCTGTCATAGTTCTCCCTGTTAGAGTCAGATGGTTCCTCAGCAGTGGCATGTGGCCACAAGTCGTCAGCTTCAGAAGTCTAGGTGCCTTTGCTTCTGCTCCACACAAAAAGAACCTTCTTCAGATCAGTGACTGAGTAAACAGCACAGATGTTTAGCCTGTCTAGCAGCATGTGGAAATCCTGGAGCTTGTTTTTGATGCTGTGGTCAAATGTCTCTGTTACAGTCAGATTGGCAGTGCTACTATTTCTACAGTGTTCTACTATCAAAGTTGCCTGTGCTTTCAAACATTCTTCACATCTTAACAAATCACACAGACCACAGAAACACTCTACAGGAGATTCTTCTAACACTAACCATCATCTAGTCTCAGGAGTCTTTACTCTGTTTGAGTTTCCTCTGTCAAACACACTTGACAAACATGAACTCTTCTATCTTGACTTTACTGAGTGGCTCAGAGAAGGACGGGTTCATCTTTTGAGTATTGGTTCCTCTCAGTGGTTCTCTTTCATGCTTTTAGAGGAACGTCCCCATACTGAACATGCAACTGTGGAACAATGAGCCCCCTCCTGGCCTGCACTGGACGGGGATCAGAGCAAGATCCCCGTCCAGAGTGAGCTACTCATGCTGGTACTTAAAGAAGAGTCAGCAGGCTATTCAAGACTAAGACATCTAGAAGAAAACATTAAACTTGTGGAAAGAAGTATTCTAGTAAAGACTGAGTAAGTGAGGGACACATGAAACTGACCCTTCAGACTTTTTCATGTAACTGGGAGAATCAGAAACATGACAAACACTGATCACACTGCTGTAGCAGACCGGTTCACCCAGTTGGTCCTTTACAGTCTAGAAACTGTAACTCTGCCCGGATTCCTCTGAAAAACTTTACAATGAGCTGCAGCAGATCTGTAAATCTGAAAACTTGCCCAGTTTCCCAAGAGTTTGGAGTGAAGAGTGATTGTTCCTCATTTCTCACACTGAAGACAGAAGAGGAGATGAGGAAGATCTGAGGAAGAGCACAGAACCACACTAGAACAGAGACTTTACAGAAGAACAAACATTTTGTTGCCATTGAAGCATCTATGGGGAGTGAGTTAGCAGCTGGCAAACGCTGGAGTAGCCACCCGACATTAGACCCTGCAGATACCAGGAGGTATTTTGCACACTTGTTGGAGCCTATTCTACCAATAATAGAAGAAACTATGACTGTTAATTAAAAATCATATAGGACAATAACAGAGATCAGATTAAAGATAAACACTAAAGAGATGAAGAATTTTAAAGCAGCGCTGAGTTAAAGAGCTGCGTTTTCATATGTTTATTAAAAGTGAGCACTGAGCTTGACTGTCGAATAAAAGGTAATCTGAGCTCCACGGTTCAGAAACAGAATAACAGAGAGTCTCTCTGTTTTTCTGCATTGAGATTGAGTAAGTGAGGGACATGTGAAACTGACTCTTCAGACTTTTTCATGTAGTTGAGAGAATCAGAAACATGACAAACGCTGATCACACAGCAATTCAGAGAGGATCTGAGAGGTCAGGGATTTCCAAAAAATGAACAGAGAGGAGGCTGAGAGAGGACCAGAGGACCACAGGCTTCAGAGAGACGGTAGTTCCAGGAATGAAAAAGTCGAAGGGTGTCATCACTCAGATTGGCTGTACAGAAATTGTCTATGTGTTTACACTGATTCCTGCAGTGTGATGGAACAGTGCAGTTCTTGTTCTGGACAGTTCCTGAGCTCTTTACTTCCTTATGAGACTCTGGAACCTCAGTGCAACCAAAGTGGAACCTCAGTGGAATCTTAGTGGAAACACTTTTGCTTCCTCACCACTTAATTTTCTGTAAAAATTCATTTTTACTGTGCAAATTCATTAACCTTCCGTAATCCTCAACTGTTTGGATAGGCTCAGACATTGCTGGCGCCTGAGCTGGGGCAGTTTGCTGGGTCAAACATGCTGAATAACTCTATCACTAGTCTAATATGATTTATTGGTGACTGTGTATACACCCAAAGCCCTGGGGTTCCAGGTACTGAAGTGTAAGATCTTTTGTGAGATGCTTCATACATGAGAGGTGGCCTGAGGCCTTTTCAGTAGAGTTTCATTAACCCCTTAAAATCCCAGGCTTTTACATACTAAGGCTTTTTATTCAGTAACTACAGGGACTTCAATACAAACAGGCTGAACTATTCTTAGACCATGTAAGGGGTTAAGGACCAGGATTTACATAAAATAAACATTTCTTATTATTATTATTATTATTATTATTATTATTTGTATTATTAGTATTGTTAGTAGTAGTGGTAGCAGTGGTGGTAGTATTTTCACATGCTGGGAAGGGTTTAGGGCCAGCCAGAGGGAGCGGTAGGATGGTGTCCCTACTGCTGCCCCACCACCCAGAGATGCTCTGGGATTAAAGGGGCAAAACACCTGGGAAGGGTGGCTCCCAACTGATGACCCTGCAGCCCACTGGCACCAGCAAAGGTGCCACAGGCAGAAATACCTTGCAGGCAATGAACACCTGTGCTTCTATCTATTCTTCTTCTTCTTTTTCTTTCTTAAGTAATATTATTAATATTTTTATTTTTTTGATAGTAGTGGCAGCAGTGGTGGTAGTGGTAGTATTTCTACATGCTGCGTTATCACCTCATGGACACTAGAGGGAGCTACAGGAGCATTTTAACCACATTTCTGAGAATGCTTGTTTCTTTTCTCTCCCTGTTTATGATCTATTCCAGGCTTTCTTCTGTCTCTTATTCATCTGTCTCAGCCCTCACTTCATCTTTCATTCTCTCAGTCTTCTCTCCTTCATTCTCCTTTTCTTCCTCCTCTTGTGCTATTAGCTTGTGTACGTTCTACCTTTATCCTTCCACCCATCCCCCACCCCTCACTCCCTCCCTCACTCACTCTCTCGCTCCCTCCCTATCAGCTCATTCCTCTTGTCACCTGCAGTGGGAGGAGCTTCAGTGTGGAGCTGGGCTGTGATTGGCTGTTTGGGGAGGAGGCTGCAGTTGCATAGTGATGCTGTACAGATGCTCAGCAGTATCCTCTCTCTCTCTCTCTCTTTCTCTCTCTCTCTCTCTCTCTCTTTTTCTCTCTCTCTCCCCTTATCCACCTCTCTCTTTCCCACACACACACATACACATACATACACACACATATACACACACACATACTCTGTCACACTGCAGCAAAACGAACAGGACACACACACACACGCTCAGGCCTTCCTGTCGTTTATCGAGTGGGAAAAGAACGTCTTGCTCTCCTTTTTTGATCTTTCATCCTTCATTCCTCTGTGGCTGTCGTCTTCTCCTTCAAGGACTCTACGACTCCACCGCACCCAGGAACATCTGCAGCCTTCACACGAAGACGGAAAGAGAGGAAGAGTGACCACACCACCGCGACCAGGAACAACCACACACACACAAACACACACACACACACACACACACACACACACATACACACACAACAACAGTGTTGTTGCCGGGAGATGAGCTGGAGGAGCATCAGTGGAGGCATAGGTAGGTGTGTGAGTGTGTGTGTGTGTGAGAGAGTGTGCGTGTGTGTCTGACAGTAGCAGTGTACACACTCATCCTTACACACACACTCTCGTTGTTTTAGGTCGGTGGTGATTTGTCTCCAGGACGCTCTTCCTCTTCCTTCTACCAAAGGCCTCCTGTATCCCAGCATGCCGTGCAGCAGGCCACTCTGCTAGGCCGCGGCAGCATGGGCGGAGCCTCAGGACGGCGGGACGCGACGGACCGGACGGGCACACACACACACATACACACACACCCCGCTGCTGCTCATGGGTGAGGACGGAGAGAGTCCCAAACTCAACCACAGCTTCCTCCGAGACTACGTCACTGAGGGTACGTACGCTCACATAGTCATGTACACCCTGACTACAGCTTCAACCTGGAACTTATACACAGCACCAAGTACAGATATACAAATATTTTGTTGGCTAAAGTATAGCTAGTATATAAAGTATATATGTGTGCTTGTATATGTATACAAACATATATATTTACATGTCAGAATCCTAGTCCACAAAATTCTGTCTGAACTCGACTGTAGCCCACAAAATTCTGTCTGAACTCGACTGTAGCCCACAAAATTCTGTCTGAACTCTACTGTAGCCCACAAAATCTGTCTGGACTCGACTGTAGCCCACAAAATTCTGTCTGAACTCGACTGTAGCCCACAAAATCTGTCTGGACTCGACTGTAGCCCACAAAACTGTCTGAACTCGACTGTAGCCCACAAAATTCTGTCTGAATTCAACTGTAGCCACGAAATTCTTCCTGAACTTGATTGTAGCCAACTAAATTCTTTCTGAACCCGACTGTAGCCCACAAAATTCTGTCTGAACTCGACTGTAGCCCCACAGAATTCTCTCTGAACCTGTCTGTAACCCACAATATTCTGTCTGAACCCGACTGTAGCCCACAAAATTCTGTCTGAACTCAACTGTAGCCCACAAAATTCTGTCTGAACCCGACTGTAGCCCCACAAAATTTTGTCTGAACCCAAATGTAGCCCACAAAATTCTGTCTGAACCCGACTGTAGCCCCACAAAATTCTGTCTGAACTCAAATGCAGTCTCACAAAATTCTGTCTGAACCCAAATGTAGCCCACAAAATTCTGTCTGAACCAGATTGTAGCCCACAAAATTCTGTCTTAACCCGACTGTAGCCCACAAAATTCTGTCTATACCCAATTGTAGCCCACAAAATTCTCTCTGAGCCCAACTGTAGCCCACAAAATTCTCTCTGAGCCCGACTGTAGCCCCACAGAATTCTGTCTGAACTCGACTGTAGCCCACAAAATTCTGTCTGAACCCGACTGAAGCCCCATAAAATTCTGTCCAAATCCGAATGTAGTCCCACAAAATTCTGTCTGAATCTGACTGCATTCCCACAAAATTCTGTCTGAACCCGACTGTAGCCCACAAATTCTGTCTGAACTCAACTGTAGCCCACAACATTCTGTCTGCACTCGAATGCAGTCTCACAAAATTCTGTCTGAACTCGACTGTAGCCCACAACATTCTGTCTGCACTCGAATGCAGTCTCACAAAATTCTGTCTGAACTCAACTGTAGCCCACAAAATTCAGTCTGAACTCGAATGCAGTCTCACAAAATTCTGTCTGGACTCGACTGTAGCCCACAAAATTCTGTCTGGACTCGAATGTAGTCCCACAAAATTCTGTCTGAATCTGACTGTAGCCAACACAATTCTGTCTTAACCCGACTGTAGCCCCACAAAATTCTGTCTGAACTCAACTGTAGCCCCACAAAATTCTGTCTGAACTCAGATGTAGTACCACGAAATTCTGTCTGGACTCGAATGTAGCCCACAAAATTCTGTCTGAACTCGACTGTAGCCCACAAAATTCTGTCTGGACTTGAATGTAGTCCCACAAAATTCTGTCTGAACTTGACTGTAGCCCACAAAATTCTGTCTGGACTTGAACGTAGTCCCACAAAATTCTGTCTGAATCTGAATGTAGCCCCACAAAATTCTGTCTGAACTGACTGTAGCCCCACAAAATTCTGTCTGAACTCGAATGTAGCTCCACAAAATTCTGTCTGAATCTGAATGTAGCCCCACAAAAATTTGTCTGAATCTGAATGTAGCCCCACAAAATTCTGTCTGAACCGACTGTAGCCCCACAAAATTCTGTCTGAACTTGAATGTAGCTCCACAAAATTCTGTCTGAATCTGAATGTAGCCCCACAAAATTCTGTCTGAACCGACTGTAGCCCCACAAAATTCTGTCTGAACTCGACTGTAGCTCCACAAAATTCTGTCTGAACTCGAATGTAGTCCCACAAAATTCTGTCTGAATCTGAATGTAGCCCCACAAAATTCTGTCTGAACCGACTGTAGCCCCACAATATTCTGTCTGAACTCGAATGTAGCCCCACAAAATTCTGTCTGAACTCGAATGTAGTCCCAAAAAATTCTGTCTGAACTCGAATGTAGTCCCAAAAAATTCTGTCTGAACCCGACTGTAGCCCCACAAAATTCTGTCTGAACCTGAATGTAGCCCACAAAATTCTGTCTGTGGTCCACGCACAGATTCACATGCAGAACAGTAATCTGAGCTCAGTCACCTTCAGAACATGCAGTAACTCTCCATCACTCACTCTACTGAGTCAGCAACACTGCTCACCTGCAATACTCACCCAGAAAAACTGTAATAATAAAACATCTTCATCATTAAACCACCAGTAGTAAACATCTCTGTTACTAAAGCACCTCTATTATTAAAACACTTTTACTAAAACACCTACTTTATTACAGCAACAGCATTACTAAACACCTTGGCTACTAAAACACTATTCCAAAAACACTATTATGTCACCAATACTTAACATCTCTGTTACAAAAACATCTCCGTTACATTTTTAAAACACCTCCATTCTAAAAACAACACCTTTACTCGTCACCTTCATTACTAAAACATCTTCATTATTACAACACTATTACTAAAACATCTCTACTATTAAACACTTCCATTTTTAAAATAACATTGTTACTAAACACTTCCATTACTAAACACCCCCTTATTAAAATCATTAATCCATCATTAAAACACCTCTGTTATTATGATGTCATAACCCCATTTCCAGAAAAGTTGGGACAGTGTGTGAAATGCTAATGAACACAGCAGAGATTAGTGCATTCTGATCTGCCTGTGTTAAACTGAAAATGGTACAAAAACACAATATTTGATGTTTTACCCTATGAATTTTATTGTATTTTGTAAATGTCCAGATCCAAATCTGATGCCTGTAACATGTTCCAAAAAAGCTGGGACAGGAGCATGTCTGCCACTGTGTTACATCAGCTTTCCTTCAACAGCACTGATCAGAATGATCATTTGGAGACACAAACTGATCCAGTTTTGAAATTGGAATTTTTTTGTCATTTCTTAATTATACCTGCCCTCAGCTGTGCAACTGTACAGGAACTTATTTTGAGTTTAATAAGACATGTTTTCAGTGTGAGACAGATCTGGACTGCAAGCAGGTCAGTCTAGCACCCGCACTCTCAGATTATGCAGCCATGCTGTTGTAACACATGCAGAATGTTACTTGGTGTTGTCATGTTGAAATAGGCATGGATATCCTTGTTAAAAGGCAGCATATGTTGCTCCAAAATATGTTGAGTGTTCATGGTGCTTTCACAGATGCAGGTTAACCACTAATACCAACCCACATCATGACAGACGCTTGATTTAGAACTTTATGCTGGTAGCAATCCATGGTCCTTTTCTTCTTTGGCCCAGAGAACACAATATCCTTTATTCCCATAAACAATCTGAAAGGTGGACTAGTCAGAGAACACTGAGCGTCAGACCATTTCAGGTGAGCTTGAGCCCAGAGAAGTCGGTGGAGTTTTTGGATGTTGTTGATATGTGACTTCAACTGTGCAGAGTACTCTTAACCTGCGTTTGTGGATGCAGCAATGGACAGTGTTTATTGACGATGGGTTGTCCATGTGGGGAACTCCATCACAGAAACATGCCAGTTTTTAATGCTGTACTGTCTGAGGGGTCAAAGGTCACAGGCATTCAGGTGTGGTTTTCAGCCTCTTCCTTTGCACACAGAGAGAGATTTCTCTGGAGTCTCTGAATCTGTTGATTTCATTGTGCACTGTAGAGGCTGAAATACCTGAAATCCTTGCGATTGCTCACTGAGGAACATTCTTTTTAAACTGCTAGATTTTTTGCTTATGTAACATCCCGTTACTAAAATACCTATGTCACTTAAACAAGACTTTTACTAAAACACTGTTACTAACACACATCTGTTACTTAAACAACACTGTTACTAAAACGCTTTCCTTATAAAAACTCCTCTGCTTGTGTCTAATGATTACGTCCTGTATCGCCAGCTGATGTCATTTCTACGGTGGAGTTTAACCAGACGGGGGACCTTCTGGCCACAGGGGACAAGGGGGGGCGAGTGGTCATCTTCCGAAGGGAACCCGAGGTCAGTGAAGTGTGAATATTCAGTTGGGGATAAGCAAAAACTGATTGTGTCTATTTGCTGATTTTTATTTACCCAAATATTTTTTTATATATTATTCAACAATGTTGTTCGAAGCTATTTAATTAAAATATTAACTGCTTCATCATCTAGAGCTTCACTCTGGCTGTAAGGCTAATGAAGAAAATTCCAAATTGATGTAAAATGCCTCTTTTTGAAGGATTTGAAGCATTTGCCAGTTACTTACTTACATCACCTCCACATCTCTAGATTTATTGGCATCCTTGTTAAAGATTAGCAGAATGTTGCTGTAATTTATTTAAGGCTAATCCTACGGTAGAAATGTGGAAATTAAAGTTTCTGGCACTGAGACTTGCTGGAGGTGCAACTAATGATTTTGAGTACTTTTGATTTGTTTCTGTTTTTCCTCAGGAGGTTTTTTCCTTTGAAGGTAAAAAAAGATGTGTATGTGTTTGTCTGTTTGTGTCAGGTTAAAGGAGAAGAGGAGGAGCTTGGGGAAGCAGGAGAGTACAATGTCTACAGCACGTTCCAGAGCCACGAGCCGGACTTTGATTACCTAAAGAGTCTGGAGATCGAGGAAAAAATCAATAAGATTCGCTGGCTGCCCCAGCAGAATGCTGCCCACTTCCTCCTCTCCACCAATGGTGAGCACGGCCAAAGGGCCAAGTCTCTTTCGATCAGGCCAAGCCCACCTGCAAGGTCACTTTTACAATTAAACTTTGCCTTTAAGACATCTATTTGTTGATGACCTCTGTTTCGATGTGCCTCATTCCAAACGTGGTTCAGGCTAAACAAACTGTTTTCTGCAATAATCCTGTAGTTGAAAGGACTAGCAGTGTTAATCTGAGCTCTGAACTCCCCTTTAGCCTTTACCCCCCCCCAACCTGGTGGGGGAGTCTTAGACAACAAGATGGGAACTGGGAAAAATACAGGTCTGATCTGATCAGGAAACCTGATCCAATTTCCATCCTTTGCTACTTCCTTTAATCTTTAAAACAGATAAGACCATAAAGCTGTGGAAGGTGAGTGAGAGGGACCGGCGGCCAGAGGGCTACAACCTGAAGGACGAAGAGGGACGGCTAAAAGACATTTCCACAGTTACCTCACTACAGGTGCACTACTGCCTTCTATTGGTCAGAAAGGTTCTGATAAGACTGGGCTAATAAACTGGATTAGAGTGAAGTGCAACCTGCACAACTGTGTAACGAGTGTACAAGTGTACAAGAGTGAAACAAGTGTAGTGTCACCATGAAATTGGGTGTAGCACAATCATGGAAATAGCTGTAGTCTACTGCTGGGCAAACACACACTGTTTACATACCACTTAGTGGGGGACAAAAGCTGGATTGTTTACTTGTGTTTGCCTGTGTTTACTTGTACTGATGGATTCTGTGTTTGTTGTAGGTTCCCGTATTAAAGCCCACAGATCTGATGGTGGAGGTCCGTCCCCGCCGTGTGTTTGCTAACGGTCACACGTACCATGTTAACTCCATTTCCGTCAACAGCGATGGGGAAACGTACCTCTCTGCAGACGACCTGAGGATCAACATGTGGCACCTGGACATTACTGACCGTAGCTTCAGTATCCTTGCACTCTAACACACCTGGACATTACACTTTAACACACCTGGACAGTACTGACCACAGCTTAAGTAACCTTCCACTCTAACATACCTGGACAGTACCGACCACAGTTTCAGTATCCTTACACTATAACACACCTGGACATTACTGACCACAGTATCCTTACACTCTAACATATCTGGACAATGATTGACCACAGTTTCTGTAACCTTACACCCTAACAAACCTGGACATTACACTCTTACACACCTGGACATTACTGACCACAGCTATAGTATCCTTACACTCTAACACACTTGGACAGTACTGACCACAGTTTCAGTATCTTTACACTCTAACACTCCTGGGCATTACACTCCAAATTGCCTGAAAATTACACACCACCTGGACTTTACGCTCTAACATATCTGGACAATAACTGACCACAGTTTCTGTATGCTTACACTCTAACAAACCTGGAGATTACACTCAAATACAACTGGGTATTACTGACCACAGCTTCAGTATCCTAACAGTCTAACATACCTGGACGTTACACTCTAACACACCTGGACAGTACTGACCACAGCTTCAGTATCCTTTTTCTCTGACACTCCTGGAAATTACTGACCACAGATTCAATATCTTTACAATCTAACACACCTGTACATTACACTCTAACAAACTTCGACATTACTGACCACAACATCAGTATCCTTACATTCTAACACACATGGACATTACCAAACATGTGCTGGGATGCACACATTTTGGAGAGAATAGGAACTACTGACACCTAGTGGAGAGGAGCAGTACTGCAATATAACCTCATATGGGACTTTTTTAAGTGTCTTTTCATCACTGAATCTAGTAAAATCACATCTCAATCAGAGTTAATAGACATGCACTTTCAATGCATGCGTCCCCAAATCAATTATATGTGCTCATTACTATTTACTGCCATGTTCAATGGCTGCTTTGGTGCCAGTGCAGGACTTAATCTGAATCCGAATGAACTGGAGGACTGAATCCGAGGGGTGAATCTGATTGGTATGTGCATGTGTGAGTGATAAACAGTGTCAAAGGTGTTTTCATTACAGTTTCTGTCATTGCAGCTAAACGTCAACTGAAGTGAAAGTGCGTGAGGTGGCATTGCACTATTGTTTGGTTAAATTATTGTGCATGTCAAATTCTAAATAGAAAATATTACAGATTTTACAAATTACAAATTAGGTGCCAGATCTGGGTGGCTTTCGATCCAGATTCACATCCAATACAAAAGATTCAACAAATCTGTAACATGTTTTAATGAGTTCAGTGTTTTTGTTAAATCAGTTTTAGTGTTTTTGTTAAATCACAGCTGATGAAATAGTGGCGGATATTTGATTTAGTTGTAGCATCAAATTGAAAGAAAATAACTAAAAATAAAAAAAGTAAAATGGTGAATGGGGTGACCATACGTCTTCTTTTTTTCTGCGCATTTCTGGATTGCCTAAAATGAATTTGGCTTTGCTTTCATGTTGACATTTGCTTTGTACAGTCTGCTCAGTACTGCCCTCCTGCCCCCAGTGTCCTTTTTTTATATTATAGCCAGAATACAGTCACCCAAGCGTCCATTCAGATTTTACACACGTACAGAATTTTATATAAAATCTTTTAAACAAAACTGAACATTTTATAAATCTGTGTTGTGTTACGTAAAACGTGTGATGGACAGTATTGCGACACGTCTGAAAAAGTCTTTTTGAACGGTTGGATTTGAACAATTTGATTTGCTGGAAAGAGATCTGTGTGTGTGTTATATGAATTCTGACCTAGAAATGAAACCATGATGGAAACATTTAAATAATTCATTAAAGAAATTCTCTCCTCTAAAAACACACTGTGACTGTGTGCAGAAAGACACAACCACTGTTGTGCTTCATCAAAACAATACTTTTGAAAATAATCCCAATTCTCTGAGCCCCCCCATTGCCCCTTACCTCCAGAGTCACCCTTACCCTAATTGTAGTCAATCAATCAAGTCATATTTGGTGTCTGAAGTTTGCTTGTTTAGTTTTAGTTGCATCTCACCAATTTGCTTTAAATTTGTTTACTGCTATCTATGAAAATTGACAAATGCTGCTATTTTTTAGCAAGGCTAACATACTTTAGTCCATGTTTATAGATAACAGTGAGTCATACAGTGTCAGAAACCACACAATCAACTCTATTAGAGAATCTGAACAACTCCACACACTTTGAGGCAAGAAGCTTAAGTTGGCATTCGTATTTTCTGTTCCACCTTAAATGAGCCAGCAACATAATTTGAATGAGAAACAGGAAAATAGGAAGCCAATTTCAGTAACACAATACAATAGTAACATGGTAACACAATACAATATCCGTTTGCACTATTCAAGCTGATGGGATACAAACTTCCATGAATTTTCAGCACATTGTTCTGATGCTAAACGTAAACAGGCATTGGGTGAACATTTGCTTTAACTTAATTGCATTGCAAAGTGCTTACTTAGAGTAGGTTAGCATGCTAACGAGGAGCAGCCTGGTGTCCTTGACTCCCTCCTCAGACATCGTGGACATTAAACCAGTGAACATGGAGGACCTGACAGAGGTGATAACGGCGGCGGAATTCCACCCCCACCACTGCCACCTGTTCATCTACAGCAGCAGCAAAGGGACTCTGAGACTCTGTGACATGAGGGCATCGGCACTGTGTGACAGACACGCTAAGAGTGAGAACACACATACATGCCTGCATCTGCATCTGTAAGTGGAGGTCTGCACGGGATTGTTTTTTCAGTCCTGCTCCCGCCCGCTCCTGCAGAAAATTGGAATCAATTGTCCTGCTACTGCCCCTAACTGAAATGTTTTGTCCTGCTCCCACCCACACAGTTCCATCAAAGCGAACTGACATCCAATATCTGACACAGTCTATTCACAAATGCATTATTTTATGCTGAAATAACACAACAGTCATGGTCATCAGGTTCACTGTGATTTGACCAAACACCATTTATTACCAGTAAACACAAAGTAGGGTTATTTTTGGTGTTTTGTGGTTCATGTGATCAGTTGCATCGCAACCCATTAGTAAGGCAGGTCCCACAGAAACCCGTAGGAGTGCAGACCTCTATTTGTAAGGATCTCCTTCATCTTGGGAATATTACTGTGAGAACTTTCCTCAAATAATAATTAACACAGAACTGTTTTTATCTGAAAAATTATGAGCAGCACTTTATATGAAGAGTGAGGGTTGAGGAACAGGGTACCATACAGTAATCATTTTTTTAAGTATTGGGATCACTTGTTTTCTAAATTATTTTAAAGTAATGAGATGTAATTGATGTAGCCTTAACAGACCTGTAGGTCTCTGGGTTTTTCTCCTAACAATTTAGGCTGAAATTTTGGAGCTGTGCTTGTTCTCTTGTAGTTTTCGAGGAGCCGGAGGACCCGGGGAATCGCTCTTTTTTCTCAGAGATCATTTCCTCCGTTTCGGACGTGAAGTTCAGCCACAGTGGGCGCTACCTGCTCACGCGGGATTACCTCACTGTGAAGGTGTGGGACCTCAACATGGAGAAAGGCCCTGTAGAGACCTACCAGGTGAGAAAGAGATTAATTTCCTCACTAAAATACTTCAGAAGTAGTAATCAATCTTTAGTGTTTGAAAGTATTCAAAAGAATTACAAATCCCTCAGCTTCCTGCCAAAAACCTTAAACACCTGGCCCCTCACCCTACTTTTTGAACCTGGCCTGTTGCCAGGTGAGAAATGACCAGGACCAGGGCCAGATTTGGACAGGAGGAAAGGGGTGTTTTGGCAGGTATCTGGCAATTGCAGTGAGAGGGCCATGACCAGTCAAAGTCCACCTCCCTGTTGGGCATCCCAGGCAGCAGTATTCTGATCAGGAGCGGTGGACCTGGCAATGGCTTTGCAGGATGCAGGAGGATACACAAACAGTCTGTTAAGAGAGAGGGTTATGTTCTGTCGGTCTCACTGCACCAGCTGAGCAGCACTAGAGCAGTTCAGTGGGGTCAGTGGGTGCTGTATCAGACGAAGGCTTGGTCCCTCACTGGGGTGCAGCCGTTGCCACTGCTCATCTTGGTAATGTCATAGTAGGTGTTGCCACAGGCTCTAGAGCACATGGGGTTCTGTCTGGAGTCAACAACAGTAGTGAGGCACTGTGCAGTCACAGTTAGGGCCCCGCTTGCTTTACAAGATGCAGGTTCTTTCTTTTCTCCCAGATTAGGCTGCTCAGTCCCACTGTGAATGTGGGGCTCACTTGCACAAGCCCAAAACAGCTAGTCAAGCAGAGCAGCACTGCTGTGGATACCCCTGGTTTGGTGATTTCCTCACCTTTTCCTCTGCATTTTTCCAATAAAAAAACTGTAAGAAAAAAATAGCTCATAGTACACCCATGCAGGCAACTCCTGGGATTCACCCAGCTACCAGAAAGGCATGCCTGCATTCTCCACCAGTGTGACATCAGCCAGGGAAGGGATCAAGTCACCCTGACAAAAGCTAAATATGAACCCAGAAACACAGACCAGTGTGAGTGCAAGCCTGTTTTAATTTACACACATTGAAACCAAAATTTAGTTGGTTTATTCAAATAGACAGTTCCTTTAGGTTCTCCAGCCAAGTTGCTCCCTCTCATTGGCTTTGAGATTTTGATTTTTAAAGAGTACCAACACACTCTGCTAAAATCTTCAACCCTGCTAAAATTGCTAATCCACTGTAATTTCTAACCCTAATGCAATGTATTACCTGCAAAAATCACTAACCCCACTGTAATCTCTAACCCAGCTATAATGAAATCTGTCACCTGCTATAATCTCTAACGCTGCTGTAATCTCTAACTCTGCTATCTCTAGTCCACTATAACCTTTAACCCTGCTGTAATCTCTAACTTCGGTGTAATCTCTAACCCTGCTGTAATCTCAAACCCCATTGTAATCTATAATCCACTGAAATCTCAAACCCCACTGTAACCTCTAACTTCACTGTAATCTGTGGTTCTCCTATAATCTCTAATCCACTGTAATTTCTAACTCTGCTGTAATCTCTAACTTCACCGCAATCTCTAACCCTGCTGTAATCTATAAACCACTGAAATCTCAAACCCCACTGTAATCTCTAACCTCACTGTAATCTGTAGTTCTGATATAGTCTCTAATCCACTGTAATTTCTAATCTCATTGTAATCTCTTATCAGATGAAATCTGTACCACTGTTGTAATCTCGAATTTACTGTAATCTCTAATCAGATGAAATCTGTACCCTTGCTGTAATCTGTAACCAGTTATAATATCTGACTCTGGCATTGTAATCTTTAACCTGTTATACTGTGTGTTCAGGTGCACGAGTACCTGCGCAGTAAACTCTGCTCGCTATATGAGAACGACTGCATCTTTGACAAGTTTGAGTGTGTGTGGAACAGCACAGATAGGTAAGATCATGTTACACTTTCAAGCGATAGTTCATCCAAACCTCAGATTCCCATAGTCCCTCCCCCCTTACCCTAAATACAATCCATCAGACATGCTTGGTGTCTGAAGTTTGCTGCTTTAGATTTATATGATACGAGGCTAATATAGCTAAGAAGTAATGGAAGTTTATACCCCACCAATCAGCATGGTGCTAACCGCATGTGTAAATCATCACACATTTGTCTCAAACCATGTTGGCTGTTATTTAATCTCTGTGTAGTTTCTGTCTCTGTATGACTATTTCATATAATATTCATGCTTCCAGATGGCTGGATTCACTTTGCTTTTGTCCATTTTTTCTTCTTGTCCAGCAGTACGTCCTGCTCCTGTGTTAGTGTTCTCCATCCCCTCACTGTGTTTCTATCTCTCCCCTCTTTGCCCCTCAGTGTGATCATGACTGGAGCGTATAACAGTTTTTTCCGGATGTTTGACCGGGAGACAGGTCGGGGGGTCACCCTGGAGGCCTGGAGGGAGAGCAGTAAGCCCAGGGCCGTGCTGCGGACCCGCCGGGTTTACACCGGGGGGCGTCGTCGCCGTGGCGATGTGGGGGTGGACAGCCTGGACTTCACTAAGAAAATCCTGCACATGGCCTGGCATCCCGCAGAGAACATCATCGCCATAGCAGCAACAAACAACCTCTACATCTTCCAGGACAGAGTGAACTCGGAAAACCCAGAAAACCAGTGACAGGAACAACTTCTACACTCACTCGGCCGCTGTCATAAGAAAAACTCTCCACTCTTTTTATTTGTTTTTTTTACACCATTTGAAAATGCCACCTGTTCTTTTTATGAACAGTTCATAACAGACATGTAAATCTCTGACCTTCTCTGACGTTCTTTAGTAAATTATTCAGTCATAAAATCTCAAATTTCTCTATGACTGAACTTGATATTGTGGTATGATTCAGAACCATTTTTAAAAATACTGAATACACAAATGTAACTGGAGAAAGTATTTATACATTAGTGGAACATAAACAATAAATTAAGACAATGTTAGATTACCGCACTTGTTTTGAATATAATTATAAGTGATTATGGCCAAAGTTAACATTTATAAACTAGGCAGTCGAATCACCACCTTCAGTTCGATGTGTCTACATGTTTTTATGACTATTTTATTGACGAATGTAACAACAGACATGGTACAAAATGACTTTAATTATAATCTCGCTACACCATCGTACATTGAACTGAATACGTTTTTCTCTTTCTCACATAAAGATACTGTTTTAGAGATTTAGAGGTTTTCTTATGACAGTAACAATGTAAACTCACAGAAAAGTTCCTGTGAAGATGCAGTTCGACACTTTGTGGAACTACAGACACACTCACGGCTAATCATGGCTAATCGCGGCTAATCACTGCTAATCGCAGCTAATAATCAGTGCCCGTTCCCTTTTACTGCCAAGAATGTTGTGCATTTTTTGCTTTGTGACTGACCACACCGTCAGCCAATGACCTGAGATACTGACTGCTTTCAGCCAACCACCAAACGCCCTAAGCCAGCGGTCATCAGAGTCCAGCGTTGTCTGATGATTTCACTCCTTTTATCCACCTACTAAAACAGTAATTAGAGTAGCGGTCATTAATTAGAGAGAAGCAAAATGAATAAAGCAGAGTTAGAGTGGACACATGTTGGGGATGAATGCATCCCTACTAAGGAAAGATACTGCAGGCGCGTGGTGCATCGTGGGTAGGTGGACGGATCAAGGCTGCAGTCAGGAGCAGCAGTTTAATGTTTTCCCTGTGTAAAATCCACCGGTCTGTACCTGCTGTCTACCTGCTGAGTGGACTCTGGGCTGGAAAACAGTGCAGGACCAAGAGGACAGCTGGACCTTGTGGATCCTGTGTTCGGGAGTGTGAACTGCTGCTCTGGGACTGGACTGGATGCAGTTACTCGGTTGTCATGGTTACATGGTTAAGCAGTCTTCCTATCGTGTGCTTCCTAAAACATATCTCACAATGCATCTGTTATTCTACAAGCACTGGACGGCTCATCCCTGATCACCAACGTCTACACCACAGTGGGAACTTCACACCACCAGGACGGATCCTCACCAGTGTGAGTGAGTGTGTATGAGTGTGTGTGTGTGCGAGTGTTTGTGTGGACCACATTCATTTTACTAATGTTAAATTGTGATAAAAACATTGGGTCTTGTGCTCAGGTCAGCAGTTTTCAGAAAGTGACGCACGACGTGACCAAACATTTCAGATCTTAAAAGATTTCGGCAAATATGTAACTAACAATCACCCAATTAACCTCACACTAACCTCAACACTAACCAACAGTAACACTAAGTGAAGGGACACTCCAGCCAAAATAAAATACACCCATCACTAAAACTGCTGTGAACACACTGATACAGTGCTTCAATAATGGACATTCATATCTACATTGAGTCTTTAAATGATGATTTAGGGTTAGTGTACATTTTGAAAGACTATAGCCACTGAAAGGTGGACGCTTGGGGCAGTCTGTTCGAATATTTTCCTCTCCTTAATGTCAGCGGTCGATCGTAGAGGGAGCTAGATAGCTAATGTTTCTGTTAAGAAGCTGAATATCTTATTGGAATTGGAACTTTGCTAATAAGCTAAACCATGAAGTTAGCAAGTCAAGTACTCAGCTAATTAGACAGCTGACTTCAGTTTGTTTGATATCTTTTCCTGGAAAAAACTGAATGAGACAAAGGCTAAAGTGCTAATTCTGGCTAGCAACACCGCTGCATTTGTTAGCCTATAGTAGGTACGATTGACTGGTACTGTAGGGATTCCTAATGAATATGTGACATATTTGCATAATGCATGCTGGGTATTGTAGTGAAATGAGATTAATGAATGAAAACATGGAAATGATTTAAAATTAAAGTGTTAAATGAGGCTGATAGATACAGAGAAGTGTCACAGAGAACTACATAACACAACAAATAACAAACACCAGTTTTATGCCAGAATGGCATTTTAACTAATCCCAAACTCTAATCTTAAACTGAAACTAAACTTAAATGAACACTAATCCATAACTAACACTAAACCTAAATTTACACTAATCCTAAACTAACACTAACCCTAAACTAATACTAATCCTAAACTAACCCTAAACTAACTGGGTATTGTAGTCCTAATCCTAAACTAACACTAACCCTAAACTAACTCTTAAATAACCCTAATACTAAAACTAACCCAACCATTCACTAATATTAATCCTTAATAAACACTGACCCCATACTCACATGACCTCACATCTAAACTAATCTTTAGACTCTACACTAACTTCACACTAACTCTACACTATCTCTATACTAACTACACCATCTCTACACTATTTCTATACTAACTCCACATTAACACTACACTATCTCTACCTGAACGATACCTTAATTCTACACTATCTCTAACATAACTCTACTCTAATTCTGCACTACCTCTACACTAAATCCACACTACCTCTACACTAACTCTACACTATGTATATACTAATTCTACACTATCTCTAAAATAACTTTACATTAACTCTACACTAACACCACAATAACTCCACAGTAACTTTAAACTAACTCTACATTAAATCTACACTATTTTTTTCACTACACTATGTACATACTATCTCAACACTACGTATATACTAACACTACACAATCTCTAAAATAACTTTAACTCTACACTATCTCTACACTAATGCCACACTAACTACACTATCTCTACACTACACACTCTACACTAACACCACAATAACTCTACACTAGCTCCACATTAAATCTACACTATTTTTTCATCTCTACACCAACTCTACACTAACTCCACATAACTCACATAACTACAGTAACTCTATGCTAACTCCACATTATCTCTACACTACACATCTTTTCACTATCTCTACAGTAATTCTACAATATCTCTACAATAAGTACACTGACTCTTCACCATCTTTACTACAACCCTACACTAACTCTACATCTCCGTGCTAACTCTGCATGAACTCTACACTATCTCTACTCCACAGTAACTCTACACTATGTCTACACCAACTCCACATTACCTCTACACCAACTCTACACTAACGCCACATTAACCATACACTAACTCTATACCAACTCTACACTCATGCCACATAAACTCCACAATAACTCTACACTATATCTACACTAACTCTACTCTAACTTCATATTAACTCTACATCAACTCTACACTATCTCTATACTAACTCTACACTAACCTTATCCTAATGCTAACTCTAAACTAAACTCTTAATCTTTTTATTTACCTCTCATTTGTGACCTTCACTAATAAACTCTTTTAGAGTGAGTACAAGAATAACCAACAATAACCGTGTGGGTGGAGCCATGTGTGTAGAGTAATGACAGAGTAAGATGAAGCAGATGAAGGTGAACTACAAAGAGCAACATGAAACACCAAAACTAATCCAGAGAAAACAATGTGGTTTAATGTGTGATTGCAAATTAAAAAAGCAATGTGTATATGTGTGTGTATATGTGTGTGTGTGTGAGTGTGTGTGTGTGTGTGTGTGTGTGTGTGTGTGTGTGTGTGTGTGTTTTGACAGTCACCTGTTATTTTTCATGATTGAGTGTTGGATGTAAAGGTTAAAGGTCACGTTGTCATCTCCTGGACAGACACACTGTGGTGCAGGAGATTCTGCAGGACGGACAATGAAAAATTTAGGACATTAAATTCAATTTGTTCAGATTTGTTATTTTGTTTTCTGAACTCACTGATGAGGCTCCTCCCTCATTCTCTCTTACTCTCTCTCATGTTTCCTCACATAGAGTAACACTGCACTGTCTGCACATCCTGTTACCATGGCAACGGGCCTTCTGCCGTCCCACAATTCCTGCTCCACACGCACAGGCACAGTGAAGCAATCAGGCGGAAGAAGCTGGAGTTTTTCAGTTGGACTTTTTCAGGGCACTCGCATGTTTACCATTAAACAGTGTTACTCATGTATGTATATTAAAGCATAAACATATTCTAACCACACAAGCTGGAGAAATAAAAGGAGGAATGTGTAAATAAGACAATATAACCCTGTCTGAGAGTCTGGTTATTTCTATATTTTTGAACAGGATTATTATTATTATTATTATTATTATTATTATTGTTATATTGTTATATGTTGTAACACAAGTGTCAATGTTCATTATAATGCCTTTAAATAGATAGACCACAGACATATTATCGCAAGTTACAAACTTTAATTTCTTAATTTCTCAAAGTTTAAAAAAAAAAAGAATGTACTTAACACTTTTTGTACATTTGTTTGCCCTGCAGTATCCAAACATGATCAGAAAACATCAGTGGAAGCTCTCACCACTGATCCTGCAATAATACACGGTGCTGTGAAAAAGTATTTGCCCCCTTCCATAATTTCTTCTATTTTCGTGTATTTGTCACACTTGAATGCTTTAGACCATCACCCTACTTTTAATGACAAAGATCACCCAAGTTATCACAAACCGCTGTATTTGAATGAAGATTTCAATTATTGAAGGAAAAATGCTGTTCGGCCCTACCTGGCCCTATGTAAAAAAAAGTAATTGCCCCCTTCGCTACTAAATCAAACAGTTAACCAAATTCAACTCACTATTTGGTTCAATATCACGAGCCATACCCAGACATGATTACTGCCAGACCTGTTGAGTCTAACCATCACCTAAATAGAATCTGTCTGGCGATGTGAAGCAAGCAATCTAAAAAGCAGCACATGATGCCACGTTCTAAAGAGATTCAAATACAGATGCGAAACAAAATCGTTGAAATCTGCCTGCCTGGAAAGGGTTACAGAGCCGTAAGCTCTGGGACTCCAGCCATCCACAGTGGGAGCCATTATCCACAAATGGAGAAAACTTGGAACAGTGGTGAACCTTCACAGGAGTGGCCGGCCTACCAAAATTTCACCAGGAGCGCATTGACAACTCATCCAAGAGGTCACTAATGGACATTTAAAGAATTGCAGGCCTCATTTGCCTCAGTTTAGGTCAATGTACACAATTTCCCAATTAGAAAGACACTGGGCAAAAATGACATCAATGAGAGAGGTGCAAAGTGCAAAAAACACTGCTTACCAAGAAGAACACAAAGCCTCATCTTGCATTTGCCAAAAAACATCTAGATGACCCCCAAGGCTTTGGGGATGATCTTCCGTGGACTGAGTCGAAGGTCTTTTCTTTAGGTCAAAGGAAACTTTTTATGAGATATAGGTCCCGTTACATCTGGTGTAAAGCTAACACTGCATTCCACCTTAAAAACCAACAGTCAAACATGGTGGTGCTAGTATGATGGTCTGGGGCTGCTATGCTTCTGCAGGACCTGGATGACTTGTCATAATTGATATAACCATAAATTCTGCTCTCTATCAGAAAATCCTGAAGGAGAATGTCCTCCAGGCAGTTTGTGACCTGAAGCTCAAGCACATTTGGGTTATGCAGCAGAACGATGATCCGAAGCACACAAGCAAGTCCGCCAAGACGTGATGTAAAAGACTCATCGCAAGTTATCGCAAACGTTTGATTGCAGTTCTTACTGCCAAGAGTGGCACAACCAATTATTAGGTATAGGGGGGTAATTTCTTTTTTCACAGGTGTGATATAGGTTTTGAATAAATCTTTATCTTCAATAACATTAATGATCATTTAAAAGGTGTATTTTATGTTTTCTCATGTTGTGTTTGTCTTATATTACAGTTAGATGATCTGAAACATTTGAATGTGACAAATTAGCAAAAAATAGAAGACATTGGGTGATACACTATACAAAACTCTATATATCTATTTTATTGTGTTCATGTTAACAGCAGATAGAACTTTATTCTGGACATTCATTTTATTAGAATATTTCCTGATTTAGTGACTCAGCCGATATCTCACTCTGACAGACTTACTGGTGGGTAGAAACTGCTTGCTAACAATCATTATGGACGAATGAACGATGGAAGAAATCCAGATCCACTTTATATCTGGAGGAGTAAAATTCCAACAGTTGTGGTGATTTTAGCATGCAGTTTACATCAGACTGTCTGAGCACTTCTGTCTGAGACTGAAACTCACTGAAACGCAACAAAAACTCTTCTGCAGTCACAGCAAAAACTCTTCAGTCACATCTCACACTTGTAAGTAAATATTACAGAAATTCAGCTTAGAGCTAGCTTTTACATTTTTCTCTAATTCAGTCCTACAGAGAGCCAATGCAACACATTTATTCCTTTGACACTGAGACTTTCTTTAAACTAAAGCTTTGGGGGGGTTAACTCACCTTTATACTGACCATCCTGCCCTTCAGACAGCTGGGCATGAGCAATATAAACACACAAACAGGTCATGCTGTGGCTACACTCTGCAGCAGCAGTGCTTCTAGAAAGGTAACTAAAGAAAGTGCTTCTGATTTTCATTCTTAACTCTAACTCAACTGAATTTTAATACATTCAATTGTTTCGAGTCTTGATTCCCTAAAATAAGAAATCTGCATATTGGGCTTGCAGTCCTCCTCTGAATGAAGCCATCCAGATGAACTTTATCAAAAAAGCAGCAACCTTTTTGGGTCAGTATGCTAAAGGAGCTTTTTGCCTCTTTTTTGGGGGGGCTTTTTTCTTTGGATGCCCACCACTGTGAATAAGCCAACATTGCTAATAATGCTAGCACATAATGGTGATTTCAGCACTGAGATGGGCTAATCTCCATGGCCATAAAATTTAAAACGCAATCTGAATACATGAAGAAAGCAGAGCTATCGCAAGCCCAATGACCTTCATCAGGGTTCCTGACAGTTAGCTTCTGCTGAACTTAAACCCTGGAGTGATGAAGATCTATTCCACAGTGAACAATTGATGGTCTGTTTTGTCTCCAGTTCCTATCTTGGAGATTTATTTCTCCATCATTTTTTCTCCACCAATGCATTTTTGTGTGAGTCACATAAACCCCAAATAGGATAGCACTTAGTGATCTCAAACATTTAGAAACAACTCTGCTCTTCTCTCTCCTTCTCTCTATCCATCTCTGTCCCTCTGTCCATCACACGCTGATCCTAGCTGAGAGGAAAGGGGAGAAGAAGAAGTCAAAGGCGAATTTCATGGCTCCCTGAGCACTCTTCCTCCAGTTGCGTTCAATCTTGACCTGCCGTCCCTCGGGCAGCAGTGAGGATTTGCAGGCTAGGCAGTGGATGGCCTTCAGTTCAAACACGGGCAGCTTAGTCCCCAGTTTCCCCTCCAGCTTTGTGCTAAATTCCACCATGCTGCCAGGTTCCAGGTTCAGGAGGACCTGCTTAAACTCGTGGCTTGCAGACAGGATGATGTCACCGGTGGGGTCATCCTTTTCTGTGACCCCGTCCACCGGCCGACCGATGGTCACTTCAAAGCGGTAACTATCGAAGCGTTTGACATGGCACTGGTATCTGGCTACGGATTTGATGTGGCAGAGCCGTTCCTCTTCCTGCTGTTGGAGGAGAACAGAGGCATTTACAGTTATGGGGTCCTGCACGTAAGTGCTGGTGTTCTGTACAGGCGCACTGATGTTCTGCATGGGTCCGTTAGTGTTCTGCACAGGTGCACTAGTGTTGTTTGGCTCGCAGCTGGGATACACCTCTCCATAGAGGCACCTCAGCCAGTCTCCCATAAACACTGGTAGCAGGTTAATGACCGACTGAGCGCCGTTTTCCATCTCTGCCACACGGACGTGGCGAAACTTTCCTGTCCAGGTGACACGATGGCCTTCCAGATGGCTGCAGAAGAGCTGAGTCTGAGCCATACCCTGTCTGGCCCACGCCGGTGGCCCACAGAGCGTCCCGTATTCCTGCCAGGTGAGAGTGGAGTTGTACACCTTCATCCCCTCAGTGTTGTAGACGTATGTGGCGCACAGTAGCACCACGGTGGTGAGGCACAGTAGGATGAGCTTCACTGGGCCACGGTGGGTGATGGAGTGCAGAATTGTGAGGATGGACAGGCTGAATCGTGTCCAGAGTCTCAGCATGACGGGAACGGCGCAAACCGCTAGAGTCACCAGCATCTTAGTGAGCTCCAGCTCGAGGAACCACTTGGCCATCTGGATCAGCAGCATGACAGACAGGCCCAGGGCCAAAACAGGCAGGGCGAACAGGAGCAGGAAGTAGGCGACACAGGTGCGGATAAGGCCGATAGGGGTAGAATTCTGCAGCAGAACCACAGAGAACTCCCACCACATGAAGCACACCAGGTATGGCACCAGGAAGCAGTAGGTACCCCTGAAGCCACGCATGCGTGCCATTCTGCAGGGATATAAACACAGAAACAGAATTACAGACATAAATATATGAAATGTAGTTGTAATGATTAAAATATACAACACATCAGTTTTTTCTAGAAGTTTCTAGACATAAAGAATAACCACAAAATACTCAAGATCATTATTTAATGACAGGTGCAGGGTGGCCAGCAGAGGCCACTGTGGCTCTAATGAGCTCTAATGAGCTGTTGAACCAGGTTAGAGCAGGAAAACACTGCGATATACAGGACAGGAGGACTGCAGAATGAGCAGAACCCTTCGCCTCTAAGCTAGTGTGTGCTGACCTGAAGAACAGGTAGAACAGGTAGACGTAGAGCAGACATGGCAGGCTGAGCGTTAGCACCACGCTGTCTCCCAGAGGCACCACAGAAAAGGTTTGGCCCAAGACCCTCAAGGCCTCCATTTCTGAGGGCAAGCGAGTGGTCAGCGCGCAGAGCGAGGAAGCCACCTCGATGACTAGGGCCCTGCGTGCATACGCCGCTGCAGACGGGCTGAGAGACACATAGCTCAGAGCTGTGAAGAATATGGCCACCGTGGACAGCTCAGAGCAGGGGATCCAGTGCTTATCCGCCACGGGGAAGCTGAAGATCACAAAGCACACAGATACCAGGAAGTACACATACTGCTCCAGATTATTCCAGCCAAAGTGCGTCTCGGCCTGCTCCACATCCAGCCCGGGCTCGAAGCGGGTCAGCAGTGCGGTTAGTGCACTGAAGTTCTCCCAGCCTTTACTGCTGCGGAACACTCTGAGGGTGCAGATGCCCATGGAGATGAAGGCCAGGTAGAAGACAAGCAGTGGGATGATGAAGGCAAACAGGTCAACACTCAAGTTCGAGATAATGAAGAAGAAGATCAGAGCGTTAACGTGCTGAGTGGGGATGATGGTGCTGAGCCACTGAACACCTGCGCGAGACGCCCAGTCCACCAAATGCTCCTTCATCTCCAGGATCAGGTGCAGGGGGTACTGCAGACCCTGAAAAAGATGATACACGTTTTACCAAGAAGAGGCCGTTTAAAGCTTCAACTGTTTATGCCTTGCATTAATATGTATTTTCAGTGATCAGTTCACATTCCTACTTCTCTTGACTGTATGAAATGACAGGAGTAAACATAAACAGAATGCATTGTGATCAAATTACAATCAGATCAGTACAACCACGTTTGGATACAGTCAGAGAAACGGAGCTCTATATTCAACACAAGAGTAACTGAAATGTATTTTGTATATCATAAAGTTACGTAAGCTGAAAAGATAAATAAGGAAAGGCAGGATGGAGAATGCGAGAGGCTTAAGTTCTCCAAACCAAACACTTTCTTGCACTCTGGGCCGTTGAAAGCATCCAAGCCAAGCTTTTTGATTTGTACCATAGCAGAGAAAAAAAGTAAATGGAAATAAAATGGAAATAATGTTTTGTTTATGTGTTGATGTTTTTACTCAGGACAGTAAACTAAATAAATTGAGATATGATCCAGACTTGAAACACATGTTAATGCAAGATCAGGTTCGAAGTGAGGGAGGTTTTACCAGGAAGTGGGCTTTGATGTCTACGGCTCTCTTCATGGCACCGCTGCGTTTGGTGTCCAGCATCATCCCAGTGCCCCCCATCCCCCAACTGGTCTTTAGCATGCGCCTATGAGAGATGGGGGACACTCCCTTCTGCTCCTACAAACATGCAACATCATTCACAATCATTACTCACTCTGCACTACGTTACTCACTAGCGTTAGTATGGTGTATAGTGTTGATGCAGTGTGTTGTTTTCATACGACATGTTGTGCTGGTACAGCAGGTAGTGTTGGTGTGCCGTGTAGTGTTGGTATGGTGTGTGGTGTTGATGTGGCGTGTAGTGTTGGTATGGTGTGTGGTGTTGATTCGGCATATTATGTTGGTGCGGCATGTTGTGTTGTTATGGTGTATGGTGTTGGTGCAACGTGTAGTATTGGTGTGGCGTGTAGTTTTGGTATGGTGTGTTATGTTGGTGCGGTGCGTTGTGTTGGTATGGTGTGTAGTGCTGGTGCAATGTGTTATGTTGGTATGACGTGTAGTGTTGGTATGGCATGTAGTGTTGATACAATGTGTGGTGTTGGTAGGGCGTATAGTGTTGGTGTGGTGTTTAATATTGGTATGGTGTGTTGTCTTGGTACAGCATGTGGTGTTGGTGTGGCATGTAGTGTTGAGGTGTGTTGTGTTGATGTGGTGTGTAGTGTTGGTGCAACATGTGGTGTTGGTGTGGCATGGAGTGTTGGTGCGGTGTGTAGTGTTGGTACAGCATGTTGTGTTGGTGCGGCGTGCGGTGTTGGTGCAGCATGAGGTGTTGGTGCAGTGTGTAGTGCTGGTGAGGCATGTTGTGTTGGTATGGTGTGTGGTGTTGGTGTGTCATGTGTTGGTTTGGTGTGTAGTGTTGATGTGGCTTGTAGTGTTGGTACAGCGTGTTCTGTTGATTTGGCGTGTAGTATTGGTATGGCATGTGGTGTTGATGTGGCATGTTGTGTTGGTATGGTGTGTGGTGTTGGTGTGTCATGTGTTGGCATGTAGCGTTGGTGCAAAGTGTATTGTTGGTACGGCCTGGAGTGTTAGTGCGGTGTGTAGTGTTGGCAGGGTGTGTGGTGTTGGTGCAGCATGTAATGTTGGTGCGGAGTGTAGTGTTGATAGGGTGTGTGGTGTTGGTGCAGCGTGTTGGGTTGGTACAGCATGTAGTGTTTGTATGACATGTACGGTTGGTGTGGCATGTAGTGTTGGTGTGGCGTGTTTTGTTGGTGTGGTGTGTAGTGTTGATGTGGTGTGTAGTGTTGGTGTGGCATGTACTGTTGGTGTGGCGTGTAGTGTTGGTGTGGCATGTATTGTTGATGCGGTGTGTAGTGTTGGTGTGGTGTGTAGTGTTGGTGTGGCATGTATTGGTGTGGCGTGTATTGTTGGTGTGGTGTGTATTGTTGGTGTGGTGTGTAGTGTTGGTGTGGCATGTATTGTTGATGCGGTGTATAGTGTTAGTGTGTTGTGTAGTATTGGTGTGGTGTGTAGTGTTGGTGTGGTGTGTACTGTTGGTGTGGTGTGTATTGTTGATGCGGTGTATAGTGTTGGTGTGGTGTGTAGTATTGGTGTGGTGTGTAGTGTTGGTGTGGTGTGTATTGTTGGTGTGGTGTGTATTGTTGATGCGGTGTATAGTGTTGGTGTGGTGTGTAGTATTGGTGTGGTGTGTAGTGTTGGTGTGGTGTGTATTGTTGGTGTGGTGTGTATTGTTGATGCGGTGTATAGTGTTGGTGTGGTGTGTAGTATTGGTGTGGTGTGTAGTGTTGGTGTGGTGTGTATTGTTGGTGTGGCATGTATTGTTGGTGTGGTGTGTAGTGTTGGTGTGGTCTGTAATGTTGGTGTGGCGTGTAGTGTTGGTGTGGTGTGTAGTGTTGGTGTGGTGTGTAGTATTGGTGTGGTGTGTAGTGTTGGTGTGGCGTGTAGTGTTGGTGTGGTCTGTACTGTTGGTGTGGCGTGTAGTGTTGGTGTGGTGTGTAGTGTTGCTGTGGCGTGTAGTGTTGGTGTGGTGTGTAGTGTTGGTGTGGTGTGTAGTGTTGGTGTGGCGTGTAGTGTTGGTACAGCATGTATTGTTCAATGAAAAACGGTGAATGATGTTGCCATGGTGATCCTGCCTGGTTTAGTTGTGCTGAAGCTGAAGGCTGGTTCTCCAGGCTGTTGTTTTGGACTGAACCGTTTTTTGTCCCTGTGGTGGGAGGGGTGATGCCCTGAGCATAGTTTTTAGTCATTTCCACAAACTCCTCGACGTCTACATACTGAGAGGCTGCAGACAGATAGACTCACAGTCATTATTATAGTCAAACATATAAAATCTTCAAACAGAAACTTTATGAATCCTTATGCAAACCGCAGACTTGCAGTGGCAACAGATTATACTCATATAAATACACGAAGAGGAGCTCTAATGTTTACAGCGTTTATAGATATGCTTACACGAGACTTAACCAACACTGCGAGTTCACAAACGTTTGACTATTCATAAACACACACATCCTTGCTTACATTCGCTGGCTACCATGGTTTCCAGCACCTTCTTCTGTGTCTGGACGTTGGGCATTCCACAGCTTACAGCACCTGTGTGATCACATCATATACTGATACAGCAGAACCACCAGCCGATACTGTTCCCAAAACATTTGAAGCCTTTTTGACTGAAATCGTTTGTACTTGATGCCTCAGCCTGATTTTGCCTGACTCCGTTTTGTTTAGTGACTTTTTCATTGTGCTTTATTGTGATGTCTTTTTAGTAGACGCCTTTTTGCCTGATCTAATTTCCACTGATGCTTATTTACTGATTTACTTTGTTGTTTGATGCTTTGTTATACATTCTTTTTGCCAGATGTCTTTTTTGCACAAGACCTTTTGCTACGTCTTGTTGTCTAATTTCTTTTTATGTGCAAACTTTTTGCCTGATGCATATTTTCGAGATGCCTCTGTGGTGTGCACCCATCCCCCAGTGGCGGCTGCGAGAGCCTGCCGGAAGGCAGGGCTGAACATCGAGGAGGAGGATGACGGTGCCGGCAACAAGAGGCATAAGGGCAAGGAGTGAGTCCCGGGCTCCACCACCCAGGCCCCGCTCCCTGTTACGCAGCAAGGCCACTTCACTACACCTCACGTTCGACCTGGGCAGCCGAGCTGCGAGCGGTGACGGGGAGGCAGAGCAGTGAGCTCTCGTTCCCTCTCAGCTCTTTTTAAAAAGCACCCGAGCTGAGAGGGAACGAGAGAGAGAGGGACGAGCAGCAGCAACAGAGACTGACTGAAGAGCTGAAAAGCTTGAGTAAGAAAAAGACTGAAAAGTCTAGCTAGTTGAAAGCCACTGAAAAGTGACCAGTGTAGCATTGGTTTTGTTGAGTTTATTTTGTGTGAGTTTGCTGGAGAAAATAAAATATGGCTGCTGCAAATGTTTCTCCTGCCTCCAGCGTCCTCCTTGAGCCCAGGGTAGCACATGCTGTGCTACAGCCTCGTTGCCTGAGACCTTTTTGCTCGATGCCTTGTTGTCTAATGCCCTATTGTTAGATGTGTTTCTGGCTTCAACCTTTTTTGCGTGATGCATTTCTACCCAATTTTTCATGAGCCTAACATCAGATGCCTTTACCTATGTCATTGAATCTTGTCTGATGCCTTGTTACCTGTGTTTCATTGCATCTTTATTTCAAGTAAGATTTTGGAGTTGATTCTAGAATAATAATAAAAATAAGCGCTCTATAATGTTCATATGATCCACACAGTCACTCTGACAGACTGTAATACACTACAGGAAGTGTAGGGAGCGATATGGGTTCTACTGTTTCATTTGAAAAGCTCTATAATGTTCATATGATCCACACAGTCATTCTGACAGACTGTAATACACTACAGGAAGTGTAGGGGGCGATATGGGTTCTACTGTTTCATTTAAAAAGCTCTATAATGTTCATATGATCCACACAGTCATTCTGACAGACTGTAATACACTACAGGAAGGGTAGGGGGCGATATGGCTTCTACTGTTTAATTTAAAAAGCTCTATAATGTTCATATGATCCACACAGTCACTCTGACAGACTGTAATACACTACAGGAAGTGTAGGGGGCGATATGGGTTCTACTGTTTAATTTAAAAAGTGCTCCATAATGTGTGTAAAGGTGTCTGATGGTTAACCTGGCCCAGCGTTGACCTGACTGACATTCTTCAGCATTTCAGACATTGTCATTTTCTGCTTCCTGTCCGGATTCAGTTTCCAGTACATCATCATCGCCGCCCGTCGGACTGCCTGCTCAAACTTGCTCTCTGTCGACAGCCTGCGCACTTCTGCTTCATTCTCCTGAGTTATTCCTGCAGGGTCAAGGGTCAACTGAATCATTGAAAAACATAATTTGATATTTAAATGAGTGGATTTATTGCATTTCCTACACTCAAAGTAATCTAAGAGATGTGTCTGTTAAGTCAAGAGCTGAAAGTTGGACTCCTTTTTATAAGAAATTTCAGAGTCTTTTTTTTGATACAGCTGAAAGAATAAAAACACCTAAATGATCTATGTTGCAGCAACAGGACTTTTGACTGATTAGTTTAAACTAAATGAAATTTAAGTAAAACTCAAGCCTCAGTCCTTATATCGTTATCGTTCTAACAAAGAGGAGGAATGAGCGGGAAAGTTTAGTAAGAACAGTCTAAAAGGGAATATTTTATGCTGGTCATAATACATTTTGTGATAATTGTACCTTTCTTCTGAATCCAGCAGCGCTGCAGAAGTCGAGCTGCATCTCTGCGTCCCTGTTTTGCCGCCCGCATCAGCCACTCCACAGCCTGGCAGTTATTAACATCAGCATCCGACTCCAGAGCCAGCTTCAGATAATGTTTACCCAACTACAGAAAGACAGACAGACAGAAAGACAGGTCAGTGAAGATACACTCCTCTTAAGCTGTCAATGGGAGAATATTACCGGAACAATGTTGAGATTACATTAATTTCAATTTATCTTTATTGTCATTATACATAAAGGGAGTACAGTATAACCAAACGCTCTGGTTCTCTGATGCATAAACACTAAGACAAGGTAATGAGTACGCAAGTACTAGGTCCACAAACAATATGTATGCCCACCGAGCACTTTATGTACACCTATACACCTACTCATTCATGCAATTCTCTAATCAGGCAATCATGTGGCAACAGTGCAGATCATGCAAAATTGGGCAGGAGCTTCAGGTAATGTTCACTTTAACTATTTGAATGAGGGAAATGTGATCTCATTGAAATTTTGACCATGACATGATTGCTGGTGCCAGATGGGCTAGTTTGAGTCTTTCTACAGCTGCTGATTTGCTGGGATTTTTTCACACCACAGTCTCTAGAGTTACTTAGAATGAATCAATAAAGAAAAACATCTGGGCGGTGGCAGTTCTGTGGATGGAAACACCTTGTTGATGAGAGAGGTCAGTGGAGAATAGACAGACTGATCCAGACTACGCTAACTCAGATAACCACTCCTTACAATTGTGGTGAGCAGAAAAGCATCAAACATCCAACCTTGAGGTGGATGGGCTACAACAGCAGAAGACCACATTGGGTTCCACTTCTGTCAGGCAAGAACAGAAAGCTGAGGCTGCAGTGGGCGCAGGATCGCCAAAACTGGACAGATGGATACTGGAAATGATGTAGCCTGGTCTGATGAATCTCAATTTCTGCTTAAGTACACAGATGGTAGCACCAACAGCATGAATCCATGGACCCAACCTGCCTTGTCTCAGCAGTCCAGGCTTGTGGAGGTGGTGTAATGATGTGGGGAATGTTTTCTTGGCATACTTTGGGCCCATTAACACCAATCAATTATAGCTTGAATGTCACATCCTTTTTGAGTATTGTTGCTGACTTGTTCATTCCTTCATGGTCACAAAGGAACATTACACTTATACTGGGTAGGGCCGCCCTTTGCTGTCAAAACAGCCTCGATTCTTTGTGGCGTGGATTCCACAAGATGTTGGAAACCTTCCTTTGAGAGTCTGTTCCAAGTTGACCCAATTGTATCATGCAATTGCTGCAATTTTTTCAGCTGCGCTTTCATGCTGCGAATCTCCTGTTCTACCACATCCCAAAGGTGTTCTATTGGTTTCAGGTCCGGTCACTTGGAAGGCCACTGAAGAACACTGAATTGTTATGTTCATGAAAGCAGTTTGAAATGACTTTTGCTTTGTGACGTGCATTTTTATGCTGGAAATAGCCATTAGAAGATGGGTACTGGCTACCCAGCATTAATAAAACCTGAGTGGTCACCCCATATGCCACCTCAAAATTTCTGCTTCACTTTTGGCTTCCACCTCACTGTGAGGGGCAGGAGTTTGCACCTTTAAGAGGAGAGGTGTTTCGCTATCGGCGACTGGTGGAACAACTGTCCAGCCCCTCCCCATTCCAACACCACTCACACATTCACATCTGTCCTGCTTTCTCCAACCTCTCTCCAACTCCCCACACCCAGCTTGCACATTCCTGGTGCCACCCCACTGAAACCCCTGGTAAAAATTTCTTTTTGGTTTTGTTTACAGTGAGGGAACGATTGTTGTCTGTGCACCATTCTGTGAGAAGTTTCACTTCCACTCTGTATGCTACCTTATTGTTGTTAGTGATGAGGCCTACTACCAATGTTTTGTCAGTGAACTTCATAATGATGTTGGAATTGTGCTTGGCGATGCAGTCGTGGTTGTACGGGGTGTAGAGCATGGCTGATAAAACACAGCCTTGTGGAGAGTCTGTGCTGAGAGTGGAGGTGGGAGAAATGTGGCCTTCCATCCTAATGTACTGAGACCTGCTGGTGAGAAGATCTAGAATCCAGCTGCAAACTTTGAGACTGATTCCTTGGGTCTCGAGCTTGTAGACCAGTCTAGAGGGGATAATTGTGTTGAATGCTGAATTAAAATCAAAGAACAACATTCTTATGTAGATGTTCTTGCCTGTCATATGTACAATGCAGTGTGCTTAGCCAGGTAGATCACATCGTCAGTGAATCTCTTTGTGTAGTAGGCAAATTGATGAGGATCCAGAATTCTGGGGACACAGTTCTTAACTCGAGTCAGGACCAGTCTTTCAAAGCAGTTCATAAGGATGGGTGTGAGTGCAATTAGGTTATGGGCAATGAGGCATGTGGCGTTGGGTTTCTTTGATATGGCTATCATTATTGTGGTTGAAGCATCTGGGATTGTGCCAAAGAGAGGTTGAAGATGTCTGTGGAAGCCGTAGCCACACTTTCAGGGATTCCTTAGGATCTGGTGGCTTTGTATGTGTGCACTCTGGACAGGGCTGTTTTCACTTTGTCTGTACACAGCGCTAGTACTGTCTCTTCTGCAGAAGGACCTGAGGCTTCACTGGTCAGCTGAGCTTGGTTGATCTCAAAGCAGGCATAGAATGAGCTGAGTTCAGTAGGGTGGGATGCATCTGTGGCTGATGAGCTGTAGACTTTACTCTTGTAGACCAACACTGCCTGGATACTCAATGATGTTGACAAAGTCAGCTTGAATTTGCTTAGTATACACATTTTTTTGCAGGCTTGATGCCAGCTTTCAGATTGTGTCTGCTCTCAGACCCCCACGCATCACACTCACACATCACCCCCTTGCATCACCTCCACACCTTACCCCCACACATCTTCACCATGCATCTCCCCCATGCCTTAACCCCACATATCACTTCCTCATATCACCCCCACACATCAGCCAAACACATCACCTCCACACATCATCCCAACACATCATCCACACATCACCCCTATGCATCACTCCATGCATCACCCCCATGCATCACCAACTCACGTCACCACATGAATCATCCCCACATCACCCCTACATGTCACATATCGTTTATTACTTATTCATATTTTCAATTATTGCATATATTCAATACAAAAGACTTTTTTTTTTTACTTTTAACCTTTAGATTAATTCATGATCTCACTTCTCATTTTTCCTCTGAGCTACTCCATGTTGTTTTATTCTAATATGCATTGTTCTAATGTCTTTTAGTTCCTCCCACATGTTCTATTGTTAATTTGTAAAGCAACCTTGAGCTTAGGAAAGGGGTTAGATGATTAAAAAAATCTAATAATAATAATAATCTGAATCTGAAAGTGCTTTACACAGGAATATTAATAAAGCCTGACAAAAGGTTTAAATGCAGTCTCATCTCAAAGATCCATTTTTTCCCTAGACTTCCATTCAAATTTATCTTCCTTCTTTTTCTGACTAAATATATTTTTCCAAAAAGCATTTATGTTTCTATTTTTTATTCTCTTTATTTGTAATCCTTCTGAAATGAGCAGAGCTATTGCTAATGCTAATGACTCTCAAAAGATCCTGTATACAACTGACATAAGAAAGTTAAGAAAAAGACTACATTACCCATCAGCCCATGGTAAAGGACAAGGTGCAGTAGGTTAATGTAAAGACTACATTACCCATCAGCCCATGGTAAAGGACTAGATGCATTAGGTTAATGCAAAGACTACATTACCCATCAGCCCATGGTAAAGACTAGGTGCAGTAGGTTTATGTAAAGACTACATTACCCATCAGCCCATGGTAAAGGACTGGGTGCACTAGGTTAATCTAAAGACTACATTACCCATCAGCCCATGGCAAAAGACCAGATGCACTAGATTAATATAAAGACTACATTACCCATCAGCTCATGGGAAAGGACTGGATGCAGCAGGTTAATGTAAAGACTACTTTACCCATCAGCCCTATTGTTAATTTTGGCTAACAGCCAGAAGGTTGGGCCAGGCTCTAAGCCAGAAGAAGGATCAAATGATGATTTCTAATCTCAGATCTTAGCAAACCACAAAACAGCAATGCAACAAACATTGAAACATCACAAAACATCAACAGAGCAGAGGCTGTAGAACGTGTCTAGAACATATCTATGTAAATGTAAATGTGAGTGTAGCTCAGTCTGAAAAAGTAGCTGAACACACATCAGAGAGACTTACAGCACACACACACACACACACACACACACACACACACACAAACACACACACACACACACACACACAAACAGCACTGAGAGACAGTTGCAGCACACACACACACACACACACACACAGCCCTGAGACAGAGACTGTGTGTGCTATATTGAGTGTGAAGGCTCGTCTTCCACACAGCTCAAAATAGAATCATACACTCAGACCACACACACTCTCTCACACAGCCTATATCACTGACTCACAGCCTACATCACTGACCAGCAGCCTCTATCACTGACCAACAGCCTAAATCACTGACAAACAGCCTATATCACTGACCCACAGCCTACATCACTGATCTACAGCCTAAATCACTGACCAACAGCCTAAATCACTGACAAACAGCCTAAATAACTGATCCAATACCTATATCACTGACCAGACAGCCTAAATCACTGAGACACAGCCTATATCACTGACCCACAGCCTAAATCACTGACACACAGCCTATATCACTGACCCACAGCATTTATCACTGACTCACAGCCTAAATCACTGACCCACAGCCTAATCACTGACCCACAGCCTAAATCACTGACTCACAGCCTAAATCACTGACCCACAGCCTAAATCACTGACCCACAGCCTAAATCACTGACTCACGCTCTGAGTTACACACATTCTAACTAAATCAAATTTATGAAAAGTCCTGTTTGAGAATGTTTCGGTAATGAGAAGGGTGTGTCCCCTGTGTTTTATTGTGCCTGTTTGTGTATGTGTGTGTGTTTGTGTGTGTGTGTGTGTGTGTGTGTGTGTGTGTGTGTGTATGTGTGTGCGCTCACATTGCTCTGTGCTTTAGGATCTCCTCCTTTCGCTTTCTCCAGCAGCTCCTCAAATGTCAGATCTTCATCAGGTTCATCCTCTAAATCACACACAGGGAGCAAAACACACAAAACAACAAACCAACAATAAAATCAGCTGCAGTGACACTGAAGAAAATTAAAACTTCCTACCATGAACACAACATTTCCCATCAGCACCCTCTTCTTCACTGATTAATGTGAAAGAATAATCACGTGTTGGAATGAGTGTCAGCAACTAAACACATTTACTGAAAATGAGCCAAACTTGCCAGTACAGGCACATTTACCATTGGGTTAATAACAGGTAGATAGATAGATAGATAGATAGATAGATAGATAGATAGATAGATAGATAGATCAGGTACTGGATAGGGTACTGGATTAGTGTGAAAACCTTTTTAAAAAGGCAAAATATAAGCACCCTGGGGGGCACTGTGGTAGATAAAATAAAAATGTGACCCTCATATACTTTGGACTGTTCATAAATAAAATAAACTAGAACAAAACAAAATAAAATTAAATAAATAAAATTGAAATGTGTGACCTTCCCCCTCAGACTTTTATTTTAATTGAAATTAAATAAAATAAATTAAAATAAAAGTCTGACCTTCCTCCTGGGCCTTGGCCTGTTCTTTCCTCATCCGGCCCTCCAGCACCACCTGCCTTGCCACCGCCGCAAAACTCCTGCGCACCGGCCGACAAGACGGAGGGCCAGCAGGGGGCACCAGACTGGTGGGATGAGGAGGGGTGGAGGGGTCAGAGGTTGGGGTTGGGGTAAGAGAGGTGGAGGGGTCAGAGGTCAGCGTTGGGGGTGTTAGTGTGGACGCTGTAGGAGAGAGAGAGAGTAATGGAGAGCGAGGTTGGTGGAACTCCAATCAGCAGGTGGCGTCATCAAAATCTAACTTGCAGTACTTGTCCTTTTTACCAACACTCATCTGTCATCACACAGTATTCTATACAGACTATATATATATATATATATATATATATATAATACTATACAGTATACACTATATAGCTAAAAGTATCAGGACACCCCTCCTAATAACTGGGTTCAGGGGTTTCAGACACACCCTTTGCTAACAGGTGTATAAAATCAAGCACAATCTGTGTAGACAAGCACTGGCAGTAGAGAGTCGTACTTATGAGCTCAGTAACTTTAAACATGGCTCTGTCATAGGATGCCACCTCTGCCACAAGCCAGTTTGTGAGATTTCCTGCTGGATCTGCCCCAGACAACTGTAAGTGCTATTATTGTGTAATGGATGCATCTAGGAGCAACAATAGCTCAGCTACAAAGCGGTAGACCATGCAAACTAACAGAGCGGGGCCGCCAAGCGCTCATCACTCACTACAAAGTTCCAAACTGTCTCTGGAAGTAACACCAGTACAAGAACTGTGTGTCAGGAGCTTCATGAAATGGGTTTCCATGGCTGAGCAGCTGGGTTTGGTGGATGCCAGGTAAACGCTACCTACGCACAGTGCCAGCAGTAAAGTTTGGTGGAGGAGGGATAATGAGCTGGGGCTGTTTTTCAGGCCCCTTAGTTCCAGTGAAGGGTGATGTTAATGCTACAACACATAAAGACATTTTACACAATTATACACTACCAGCTTAGTGGGAACAGTTTGGGGAAGACCCTGTCCTGTTCCAGCATGACTGAGCCCCTGTGCACAAAGCAGCTCCATAAAGACATGGAGTGACCAGTTTGGTGTGGAGGAGCTCCAGTGTCCTGCACAGAGCCCTGACCTCAACTCCACTGAACACCTTTGGGATGAACTGGAACATCGACTGTGAGCCAGACCCTCTCGTCCAACATCAGTGTCTGACTTCACGAATGCTCCTTTGACTGAATGAGCACAAATTCCCACAGACACTCTCCAAAATCTTATAGAAAGCTTCCCAGAAGAGTGAAGCCTGTTATAGCTGTAAAGGGGGGCAGCTCCGCATTAATGCCTATTGTTCTGGACTGGGATGTCCAACAAGCTCATACAGGTGTGATGGACATGTGTCCACATATTTTTGACCACATAGTGTAAATTCATTTTAGACAATAGAGATGAGAATACATTTTGTTACATAGCAGTTAGCTCCACCCAAACACTCTTACTGGATATAAGAGAGAAAATACCAGATATATAAAATTAAATAAAACCGTATGAAGAATGAAGCTAAACCAACCCAGATCTGCCCTGATGGAGGGAGAAGTGGAAGAAGTGGGGGTGGATTTCTGGATGGCTGGAGCTGGGGGGTGGAGCCCAGGGGAGGTTTGGCCGGGTTTGGGTAAAGGAGCGACTGTGGGGTCACTGGGGGTCGGCTCATTTTCTAACGGGGTCACCGGGGACGATGGAGGAGGGGCCTTAACGTCCATCTCACCTGTAGAGACAAACACAAACAAACACACATAAACAAGCCTCCATTAAAGCAGACTTTGTTTGGGGTCCTGGAGACTCCCGAGTCTCTTTAACCTCACTACAGACCCCCACAGTGTGCAGAGGAGGAGATATTTTATTACCATCTGAATTTGACTCAGACGTGTTCATACAGAACAGCACTGACAATGTAATTTATTAAGTTATTATTAAGTTATTAACTGTGTAATTATAATGAAAGAGTTTTTTTAAAGAATATTTTATTATCTTCATTAATTTACTGACTCATTTTATGAGGATTTTGGCTTGATGCCAAGTTTAAGCTCTATTGCAAATGAAGAAGAATTCATTTATTAATGTTTATATCATCTAAACCATGACATCTCAGTGTTTGATGTACTACTACTAAGAATAACAATAATAACAATAATAATAATTTGTTTGTTTTTAATTCCTCTTCTGAAATATACTAATGAAAAAAGGATCAAAGGATTTAGATCTATTTACATTTCATTTTAATTGGCTTAAAAAAAAGTTGAGGTAAAATAGCTCCATTACTAATAAGCTCAATTATTAATAAGAATAATATAAATATAATTCATATTATTTAAATACACAAAACAGAAGGATTTAATGTTGTTTTAAGCAGAATCGCACACACTCTAGTCTGTTCCAGATGACACACAATACCGCAGTGAGAGGGGTGTGTGTGGTGTATGTGAGTGTGAGTGTGTGTGTGTGTGTGTGTGTGTGTGTGTGTGTGTTGAGGTGTTTTTAAAGTTCAGCAGCTCAGATTCACTAAAGCACAAAAGCACAAACAGAGTAAACAGAACTAAACACAACTCAGAGCTCAGAGTTACTCACTGCAGTGTGAACGGTCAGTCGGTCAGTCATGAATCTGAAACTTCTCCTCCAGCAGGAATCCTAAAATAAACCACACTCCCCCCCACAAGCCCCCCACACTGCTCACACTGACCACAGCCCCAGTCTGAGAACCACTGAGATCTACTCCACCCTTATTCAGACAAACCCCGCCCCTCTGCTCTGTGATTGGCTAGGATAAATCATTAGCCAACTGGAAATCTAAACTGATTGTTAGCCCAGAGTTAAACCAGATCAAACTGTGCTAAACCAGATTAAACTGAACTAAACCAGATTAAACTAAAATGAATTAGAGTTAAACCAGAGTTAAAGTGACTTACAGCAACTTAAACTGACCTAAACAGAGTTAAAATTATTTAAAATGAGTTAAACCAGATTAAACTAGGTTAAACCAGATTAAACTGAGTTCAGCCAAATTACACTGAGTTAAATTGAGTTAAACTGAGTTTAATGGAATTTTAAAATTGAACTAATTTACAACACTGTTTTCAAAAAACATGGGATGTTGTGCAAAGTGTAAATAAAAACAGGATGCCCCCTGCACTGATTGGCTAGAATTAAACATTTGCCAACTTGAAATCTAAACTGATTAATATTAGCCCAGAACTAAACTGAGTCAAACCAGATTAAACTCAGGTAAACCAGATTAAACTAAATTAAACTGAGTTACAATGAGTTAAAATAAGTTAAACCAAAGTTAACCTGAGCTAAACAAATTTAAACTGAGTTAACCTGAGTTAAATTGAGTTAAACTGAATTACAAACAGTTTCCAAAACAGTTGGGATGCTGTGCGAAATGTAAACAAAACAAAATGCAACGATGCGCAAATCATTTAAACTCTATATTTATTTGAAAATAGTACAAAGACAACATATCAAATGTTGAAACGGAGAAATCTTGTTATCTTGACAGTTTTGAATTTGATGCCGGCAACATGTTTTAAAAAAGTTGGGACGGGGCCTGTTTACCACTGTGTTTCATCACCTCTTCTTTTAGCAACACTCTGTAAGTGTTTGGGAACTGAGGAGACGCTGCTGTAGTTTAGAAAGTGAAATGTTTTCTTGTTCTTGTCTGATACAGGATTTCAGCTGCTCAACAGTTCAGGGTCTCCTTTATCGTATTTTTGTTTGATAACGCACCAAATGTTTTCAGTGGTGACCGGTCTGGACTGCAGGCAGGTCAGTTTAGCATCCGGACTCTTTTACAGCAGAATAAAGCTGTTGTAATACATGCAGAATGTGGCTTGACATTGTCTTGCTGAAATAATCAAGGCCTTTCCTGAAAAAGATGTCATCTGGATGGCAGCATATGTTCTCCAAAACCTGTAAATATGGTTCAGCATTAATGGTGCCTTCATAGATGTGGGAGTCACCAATGCAATGTGCACTAATGCACTCCCACACCATCACAAATGCTGGATTTTGAATTGTGCACTGACAACAAGCCTGATAGTCCTTAGCCCAGAGGACACAGTGTCCATGATTTCCAAAAAGAATTTAACATTTTTTTCTGATCAAGAAGGGGATAAAGGGCAACAGATAGCCAGAAAAAAACACACACAAGAGACAAGGACAGCAACAATGATCATAGGTACAACATCACAAAATTAAATAATGGATGAAATGTCCATATTCAACGTATACCTTGCAGGAAATCCAAAATACGTAACACAAAAATTTGCCATGTTTCAAGAGTCATGTGCTTAGTATGGTTAAGTCGCACAGCTGTACATTCAAGTTTTGCTATGTTAAGTAAATTAACAGCCCAGAATGATTCCAAGTGAAGTCCAGGCGTAATCCAGTTTTATAGGATTGTCTTTTAAGAATTGAAAATTTTGATTCATTGAAAAACAGGACACTTTTCCACTTTGTCTCAGTCTATTTTAAATGAGCTCAGGCCCAGAGAAGGTGGAAGCATTTCTGGATCCTGTTTATATATGTTTTTTTCTTTGCGTTTTAGAGTTTTAACTTGCATTTGTGGATGAAGTGATAAACTGTGTTCACAGACAGTGGTTTTTGCAAGTGTTTCTGAGCCCATGCAGTGATTCTACTACAGAATTGTGTCTGTTTTTAATGCAGTTCTGTCTGAGGGCTCAAAGATCACGGCCAGCCAATACTGCTTTTTGGCCTTGTCCCTTGCATTCAGAGATTTCTCTGGTTTCTCTGAATCTTTTTATGGCGTTATGTACTGTAGATGATGAAATCCCAAAGTTCTTCGTTATTGTACATGAAGAAACATTCTTAAATTGTTGCATTATTTTCCTATGCAGTCTTTCACAGATTGGTGAACCCCTACTCATCTTTGAATGAATAACTGACTCTAAATGTAGGTATTGTGATATAAACTGAGTTTGTTCTACAGTTTCTCATTAGGCTGAATGAATAACCGACTCTAAATGTAGGTATTGTGGTATAAACTGAGTCTGTTCTACAGTTTCTCATTAGGCTGAATGAATAACCGACTCTAAATGTAGGTATTGTGGTATAAACTGAGTCTGTTCTACAGTTTCTCATTAATGGTTCTGTAAAGTTTGTCCAGCAGCAGCTACGAAAGAACACTTTTGTGGGCGGAGCCTGGAGAGGCCGCGCGAGGATCTAAAGATAAGCCACGCCCGTCGATTGCAACGCCCTCCCCCCCCCACTACAGAGACGTCCCGTCTGGAGCCGGTCTGTCCGGTCACTGCGGTGGAACGGACTGAGCGGGCGCGCGAGCAGCAGTGATGTCCGGCTGTCGGCTGTGGAACCGCGAGCACGAGCTGCCGGTTTATCTGGCCAATCCCATCACCTCCCACCAGCACAAACCCGTCGGCACGCGCAGCGGCGCGGAGGGAGCGCGAGACTTCACCAGCGTCGAGCTGCATAGCGGCAGCTCGAACGCAGCCAGCAGAGACAGGAGCCGCGAGCGCGAGCCGAGCGGAGATCAATCCACACGCGCGCGCAGTCACCACGCCCGCACAGAGGAGGCGCGCGACACCAACGGGCAGGTATATAACCTCATTATCGTTTACTGTTTACAATCTGATCTGACAGTTACTCATAAAAATATGAATATACAGATCAGACCAACTATTAAACCTATAACACATTAATATACAGATCAGACCGACTATTAAACCTAAAAAATATGAATATACAGATCAGACAGAATATTACACCTATAAAAACATTAATATGCAGATCAGACCGAATATTAAACCTATAAAAATATGAATATACAGATCAGACAGAATATCACACCTATAAAAACATTAATATGCAGATCAGACCGAATATTAAACCTGTAAAACATGAATATACAGATCAGACCGAATATTACACCTATAAAACATTAATATGCAGATCAGACCGAACATTACACCTATAAAAACATGAATATACAGATCAGACTGAATGTTACACCTATAAAAATATTAATATACAGATCAGACTGAATATTACACCTATAAAAACATGAATATACAGATCAGACTGAATATTCCACCTATAAAAACATGAATATACAGATCAGACTGAATATTACACCTATAAAAACATTATTATACAGATCAGAATGAATATTAACTGTATCAAAAAATGAATATACAGATCAGACCGAATATTAAACCTATAAATACATTAATATGCAGATCAGACTGAATATTAAACCCATAAAAATATTAATATACAGATCAGGCCGAATATTAAACCTATAATAACATTAATATACAGATCAGACTGAATACTAAACCTATAATAACATTAATATACAGGTCAGACTGAGTATTAAAACTACAACATAAATATACAGATCAGACTGAATACTAAACCTATAATAACATTAATATACAGGTCAGACTGAGTATTAAAACTACAACATAAATATACAGATCAGACCAAGTTTAAAACCTAAAAACACTAATATGCAGATCATACTGAATATTATACCTATGAAACATTCATATACAGATCAGACCGAATATTACACCTATAAAAACATTAATATGCAGATCAGAGTGAATATTAAACCTATAAGAACATTAATATGCAGATCAGATAGAATATTAAACCTATGAAAACATTAATATGCAGATCAGATTGAATATTAAACCTATAAGAACATTAAGATACAGATCAGACCAAATATTTAACCTATAAAAACAATAATATGCAGATCAGACTGAATAACAAACCTATAAAAACATTAATATACAGATCAGACAGAATGTTAAACCTATAAAAAATTAATATGCAGATCAGACTGAATATTTAACCTATAAAAAATTAATATGCAGATCAGACCGAATGTTAAACCTATAAAAAATTAATATTCAGATCAGACTGAATATTTAACCTATAAAAAATTAATATGCAGATCAGACCGAATGTTAAACCTATAAAAAATTAATATTCAGATCAGACTGAATATTTAACCTATAAAAAATTAATATGCAGATCAGACCGAATGTTAAACCTATAAAAACATAAATATACAGATCTGGGAGCTTTTTCTCTATTTATTTCTCTCAGAGATCTTAATTCTGACACTTCATTCTCATAATAAATACAGTATCATTATTAAACATGACACATAATAATAACATACACTTTTACTTAAAAAAGGTTCTGCTATTGAGATGATGTCAAGCTTGTATCAATAGCAGAGCTCTTTTGCTACACAGAACCACTTACAACACATTGTCCACCAATCAGAAGAACCATTTAACATGACATAGGAATAGAACCACTCCCTTCACTAGAGAACCCTTTAAAGAACCATATATTATAAGACTGTATAGAGAGGTATAATACAGTACAGCAATCATTATAACACTTATTATAGCTGGAGATCGATACATTTAGCTAATTATATCAATAACAGTAATTCTTAATCTATTATTAAAGATGTATGTGCATATGTAATAATGATAATTATAATTATAATAATAGTAATGATAATGTTGCTGTTTTTGTCTGCGCTGTATTTTCTTCCTGTGCTTTTATCCACACTGATGTTCTGACCTACTTAAGCTCCTTCCTACTGCATTCACTGTTAATATTTAACAAGCTCTAAAATCAGTTACTGCATTGGTATAACAGATAAAAACAGCCGTCATAAACATGGTGAAAGGCTTAAATAATATATATGCAGTGTATCATATGTACGTTATTTATTTATTTATTTATAAGATACACATGTTTCTAGGTGGAGAATGGAGGCCATGTTGCGTAACACTCACAAATAAGACAATTTATAAAATGGATAGTTCTGGTCTTAGACTCGGATTGGCTGAGTACGAAGCCATTGTGAAATCCATGATATATGTACACCTATGACGCCTCACAGCAACTGAATATATATATATATATATATATATATATATATATATATATATATAATTTTCATGCTGCACCACAGCATGAAAAACCCTTGTGACTTTAATGCTGCTTGCATGGAGCACCGAGTATATTGATGAAGTAAGAACCAGTATTTGTTTAAACTGAGGGGCTGACAGCTTATGTTCTTAACTAGAACTAGACTGGTCAGCTAGCTAACAGGCTAAACCGCTCCATCATTAATATCATAGGCTTGAATTAAAGCACTTACATTGCCCTTTTACTCACTCTAAAAGGGCAAGATAAAACACTAAAGAATGTCACTTGAATGTTTTACACACTTCAAATGTCCGTGTTTCAGTCAGAAGTCGCGTCAAACCCAGGCTGAGTCCCAAACGGCTCTGTACTCCCTAAATAGTGTTCTAGCTATGAAAGTTTAGAAATTCTAGCTTCTACAGCCAAACAGTCCATCATGTATCGAGTGTGGATGTGTCTGAGCCCTGCGATGGACTGGCGACCTGTCCAGGGTGTATCCTGCCTTCCGTCCAATGACAGCTGGGATAGGCTCCAGCACCCCACCGCGACCGAGAAGGATAAGCGGTTTAGATGATGGATGGATGGATGGATGGATGTGTCTGAGTCCCAAATGACTGTTTCTTAGCTGTATTTTGCTCTGTTGAGCTGCAGGATCCAGTATTTAAACTCCTACGTGGTGCACTATGTATGGAGCAGGGAGCCGTTTGAGATTCAGCCCCAGTGGGAGAAGAGGGCACCGCTGGATTGGTGCTAAATACGACTCGCGGTGGTGATTTGGAGACCAAAAAGTACTTATAAAGCAAAGGTTTTTGCATTAAACAGTGCTGCGTTATCATATGTTCGTTGTTATACGACAAAAAGTTAAGAAGTTCATGAAATGACTGCAGTGTACAGCGATGGATGACCAAACGTCCTCATTCAGCGGTTCATGGTTGCTTGGCAATGACACCATGCTCTAAAGGAACCACATTTCTTAGTGGAATACTTGTTTTATGTTGATTATTATTAATAATTATTTAGATTATTTTCTAAGAAAACGTGTATCTTATTATAATTTATGTTGGTCGCCTTTTAATAAAAGCAATAAGCCACTCAGGGGCGTGCGTTACAGTGATTTTATCACAGGGAAGGGAGTTTTACTCCGCTTGATGTTGTGCCTAACAACACCCTTCCCTGTGATAAAATCACTGTAACACAGCATCTCGTGGCTTATTGCTTTATTATCTCTGTATTAATACCATACTGTGAAAAACTCAGAGATCCTCTTCATTTATTTTATTTTTAGTAAAAACAGCTATTAATTAAACAGCTAAATTAATATGAAACATTTAATAGAAAAATATATTCATCAGAAAATTACACAATAACTAAATCTAGTATCAGCTCTGTGAGTGTCCAGTGTGTCACTCTTTACCTTTATTCCAGCTTCCATTCTTTTCAGGAGACTCACTTTCTGCAAACAAACCTCCAAAGTTCAGTCTTAGAAGTTGGTTGATCATTTTCTGAAGTGATCAAACACATTCAGTGGTGTTGAGATCTGGACTCCGGGGTGGTCAGTCCACTGTTCAGCTTCTTTGTTTGGTCAGTCTTGATCTTCTCAGCCGTGTGTTTGGGGTCGTTATCCTGCTGTAGACTAAGAAGGTCCTGCTTCAATCAGAAACTGATCTCCAGCTCCAGATGTTGTTCTACATCCTCAATCCTGCGCTGATCCTCCCCTGAGCTCGGTTGAGGGTCTGAAGAGTCTTTCATGTCTTCGGCGGCGTCTGTACTGCCTTCTGTTCCCTCCAGAGATCTCATATTTAGACTCTTCAGTCCATAAAGCCTTTCTCCACGTCTCAGACGGTCAGCCTGGTGTTCCACTGCAGATGTTCTCGTCTCCTTTTCTCAGTGAGGTTCTTCTTGACAGCTACACATCCTTTCAGACCCACAGCGCTGAGTCGTCTTCTCACAGTGGAAGGATGGACAGAAACACCTGTGGATGTTTTCAGATCTGAAGCAGCTTGATTTTCTCCTCTCTCTCAGAGATGAAAGCTTTAAGTGCTGTTTATCTGATGGGGGCAGTTTTGGGGTCGACCAGCTCTTCCAGGTGGTTGTTAGGAGACAAATTTAATCTGTAGCTTTTAATCAGTTTTTTGAACTCCAGTTTTTTTCACTTTGACGTTCTCCTTCATTCTGTGAGTGGATCATCTGATATATGATCTTCTCACAGAAATCTCCTAAAAAAATCAATAACTTGAAATTAATGACTGTTTTGAATGGAAATTAAACAAATGACGAGGGTCTCTGACTTTTTCAAGTGCTGCGATAATTATAATAATAATTATTATTATTATTATTATTATTATTATTATTATTATTATTATTATACACTACTGCCTAAAACAAAAGTGTCACAGGTTCTGGTATGTATATATGCATGTAAGTGAAAAGAGGGCTCGCGCGCTGCCTTTAAATCCCCAGATTTCTATTTTTTTTAATGCGCGCGTGGGGGGAGGGGGGATTAATCACTCAGACAGACCCTTTATCCGGCAGATGGCGCCGCAGACAGCCCCCCCAACCCCATCAGAGCCTGCGCGCGCGCCTCAGCTGTAATCCTCTCGCGCTGCCGCCGCTCCTCATTGTTCCTCAGTATTTCGGCGTTCGGAGCGGAGCAGCATGTCCGGCACGGGCTTCCAGGGCACGAGGAACATTCCGCACCTCACGGTGAGACACGCACGCGCACTCCGCGTGGATTAAAGTCCAGAGCGTTAGCACAGCGCAGCTTATCTCAGCATATCCCACCCTTCAGCATGAAAAGGGTGAAGAGCTCGCGCTGCGAACCCCACTGAGGCGCGAGCACGCGAGAGGGAACTGAGCAAGACGCGCGCGCCGGAATCTTTGATTGAAGAGGCTGATTAAAGCACCGGATATGCTGACTGATACAGCATTACATCATTATATGATCACATTATGGTGTTATTACATTATTACAGCATTGCTGTCCTTAAAAACCTTTAACACGCGCTTGAAGGGTCTCCGCGCGCCGCTATCTCAAAGCTCTGCTGTAGAAGAATCTTAAAAAAGGGGGCGGGGCAACAAAGGCAGGTGCAGGTGCAATAAAAGGGGGAGGGGCAGTAACGATGACGTAATTCAGGGTTCATTCATTCACTCCTGTAGTAACGAGAGAGGTGTCCAGTTGCCATGGAAACGTAAATCCACGCCCACAGCAGAGTTGGAGGAGCGCGTGCGTTCGGTTTCAGGCAGATCGAAATATCAGTATTATTAAGAAAAAATATTGATGACGTTCTGAATATCGTTATAGGCACATCAAAACGTCATAACTCCTTTTCCTTTCTCTCTCTCTCTCTCTCTCTCTCTCTATTTCTCTCCATTCCTCTTCTCTCACCCTCTCTTTCTTTCCCGTCCTTTTCTCTTTGTCTCTATTTTATCGCTCTCTTTCTCTCTCTCTCTCTCTCTCTCTCTCAGAGTGAGCGGTTGCTGATTAAAGGAGGACGAGTGGTCAACGATGACCAGTCGCTTTATGCTGATGTTTATGTGGAGGACGGAGTCATCAAGTAAGATTCTCACTGAGGGGCGGAGCTTAGACGTTGCTAATTGTTCATCTCATTTAAATATGTTTGACTACAGTTGGTTTAGAGTTTATACACTGACATAAGCAGCATTTCACTGCACACTGCTGGAGGTGGTGTATTAGCTGCTCTGTGTGCTAATAGAGTTTCGCTTTATTAGCCGCTCTGTGTGCTAATAGAGTTTCGCTTTATTAGCTGCTCTGTGTGCTAATAGAGGTGGTGTTCTTTAACTGTTTCATGTGATAATAGAGGTTCTCTTCATTAGCTGCTTTATGTGCTAATAGAGGTACTATTATTTAGCTGCTCTGTGTTAAAAAGTTCTGTTCGTTAGCTGCTCTACGTTAATTGAGGTGGTGTTCATTAGTTGCTCTATGTGCTAATAGAGGTGGTGTTTATTACTTACTCAGTGTGCTATAAGAAGTGACATGCATTAGATGACCTGTGTGCTAAAAGAGAAGGTGTTCATTAGCTGCTCTATGTGCTCACAGCGGTTGCATTCATTAGCTGCTCTATGTGCTAATAGTGTTTCTGTACTAATAGAAGTTTTGTTTATTAGCTGGCCTGTGTACTGCTCCGTGTACTAAAAGAAGTCATGTCCATTAGCCGCTCTGTGTGTAAATCGAAGCGGTGTTCATTAGCTGCTCTGTGTGTAAATTGAAGCAGAAATCATTATCTGCTCTCGGTGCTATTAGAGTTTATGTTCGTTAGCTGCTCTAAAAGAGTTTTTGTTTATTCGCTGCTCTGTCTGCTAATACAGGTGGTGTTCATTAGCTGTTTTGTGTGCTAATTAAGTTTGTGTTTATTAGCTGCTCTGTGTATAAAAATGGATGGTGTTATTTAGCTGCTCTGTCTATGAAAAAGTTGGTGTTACTTAACTGCTCTGTGTGCTAATAGAGGTAGTGTTCATTAGCTGCTCTGTGTGTTAATAAGTGTGGTGTTCATTAGCTCCTCTATGTGCTAGTACAGAAGGTGTTCATTCGCTGCTATGTGTGCTAATAGTGCATCTGTACTTTAGCTGCTCTGTGTACTAATAGATATGGTGTTTCTCTGTGCAAACAGAGTTTCTGTTCATTAACTATTCTGTGTGCTAATAGAGTGTTTAACTACTCTACGTGCGAATACAAGTGATCATCATTAACTGCTCTATGTGCTAATGGAGGAGGTGTTGATTAATCGCTCTGTGGAGGTGGTGTTCATTAGCTGCTAATAGAGGTGTTAATTAGTTTTCGGTGAGTTAAAGGTTGTGTTCATTTGCTGCTCTGTGTGTTAATAAAGGTGATGTTCAATAGTTACTCTGTGTGCTAATACAAGTAGTGTGCATTAACTGCTCTTTGTGCTAATAGAGTTTCAGGACGTTAGCTGCTCTGTGTGCTTATAGAGTTTATGTGCATTACCTACTACTTGTGCTAATAGAGTTGGTGGTTAGCTGCATTGTATGCAAATACAGGTGGTATTCTTTAGCTGCTCTGTGCGCTAATAGAGGTGTTATTCATTGGTTACGCTGTGTGCTAACAGAGTTTCTATTCATTAGCTGCTGTACGTGCTATTAGAGTTTTGCTTCTTTAGCTGCTCTTTGTGATAATAGAGTTTTGCTTCATTAGCTGCTCTGTGTGCTAATAGAGGTGGTGGGTTTTAGCTGTTTTGTGTGCTAATAGAGTTTCTGTTTATCAGCTGCTCTGCGTCTGAGAAAAGGTTGGTGTTCTTTGACTGTTCTGTGTGCTGATAGATGTGGTGTTGATTATGTTCTCTGTGCTAAGAGTTGTGGTGTTGATTAGCTGCCCTGTGTCCTGATAGTAGTTGTATTCATCAGCTAGTCTCTGTGCCAATAGGGAAGGTGCTCATTAGCTGCTCTCTGTGCTAATAGAGGACATGTTCATTATTTCCTCAATGTGCTGATACAGCAGATGATCATTTGCTGCTGTGTGTGCTAATAGAAATGGTGTACATTAGCTGCTCTGTCTACTAATAGAGGTGGTGTATATTTGCTACTGTGTGTGCTAATTGAGGTGGTGTTCTTTAACTATTCTGTGTGCTAATAGAGTTTATGTTCATTAGTTGCTTTCTGTGTTAATAGAGTTTCTATTTTATTAGCTGCTCTGTCTGCCAATAGAGGCGGCGTTCACTAGCTGTTCTGTTTTGCTAATAGCATTTCTGTTTATTAGCTGCTCTGTGCTAACAGAGGTTCTTTTCATTAGCTGGCCTTTATACTGAAAGGGATGTTCATTAACTGCTCTATGTGTTAATAGACGTGGTGTTCATTAACTGCTCTGCATGCTAATAGAGGTGTTCATTAACTGCTCTGTGTACCAATACAGGTGGTGTACTTTTGCTGTTCTAATAATTGAGAGTAGTTAACGAACACCACGTTTATTATCTGCTCTATGTGCTAATAGAGTTGATGTTCATTAACTGCTTATATAGAGTTAATAGAGTTTATCTGTCTGCTAATAAAGCAGATTTGTTCATTGACTGGTGTGTGCTAATAAAGGTGGTGTTTATTGGCTGCTCTGTCTGCTAATCAAGAAGTGAATTTGCTGCTCTGCGTGCTAATAGAGTTTCTGTTCATTAGCTACTCTGTTTTCTAATAGAAGTGGTGTTTATTAACTACTCTATATGCTAATAGAGGAGAAATTCCTTTGCTGAGGTATTTTTAGCTGCTCTGTGTGCTAATAAAGGTGGTGATCATTAACTGCTCTGTGTGCTAACAGAGGTAATAGTGTAATGGAGTGTAAATAGTTTTTGGATCGTCTCATCTTCAAAATATAAATTTTCTTAAGGTTCATGTTGTGCTGATATTTCTTGGTTAAATATCCTCTGCAGGCAGGTTGGAGAGAACCTCATCGTCCCTGGTGGGGTGAGGGTGGTGGAGGCGGATGGTCGCATGGTCATCCCCGGCGGCATCGACACCAACACCTGTCTGAACAAGGCTTACCTGGGCAGCCCACCTGTGGATGATTTTTATCAGGGAACCAAAGCAGCGCTGGCTGGAGGAACCACGATGATCAGTGAGTCAACACCAATGCTATTACAATCCAATCACAATCCAGTGCCTTATTGTAGCACGGGCTCAAGAAGGACGCTGGATGCAGCGTTCATGTTCGCAGCAGCCATCTAACTTTATTTCTCCACCGAACAAACACAACAAAACCAAAGCTATGATGCAAACTTCTTAGTGGCTTCAAACAAGCTTTTCTCAGTTGAGCTTTTCAGCTCTTCACTCAGTCTCTCGAGGGAACGAGAGCTCGTTGCTCCGCCTCCCAGTCACCACCCCTGCTTGGCAGCTCGGCCCCCCGAGTCGAACATTAGGCAAATTAAAGTGGCCTCACTGCGGGACCGGAGGTGATGCCCAGGAGACGGGACTTGGGACTCGCGCATCGTCCAACACTCACTCGCTGTTCTCTCCCTGCCATCCTCGTTCAAAACCGTTGTTCAGTTTGGACTCCACCATCCTCGTGGCCGTCATCGGGGGCCAGGGGCCGGGCGCATGACACCCATTAAAATTCAATCTCTATCAATATCAGTACTGTAATTCAGTTACAATCCACATCACCAATATAATCCATGAGTTTTAAATAAGTATTTGTGGTTGCAACTCTTTCCTGTCCACATGCTGTTTAATTAAGGTGTGTGGTCTTAAACATTAAAGCTGATAATCTCATGAGAAATTTCTTTGTTGAAAACAGAACGATCTTCTGTAGATATGTGGTATCTCTGCATCTCTGTAATGTCCAGTGTTGTGTTTTATTCACTCTGCAGTTGATCATGTGACCCCTCAGCCTGGAACCAGTCTTCTGCAGGCGTTCGAGCAGTGGCAGGAAGTAGCAGACAGGAAGTGCTGCTGTGATTACTCTCTGCATGTGGACATCCCACAGTGGGACGAGGGCGTGAAGGACGAGCTGGAGGTGCTGGTCCAGGAAAAAGGTACTCACACCTTCAGTCTGAGTAAGGGTGCTGGTTTAAATAGACTTCAGCTGTGTCCCAATTCAGGGGCTGCATCCTTCGAAGAATGCGGTCTATAAAGGCATGTTGAAGACCGCGTACACCCAAGAAGGCTGAACTGAAATAATACGGTCTACTTCTATGGCGGATTTCCTGTTTGTGTCACAGCACCGCTGTTCACTCCCCCTTACTGCTGCATCACAAAACGCCGCTTCTGTCACGTTATTTTACAAGTTTTTTAAATACGGGAACAAAAACTGATTTTATTTTTTATTTTTTCATTTATTAGACCTGGATGCTTCTCTCGGTCGGCTCTTTGCTCCCAAAAAGAAAATGAAATGTTAGCATCAGTTTTGCTTCAGACCACATTGGCTTTTATAACATTTGTATCGTTAGCTGGCTGACTCACTTTAAACCCAGTACTTACATTTAAAGTGTCTCCTCAGCTGCCGTTCGCTCTTCTGCTGATGCTGCCATAGAAAAGGAGGACACCCGCATATGAAGGAGCCTTCCAAATGGGACAGCCTAGTCGCGCCACTGTGATACGTTCGGCCTTTAAGTACCGTCTCCGAGGGAAGCAGCCCCTGAATTGGGACACAGCATTCATCTAAATATCTCCCTAAGCATTTGTCCATTTGTCTGTTTATTATTTATTTACATTAATCCAAGTACTGAAATTCAAGCTGGTCCATTTTTCATTTGACTCATTTTCCTGACCCAGAGAATGAAAACGCCTTCATGCCAGGAATTTTGTCCGCTAACTCGTCCTGCAGTTTTAGCGATCTCAACACCGTTCCGGAATGTTCGGTCTGAATGGGAATGGTGTGCTTGTATACAGCTTTTTGATCTGATGGTCAGTTTTCATACAATCTTCATTAATATTTTTTTCCCATAGATTTTCAACATGTAGCTAACATTTGGTAACCCCCTAAGAATGACTCAATAAACAGCCCATACACCATGGCAACTGCCTAGCAACAATTTAGCAACCGCATGGGATATCATAGCAACCACTTTGGATACCATAGCAACCGCCTAGCAACCACTTGGAATTTCATAGCAGCCACCTAGCAACACCCTACCAACCACCTCAGATATCATAGCAACTGCCTAGCAAAACCTTAGCAAACATCTAGAATATCATAGCAACCACGTAGCAACCAACTGTAATACCATAGAAACCACCTAGCAACACCCTAGCAACCACCACGGGTACCATAGCAACCACTTAGCAACACCTTTACAACAATCTGTAATACCACAGCAACCACCTAGCAACACCTTTACAACAATCTGTAATACCATAGTAACCACCTAGCAACACATAAGCAAACACCTGGGATGCCATAGCAACCCATAGCAACACCTTAGCAATGACCTCAGATACTATAGCAACCACCGAGCAACACCTTAGCAATCGCCAGGCATACCATCACAAACACCTAGCAACACCTTTGCAACAATCTGTAACACCTGCAACACCTAAGCAAACACCTGGGATGCTGTAGCAACTGCCTAGCAACACCCAAACATTCACAGAAAGAAAAACAGCTGGACGGAGAGTTTCTGTAAAGTGAGTCGGTTTGAAGGACGTTTTGTGCTCAGAGTGACCTGATGAGTGGTTAGTGCTCTTCTGTGAACAGACACAGCCAATAAAGCACCGTAATTCGGTTGGAGAAGTGTCTAAATTTAACTCTTCGGACTGTTAGTTAGACTTTGGGTGACACTGATATAAAAAACGGCCTTTAACTTTTTCTCTTCTCAAATTTACAGGAATCAACTCATTCCAGGTGTACATGGCCTACAAAGACTTGTTCCAAATGACGGACACCCAGGTTAGCATGGCACACACTGCAGACGCACCAGTCTGCTCACCCTGCAATCTCAAAACAAACTGACTTTAAAAACGTCTCTCTTCTTTCTTTTCCTGTTTCTCTCTCTATCTCAGCTCTATGAGGCTTTTTCATTTCTGAGGGATTTGGGCGCGGTGGTGTTGGTACATGCGGAGAATGGAGATCTAATAGCACAGGTGACAGAATGATCGAGTGAGTGAGTGAGTGAGTGAGTGATCGAGTGAATAAATAAGTGATCAAGTGAATAAATGAGTGATCAAGTGATAGAGTGAGTGTGAGTGAGTGAACAAATGAATGATCAGCTGAGTGAGTGATCAAGTGCGTGTGTGAGTCATTGAGTGAGTGAGTGAGTGAGTGAGTGAATGAGTGAGTGATCAAGTGTGTGAATAAATAAGTAATCAGGTGAATGAATGAGTGATCAAGCGAGTGAGTGATTGAGTGAGTGAGTGATCAAGTGAGAGAGAGATTGAGTTAGTAATTGAGTGAGTGATCAAGTGAGTGAGTGATCAAGTGAGTGAATAAATAAGTGATCAGGTGAATGAATGAGTGATCAAGTGAGTGAGTGATCAAGTGAGTGAGTGAGTGAATGAATGACTGACCAAGTGATTGAGGGAGTGATTGAGTAAGTGTGTGAGCGAGAGATCGAGTGAGTGAGAGAGTGATCAAATGAGTGTGAGTGAACAAAGGAAACTTTTCATAAAAAGAAAAATTCGTTGTTATATTTAATGGAAGTAAATGGAGAAAGTATTTGTTCCAAGTCATTTTAGACCATTTTTATTGATCTAATGATCATGAAAGTTTGAAACCATGTAAACTGATGATTTCAAACTTGTCAAAATATGAAAAACGTCAAATGGAGATACGAGGTTTTGTTCTGACAGCAGAGAAACGTTCAGGGCAATAATTACAATGATTTAAGATCCCGTAACTAAACAAACGTTTGTGTTTTAGGAGCAAAAGAAGATTTTGGAGATAGGCATCACTGGCCCAGAGGGTCACCCACTCAGCCGCCCAGAGGAAGTAAGATTCACCGTCCAGTTAGCTAATTAACCAATCACCTAATCACCTAATGTGCCAATTAACATATTAATAATTACTGAACACACTTGGCATTTCTCCAGCTGCACAGACAGCTGTGATGAATCTAACGCTGCTCTGATTGGCTCTCATAGCTGGAGGCGGAGGCTGTGTTTCGGGCCATCACCATCGGCAACCGGGTCAACTGCCCTGTCTACATCACCCGTGTGATGAGCAAGAGTGCAGCCGACACACTAACCCAGGCACGCAGGAAAGGTGTGCATGTGTGTGCGTGTGTGTAGCACTGGAGCTACAAGGCTAATGTTGCTAACAAGTAATGGAAGCTTATGCCCACCAACTAGCATGATGCTAACTGCATGCGTAAACAGTCACGTTTGCTTCAAACGTGTCACTGAAGTTGGCTTCCTGTTCGCCAGTTTCTTTTTTCTTCAAGTTGTGCAGGAGTTACTAACTCCCTCTCTCTCCTGATTGGTTGTTCTCCTGACTGTCTCTCTCCTGATTGGCCAGGCTGTGTGGTGTTTGGAGAGCCGCTTACGGCAAGTTTGGCCACCGATGGTTCGCATTACTGGAACCGGAACTGGGCGAAAGCGGCGGCATGCGTGGCCTCACCGCCTCTCAGCCCGGACCCCACCACCCCCCAGCACCTGCACACACTGCTTGCATGGTGAGACGCAACAACACCTGCACACACACCAACAACACCTACACACACACCACCAACACCTACTCACACTAACACCAACACCTACACACACACTAACAACACCTACACATATACTAACACACCTACACACCAACACCTACACACACACCAACCACACCTAGACACACAATAATGCACCTAGACACACACCAACACCTACACACACATCAACACCTACACACACACCAACCACACCTAGACACACGATAATGCACCTAGACACACATCAACAACACCTATAAACACACCAACACACCTACACACACCAACATCTACACACACACTCACACCAACAATGTATACACACACCAACAACACCTACACACACACACACTTACACACAACAGCTACACAAACACTAACGCACCTAGACATACAACACCTACACACACTAACACAGCTGCACCAGCAATCCATTAACCTTTCCCACGTCTTGCATCCCTTTTTTATCTGAGAATGTAATGAAGACACAGTCCTGCTTTTACACACCGTCTGTAGAGCACAGTGACATCATCCACTGTAAATATTGCACTCATCTGATATTGTCATATGGGAGGTGACATTACACAGTCTCACCCCTCTCTGCCTCTGAGCCCTAGTTTAATTCATTTAATTTAATCTAAATTATTTTACAGACAGAGGTATTTGGAATTGCGTGAGTGTGAGTGTGTGTGCACTTCTACCTTTTATCTGGCCCAGTTTCCAGAAATAGAAAAAGGGTTTCAGCTCCTGTTTCCATGGTTACAGAGCACCCCCCCCCCTCCCTCCACACACACACACACACACACACACACACACACACACTGGCTCTGAGGCAGACTGGATTGTGGGAGATGATGTCACTGCGATGAAATGTTTTCTCAGAAACACACACACACACACATTTTTGTCTTGCAGCAAGGTGTGTGTGTGTATGTGTGTGGCAGAGCTGAATTTGGGTTTGAAGGGATTAAACTCAATGCCCCCTCACTCTGCTGCTGCAGAACGAGGACCCCTGGTGGACAGAGTGAGGAGAAACACCTCAGTCAGCACTAAAACACAGAACCAGATTCAAAATCACACCGTCAGATTTACTGTAACATTGAAGTCCATGTTTTCACTGTAATGTGAATATCATTAATATCCTTAATGTTTGTATTTTTTTTTTTGTTTTGTCTGCACACAAATTTGTGTGAAGTGAATGAGTGAAAGATTTCTTCAAATCAAATCAAATCAAATTTATTTGTATAGCGCTTTTTACAACTGATGCAGCTTCACAGAAATCCAGTAAAGACAAAGTGTTAACATGAAATGTAAATCCTCCAAGTGAGCAAGCCAGGGGCGACAGTGGCAAGGAAAAACTCCCTCAGAGCTGAGGAAGAAACCTTGGGAGGAACCAAGGCTTACAAAGGGGGACCCATCCTCCTCTGGTCAAACTACCTATAAAATTATTATACTACTAATATTAATAGAAGTAGTAGTAATAATAGTTAGGAGTCCATGAAAACTTCAATGTAGGGTGGGCAGCTAGTCCAAGGCAAGTGATGGTAGCTGGGGTGTGGGCAGCTGGTCTGAAGCGGGTAGCAGGAGAGCTCGACAGACATTCATCCATCAGTGTCCGGCCGGACAGGTGGGCAGTCATTTACTCGGAAAAAGGTTGGGAGATGGAATTAGTTTTGTTCTGTTTGGGTGTATGTAAAACAGAGAACGTGAACATGTGAACATGCTCTGAACTTCCTCTGTTCAGCAACATATTTAGCACTCAGTAGCTTAATAAGTAACTTATTACATTAATCAAAAACATTTTATGTTTGTAATGCTGCATTATGTTATATAGTCAAGCACAGTGTGACACACTACTGTTATTACTGTGTTATTTGCACTGTTGATGACTGAGTGAGTTGAATCTTGTAGACTGTGGAAGCTGCTGTGGTCAGATGTACATCTCAGTCCATCCCTGCATAAGTACAGAGAGGAGCGTGATCTGATAACACTGCATTAACAATGTACAAACACTATATGAACACTGTATTAACACTGTATTCATACTGTATTAACATGGTTGTAACACTGGTGGTCTGTGTGTGGTAGGGTATGTGTGTGTGGAGTTAACACTGTGGTGCTCTGTGTGGTGCTATATGAATACTGTGTGGGGGGGCTGTTTTAGCACTGGTCTGTGTGGTGGTGCTGTATTAACACTTGTGGTTGATGTGTGGAGTTGTGTTAACAATGGTGGTCTGTGTGTGTGGAGTTGTATTAATAGTGTAGTAGTCTATGTATGGAGTTAACACCGGTGGTCTGTATGTGTGGTGCTGTATTAACACTGGTTGTCTATGTGTGGTGGTCTGTGTGTTGGGCTGTATTAATACTGTGGTGGTCTGCATGTGGAGTAATAACACCGTGTGTGGTGCTGTATTGACACTGGTTGTCTATATGGTGTGGTCTGTGGTGCTGTTCTAACACTGGTGGTCTGCGTGTGGAGTTATATTAACACTGGTGGTCTTTGCATGGTGGTCTGTGTGTGGTGCTGTACTAACACTGTGGTGTCTGTTTGTGGAGTTTGTGAGGTGCTTTTTAAAAACTGGCAGTGTAAAATGGTGTGGTCTGTGGGGTGCTGTATTAACACTGTGGTGGTCTTTTTTGTGGAGTTGTATTAATACTGTAGAAGTCTATATGCGGAGTTGTATTAACACTGGTGGTCTGTGTGTGGTGCTGTATTTACACCAGTCGTCTATGTGTGGTGGTCTGTATGTGACGCTATGTTATCATTATTTCTCTCTGATGTATGTCATCTGTGTATGGCACTGGATTAACACTGTGGTGGTCTATATGTGTGGTGCTATATTAACTGTGAAGGTCTTTATGGTGGTCTGTGTGTGGTACTTTATAAACGCTGTGGTTTTCTGTGTTTGGTACTGTAGTAACACTGGTGGACTGCATGTGTAATGCTGTATTAACACTGGTGGTCTATGTGTTGTGGTCTTTGCGTGGTACTGAATTAGTGTGGTGCTGTATTAACACTGGTGGTCTGTGGGTGGGCTGTATTAACACTGTCGTGATCTGTGTGTGTTGGTCTGTATGTGGTGCTGTTTTAACCCTGTGGTGGTCTGTCTTGCACTGTATTAACACTGAGGTGGTCTCTGTGTGGCACTGTATTAATACTGGGGTGGTCTCCGAGGTGGTCCCTGTGTGGCACTGTATTAATACTGGGGTGGTCTCCGAGGTGGTCCCTGTGTGGCACTGTATTAATACTGGGGTGGTCTCTGTGGTGGTCCCTGTGTGGCACTGTATTAATACTGGGGTGTTCTTTGTGTGGTGGTCTCTGTGCGTCGTGTGATTGTGTGTAGTGGTGATCTGCAGGTGGTGGGCAGCGGTCACTGCGCATACAGCACTGCTCAGAAGGCCATCGGGAAAGATAACTTCACCCTGATTCCTGAAGGAACTAACGGATTGGAGGAGCGGATGGGCTTTGTCTGGGACCGAGCCGCGGTATGTGTGTGTGTGTGTGTCATATATACACATGGTACGGACCGCGTGTGAATGGTCAGTTCTGTTGTCTGACCAAGTGGCTATTTCTCTCTGATGGATTCAGGCTTTGGGGAAAATGGATGAGAATCAGTTTGTGGCTGTTACGAGCACCAACGCCGCAAAAATATTCAACCTCTACCCTCGCAAGGGCCGGATCGCCGTCGGGTCCGACGCAGATATTGTCATCTGGGATCCGGATCGGATCAAAACCATCACTGCCAAACTTCAGCAATCTGTATGAACTTTAGAAACATTACAGTCTAATCAATTCATCAGTCTACAGTGTGAAATTAAAACTGGCAATTTACATCAATTCATGATCAGAACAGTTTAACGGTCTAACAGGTCTAATCAATCTAAATCAAGTCTAATCAGTCTGCCTGTCTGTCCCTGTCTCTGTCTCTCTCTCTCTCTGTCTCTCTCTCTGTCTCTCTCTCTTCAGGCTCTGGAGTATAATATTTTTGAGGGGATGGAGTGTAGAGGTGTCCCAGTGTTGGTGGTCAGTCAAGGCCGGGTGGTGTATGAGGATGAAAAGCTAAATGTCCAGCAGGGAACCGGACGCTTCATCCCAAGGAAACCATTCCCGGACCATGCCTACCAGCGCATCAACACCCGAAACAAGGTCAGACACCTAAATCACACGTCAACTCCGAAACAAGCTTACGTACCTCCATCATAGTCAACAATGAAACAAGCCTACACACCTCAATCACACATCAACACTGAAACAAGTTTGTATACCTCAATCACACATCAGCACTGAAACAAGCTTATATACCTCAATCACACATCAGTGCTGAAACAAGCTTATACACCTCAATCATATATCAACACTAAAACAAGCTTATATACCTCAATCACACATCAGCGCTGAAACAAGCTTATACACCTCAATCATATATCAACACTAAAACAAGCTTATATACCTCAATCACACATCAGTGCTGAAACAAGCTTATACACGTCAATCAAAATCAACACTGAAACAAGCTTATACACGTCAATCAAAATCAACAGTGAAGCAAGCCTACACACCTGAATCACAAATCAACACTGAAACAAGTTTGTATACCTTAATCACACATCAGTGCTGAAACAAGCTTATACATGTCAATCAAAATCAACACTGAAGCAAGCTTACACACTTCTATCACATATCAACACTGAAACAAGTGTATATACCTCAATCGAACATCAACACTGAAACAAGCTTACGCACCTCAATCACACATCTGTAAGGGTTCAGCCGGCCCCGTCTGCTGCCAGCAGAGGGCGACGGCGGCAGGGTGTCCAGCCTGGGCCGCCTGCTGCCAGCAGAGGGCAACGGCAGCAGGGTGTCCAGCCTGCACCGCCAGCTGCCAGCAGAGGGCGACGGCGGCACAGGGCCATAACTTCAGAGAACTCCAATTCCCAGAAGTCCGCAGGCTGATTAGGCCCAACGCGACACACCTGCGGAGTCCTCTACTTAAGGTCAAGGCAAATAGTGGTGTTTGTCACACCTTTGTAGAGGGGTGACCGGTACGGTACTTAGTGTCAGAAAACTAGAAAGAAAAAGAAAAGAGGGCTGAGAAAAGAAATGGTCCCAAAGCTTCTTAAAGGGAGTTCTTGAGCTACAATCGGCTCAGAGAAAATAGAAGAGCTGAAACAAAGTCTGCCGTCCCTTCGTTCTTGGAGTGGAAGTGTTTTTTGTTTTCCTGTTATTTGTCCTTTCACCTTCCTAGTTCAGCCTTTGTTTGAGCTGCTCTCAGCGTCTCTTTTGTCTGCGGTTCGTCGTTTTCCTTCTGTAGGTAATGTTTAATGTAATTTTTTTATAGGTAATTTTTAATCTTCACCTTTTTGATTGATGTTTTGTAGGTTATTTGTTTTTTTGTGTGTTTTTCGTAAGTGATTTTTAAATATTGTTTGTTTATTTTTTTTAGGTGACTGGCAGGCAGGCGGTGTCTCGAGGTGTGTATGACGGTCCTGTGTATGATGTACCGCCCACGCCTAAATACATAACCCCCGCCACCTCCGCCAAGACCTCTCCCACCACCCAGCAGCCTCCACCAATCAGAAACCTGCACCAGTCCAACTTCAGCCTGTCAGGTGAGTCAGTTAGGTTAGTTCAGCAGGTGCAGCGAGTTTTCCTGCATTAGCACAGCGAGACGAGATGCTCCTGTTAAAGAACCACTACTGATAACTTTAGAGCAATGTTAGCGTTCTAATACAGAACATCGGTGTTCTAATGCAGAACACTGAACACTGTTTATGAATTTCTTTTCTCTGATTGGTTATATATATCAGTTTCTGTAATGATTCTGTAGTGTTTCTGTAATTATTCTGTAATGATTTTTATAGAAAATCTGTAAACCCTGTTGATTTTAGAGCCAGAACAGTATGACTAAACGTAGCTACTTTAAAGCTGTAAATTGTAAATTAATATTTGAATTAACCTTATTTTTCTTTGTTGTGTTTGGTGTTTAGGAGCGCAAGTGGATGATAACGTTCCCCGACGTTCCGGCCATCGTATCATAGCGCCCCCTGGTGGCCGTTCCAACATCACCAGCCTCGGCTGAGTCTGAGGCCTTAAACGACACAGTCTCTCGTTCTGAATGTCTTTTCTGTTCACCCTCTTTAAATTGTGTACAATCCTCTGCAGCACAATCACTGTGTAGGTCATCATCACCGTGGAAATGGAGACGCCCCCGTCCATGTGGTTTGATGTATAAAGTGTTATATAGTGTCTAATTATGGTCCTAAAGCCGCGGGGAACCCGACGGCCTGCTGTTACTGATGTTTCTGCAAACTGGTGCTCCCTCTAGTGGACAACTGCACAATTAGCGGTCACACTACAGGACATTTTTATTTATTTATTGACTTATTTATTTATTTATTTATTTATTGATTAATTTACTCGTAAGATAAAGGTACAGAAGCCCATTCCAGCTTGTGGAGGAGTAAAAATAGCTCTTTCTGTCGAAATATTGACATAATATCTCAAAACAGTGACTTGTTAACCTGCAAGTTTCTCTCCTCTAGCTTGCAGGAGCGAGTCCCATATGAAGTAAATATTATTGAGTGCAGTTTTTTTTATGTCTGTGACCTTCTGGTCATTTTCACTCAGTGAAACTTTCACCCACTGTGTTCTCTGTGCACTGAAATATTCTGCAATATGAATTAATATTACTTATTAATCATAATTGATAATTATAGATAATAATTAATGTCAGAACAAGTCTTAGTGTGGTTGGAGCTGGCAATGCACTGCATGAATCCACGTTTAGATGGCGAATTTTTCCTACTGATATATTTATGCATTAATTCACTCGGTAATCTGTTTATATTCTGATTTGATGATGGTCGTGTGGTGAGTTCAGTATTGTTACAGTGTTGTTCAGTAGAGTTGCACTAACTGTGTAACTGTGGATGTGTACTGTAATGGAAACAGCGCCCCCTTCCTGTTAAACTCTCCACTTCCTGTTAAACACTCAGCACTTCCTGTACTAGACTGTATTATCTTCTATTCCTTTTCTACTTTAACTGTATTTACGTTGAATCTGTTTTGCATTAATACACCATCGTACGTCACCACAGGTCTAGAACAGCTGTTCTTAATCAACAGTCTCAGAACACTGTAAAGCTAATGCTAACTCTAGGTTAATAGAATTCACAACAGACTGCTGTGTAAGTGTCAGTGGTGAACTGTGACTGTTTGGTCTTCAGTTTGGGCCAGAAATGTCAAACCGCCCTCTATGATGATGCTAATTTCTGCTAGCACCCCAGTGGGATTTTAGTAGTATGTTAGCGCTAAGCTAATGGCAATCACATCAACATTGTTTGGCCTAGACTAATCATAAACAATTAAAGCTTGTAAAAGTAATTTTATATGTTTTATCTGAAGTGTGTAACATACATTATCATATATCTGAGCTTGTATGTATCAGTGATGACTCTTTCCTGATATAGAGCTGCTGCCACTGTTTTCCATTCCTAACAACCACCCGAAACACTACTTAGATTATGCCTCATATTCGCAGTCTATCTAGAACCTTCAGAAATACTAGAGTGATGTTTTTTAGTTTTGCCCGTCATGAATCAAAGCTCGATTGGCTGATTTGCTTCTTAATCATGTCGGTTCTTAGTCTAAGTCCTTCAGTCCAGCTCCTGAAGTCCTAACCAATGGGAGAGCTCGCTCGGCTGAATGTACCTAGATACCACAGAGAAAACAGTGCTGATTGGATAATTGTCTGTTGGGCATTTCAAGATTTTATTTACATCCAGAGCGTAATGTTGAAATTAAAGCATTACTACCCAACTCAATCTTTGTTGAGATGCCATAGAAGAACCTCTTTAGGTTCTTTCAAAACCCTTTCAATAGGAGGATCTTTAAAGAACCATCTTTGTACATGAGGTGTGCTAGTGTGACAAACCTGTTTCAAGTTTAAACAACCTCCACATAATGTATATGTTCTAAAACGTTCTTTGAACTGTATGTCTGAGCCAAGAACCTTCACACTGTTATGGTTCCTGCACAGTTTATTCCTCAGCCTGATACTGAGAGAAATGTTCAGCACTTCTTAAATTCAGTGTTACTCCAGGATGGTTTAGAGAATAATTTAATAAAGGAAATATTGGTGTGATATTATTGATTATGTGATGGTGTGGTTTGTGTTCATAATGTGAGTGTTGGAGTTCTGCACTGATCTGATAATAAAACATTATAAAAACAGTATTAAAACACATTAAACTCATTATATATCATTACATTCCTCGCAGACACAAATCTAAAATGTTCTAGCTTTATATCTACTTAGAAATGAGGCTATATAAAAACATTATTAGTCTGAGTCTTGTGGGGACGCTGGCTTCTCGTTTTATCTTTGTTTTGTGCCGGACTCTGAAGATTCTACTGACCACTGCAATAAATTCACTTCGTGATTGTGAAATAAACTCCTTAAGAATTGACAGCTGGTGTTTTGGTCATTTGTGAATAATATAATTTAGATTTAAAGCCTCAGTTTATGTCATTGTTCCCATGACAGTCATTTAAGTACCTCCAATCTAATGATGCACACAGAAACTACTTGAGTGCTAGCATCAGTGCTAACTTGTGGAGAAGCTTCAAGCTCCTAAATTTAAATAACTGTGATGACAACTCAAGTTGAATTATGCCTCATATATACAGCACAGAATTAATTATCCCCACACCAAAATTTGGTTTATAGTGAATTTTATTTGACCAATATGGCTGAAAATAACAAACATGTGATAAACGATGATAAAACAGTGTGCTAGAAATGTTAATGAGACATTTGAACTATTTTCTTTTTTTATTTTACACTTTTACCAAAAAAATCCATGTCCAAACTTACTCATACTTCTTGAAATTGGCACAACTTATTGAGAAAATATGTGTATATACCATTCATAAGCATAAACATGAGATTGTATACAATTCCAAATGGTCCTGGTCATTTCTACCATGTTCTAGAGCATTCTGATCAGCTATAAAGAAAGTATAGCTCATGCAGTAGTTCTCTAAATTACTAGGCAACTGCAAGTCATGGCTAAATCGGAGAGCTTAGCATGGACCTCTGGTTGTGCATTGTGGCTGCTCAGGAGATGGGAAAAGCAATAAAGCCTTATCCCAGTGCTTTTCAAGCGCCAGTGGCCACAGTACAAAGCAGAATGAAAAAGCGTGAGAGACAAAACGACCCCTGTGCTGGCAGGAATGGAGAGGCCAAGAAGAATCTAAGGATCAGCATCAAGACCATCATCATTAATTGGAGCAATTCTGGCACCAACATCTTGGAGTAGAGAGCAGTGTCTGACCTTAGGGTGACCGGCTGCAGGACAGAGAGAGTTCAGAACCAAATTATAATTAGAAACAATTATTTTACACAAATATTTAAGAAGGAACTACAAGGAAGCATATTCAACCTTTCAATCAAGCATCATACTAATTGTCCAGTATCTACTATGAATTATTCATTATCTACTATGAATTATTCATTACCCTGTATCCACAATGAATTATTGTTTATGCAGTATGATTTATTCAATAAAGTAATGAGGTTAATTAGTATGTAAATGATTAATCTAATGTACATGTTGGCAGTGAAGTCAGCATTTCTGAGCTTGTCCAGTAGGAGTTTCTCCAGAGGCTCATACAGTAGATACAGAAGATACTGCAGATACAGGACAGGGTACATACTTAGCCATGATCTTCTCAATGATTTTCAGGACCCATGGAGCTTTAGTGTCCAGACAGATCTCCTGACCGGTGTTCTTTAGCGTCGCTCTGAGGACCAAACAGGAGGGTAAACATCACACACGGTGAAACTTCAGACACACTCTGCACCTTTATAATAATAATACTAATAATACTAATACTACTAATTCTACTACTACTAATAATAATAATAATTATAATAATTATAATAATAATAATAAAGGACTGTTTAGTAGATCTGATGACTCACATGATCTCCGTCTCTTTGCAGTGGAGGTTCGGGGGGAAGAGCTCCACGCTCTCTATCAGTTTGCCGATCCGTCTGCTCTCGGTTCCACTGCAGCGGCACCGGGGTTCCAAATCCAGACCACTCAGATTTGTACCTGCTACACCAGCCAATCAGCTTCATCAATCTCAGGCCCGGTCATCCTCGTCATCATCATCATCATCATCATTATCAGTATCACAAACTGTCTATATACAGAAACTCAACTATACAAACAGCCTGTTTTAAAATCATCTGAGCTGCAGCCAATCAGAACAGAGCTCATTTACATATATCAGTCTCGGTAACTGTGTTGAAGTGTGAGATACAGAGAGGCTGTAAATTATTATGTAGAAATAAAATATTTAATATTTTAAATATATAAAATATATAATAATTTTATGTCCATTAAACTTCGAGAGAAATTAAATATAATAAAGTTTTGAGAAATCCAGAATTTCATGATTCTTACAGTGACCCTCATCTCACAGTAACTGTCCGTGTGATCAGGGTCAGAGGTCAGAGGTCACGTATACTAAATACAGTAAACAAAATGCACACACCTCCTCTAATAATTCATCAGCAGTAATTCATTAGAAATGCGCATTAATCATACATTTGTTTGTTTAAAGTGACCTTCAGTCTGTAAAAGGTGTTCAGTAATTAAAACATCATCATTATCATTATTAATATTAGTCAGGGCCGTAACTAGGATGAAAACTAGAATCAAAATTTTGGTGAGGTCAATTTTGCAGAAATATGACCTACGTCTCATGGTGAACTAACTGCTGAAAGTATTACACCAACCAGTCTCTCCTTTAGTTTTGCCAAGTCCTTGCTTCTTTTTTTTACCCATCCAAAACTGTTCTGCATCTTTTCCTTTCATTTGTTCATCCCCCATCCCTCCATTCTTCCAGAAAGTACTATTTCTCTTCCATAAACTGCTATTATGGTTCTATAAACTACTGATTTGCCCTGTTTAAGTCTATTTAATTAATCATTTAACTGTTTATTTCTATGTTTATTTTCAGTTAAAAATACATATTGAAACCTACACTAAACCAAATGATAGTTTCAAATGGATTTTATTTCATTTACCTCTCTCTCTCTCTCTCTCTCTCTCTCTCTCTCTCTCTCTCTCTCTGCTGGTCTCTTTTGCATCTCTTTCCTCACTGATTATATCAAAGTACACATTAAACATACGTTATAAAAGGCTGTCTGTACCTAACCCCAGCTAACAGGAAAGGCAGCTACTCATACAGTTAATGAGACAAAACAGACCCTAACCTATCTGCTGATTTCTTAATGTTAGCTACATGATATTATACCATCAATATGCTGGTCAACAGTGAACTTTCTCATGCTGGTTGTAGAATATTACGTGTAGGTAACACAATAAACTTTATCATCTAATTGCCAATATAGTAACTACAGGGCCTGTTGCCTAAACTGAGCAGCTACCTCAGTGTCACTGCTGGACTGAGAATAGTCCACCAACCAAAAATATCCAGCCAGCAGCGTCCTGTGGGCAGCGTCCTGTGACCACTGATGAAGGACTAGAGGATGACCAACACAAACTGTGCAGCAGCAGATGAGCTATCGTCTCTGACTTTACATCTACAAGGTGGACTGACAAGGTAGGAGTGTCTAATAGAGTGGACAGTGAGTGGACACAGTGTTTAAAAACTCCAGCAGCACTGCTGTGTCTGATCCACTCAGACCAACACAACACACACTAACACACCACCACCACGTCAGTGTTACTGCAGTGCTGAGAATGACTCACCACCCAAATAGTACCTGCTCTGTGAGGGTCCATGGGGGTCCTGACCACTGAAGAACAGGGTAAAAGGGGGCTAACAAAGTATGCAGAGAAACAGATGGACTACAGTCTGTAACTGTAGAGCTACAGAGTGCTCCTATATAGTAAGTGGAGCTGATAAAATGGACAGTGAGCGTAGAAACAAGGAGGTGGTCAGAATGTTATGTCTAATCGGTGTATGTCAGCCTACAGCATGTGTGCTGTTACTCTGGTACTCTGGGCAGTATAGCGGCTGGAAAAGTGATAAATGAAGAGAACGGTAAAGTCTATGACTTTTTTCCACATCTCTTTAAACGCTTCCGAGTCCTTATGAAACTGCTAAGATTCTCATAGCTAGTCATGGCCATGCTATGTGTGGTACACATGATGCATGATAATTAGCGTCAGTGGTGAAGTGTGTGTCTCAGTGGAGCTCACCTTCAGTCAGAGTGAAGACAGCCACAAGTAAACACACCCCCACGACTCTGCTGTTCATCGTGATAGAAACTCTTCAGACACTGAAGACACCAGAGACACTGGAGACGATGAAGACAGTGAAGGTGGTGGAGTCGGAGTGAAGACTCTGCTGGGTCTGAAGTTTCAACTGCTGGTGTTTGTGCTGTGAGCTGCTGTGTCCCTCTTTAAATGCTCAGAGTTTTGGCTGTGAGTCAGTGGCAGTTTCGTAACTCCATTCCGGGAAACTCTTAGCTAACCTCACAGCAGATTTTCAGTCAGAGTCAAATCAGGACTTTTTGAAAGTTATTGAGTGCTGAAACTAGCTGGAACTTCACCTTCTATCTTATTACATGCTAAGGCTTATTATTCATTAACTACAGGGACTTCAATGCAAACTGACTGCACTATTTTTAGGTTATAAAAGTGTGTAATAAAACACCACCAGACACTGATCATTTCAGGGGTTAACCTCCTGAAACCTGAGGATCTGTATGGGGGTCCACACTCTCATAACTGCAGAACTTCAAGGTTAAGCTCAAGTTCAAGTTCATGTTAAATACTTTAAATACGTTAAATACTTTGACTGAGAGGAATTTCTTTGGTGCTAATAACTGCCTAATAAAGCTGCAGTTTTCATGATTTTGCATAAGTGGTTTGTTCTGAAATATGTGGAGGTTTTCTAAACGTTACTCTGTTACACTTGGGAGCCTAATTCGGGTTAGTTTAATTAGGTTCAGTTCAGTTTAACGGAGTTCAGTTTAAGTGTGTTCAGTTCAGTTTATTTTGGGTTAGTTTAATTCAGTTTAATTCAGTTCAGTTCAGTTTAATTCAGATTAGTTTAATTGAATTCAGTTTAATTCAGTTCCGTTCAGTTCTATTCAATTCAATACAATCAAATACTCACAATACAAATACAACCCCGTTTCCAAAAAAATTGGGACGCTGTGCAGAATGTAAATAAAAATAGAATGCAATGATATGCAAATCATGTAAACCATGTTTTTAAAAGAAAATACTATAAAGACAACATATCTTTTTTATCTATATCATATTTTTAATTTATTGCCAACAACATGTTCCAAAAAAGTTGGGACGGGGGCCTGTTTACCACTGTGTTTCATCACCTCTTCTTTTAACAGCACTCTGTAAGCGTTTGGGAACTGAGGAGACACTGCTGTAGTTTAGAAAGTGAAATATTTTCCCATTCTTGTTTGACGTAGGATTTCAGCTGTTCAACAGTTCAGGGTCTCCTTTGTCATATTTTTTATTTCATAATGTGCCAAATGTTCTCAGTGGACGACAGGTCTGGACTGCAGGCAGGCCAGTTTAGCACCTGGACTCTTAATGCAGAGCCATGCTGTTGTAATATATGCAGAATGCGGTTTTACATCGTCTTGCCGAAATAATCAAGGCCTTCCATGAAAAAAGACGTCGTCTGGATGGCAGCATATGTTGTCAAAACATGTATATATCTTTCAGAATTAAGGGGATCTTCACAGATGTGCGGGTCACCCATGCCATGGGCACTAATGCACCCCTAGACCATCATGAATACTGGCTTTTGAACTGTGCACTGATAACAAGCTGAGTGGTCTTTAGCCTGGAGGACACAGTGTCCATGATTTCCAAAAAGAATTTCAAATGTTGATTCGTCGGACCACAGGACACTTTTCCACTTCCCCCCAGTCCATTTTAAATGAGCTCGGGCCCAGAGAAGGTGGCAGCATTTCTGGATCCATGTACAGTTTCTTCTTTGCATTTTAGAGCTTGCATTTGTGGATACAGCACCACTGTTCTGCACACAGTGGTTTTCAGCAGCGTTTCTGAGCCCATGCAGTGATTTCCTCTACAGAATCATGTCTGTTTTTAATGCAGTGCTGCCTGAGGGCCCAAAGATCACGGCCAGCCAGTATTGGTTTTTGGCCTTGTCTCTTACATACAGAGATTTCTCCAGATTCTCTGAATCTTTAATGTTATTATGTACTGTAGATGATGAAAAGCAGAAGTTCTTTGCTTTTTTATGTTGAGAAACGTTATTCTTGAATTTTTGCACTATTTGATGGTGCAGTCTTTCACAGAGTGGTGAACCCCTCCTCATCTTTACTTCTGAAAGACTCCGCCTCTCTGAGATGCTCTTTTATACCCAATCATGTTACTGACCTGTTGCCAATTAGCCACCAACTTTACCAGCCTTTTGTTGCCCCCGTCCCAACTTTTTTGGAATGTGTTGTTGACATCAAATTCAAATTGGGCATATTTTTTCAAAAAACAATACAATTTCTCAGTTTCAACATTTGATATGTTGTCTATTTTCAATGAAATATAGGGATTAGATTATTTGCACATCATTGCATTTTGTTTAATTTACATTTTGCACAGCGTCCCGTCTTTTTTGGAAATGGGGCTGTAAAGGTCTGCTGGTCTAATTCATCTTCATCTCATTATATAAACAGATTGTACACAGATTAGTTTGATGAAGATCAGGCTGAGTGATGAAGATAAATAAATATACACAAAGCATAAACACAGAGCTGATTTATAATAAACTAAACCTGCACAGAGAATTTTATCTTATTCAATCTGTGTTTGTTTTTTGGTTATGACCCTTGCTTGTTTATTCAACTCTGTTATTGTGTATTGTGTATGGTGTTTGGTTTATCTGGTTGCTGACCTGGTCTGGTTTTAACTCTGTTATTTCAGTTCATTTTCATTTTCCTTTTAATAAACCTTACGGTTTTTCTTTTATCCGCAAGTATCTAATTCATCAACCCAGTGTTACAGAATACTTTGCCAACACGCAGACAGCAGATATCATGCCAGCCGTAAGTTACCAGGGCACTATGAGTCTATTACTCATTCTGTAGGCCCCCTCACACAATAGCAGAGTGAGCAACAATGACGGTTAACTTCATTTGCTAACAACATGAAAGAGATTCCACTCGATTACAGAATATGAGTACTGGCAAGTCTAAGGAATTAAAATCTAGTTCATCTGTTTCTACATCTACTACTGCTAGTGTTTTTCCTGTTTGCAAGCCAGATGAGTTTGATGGTTCACCAGACCAGAGTTTTTGTTGCAGTGTTCGATTTTTTTCAGTAACTAGGCTTCCAGTTCTGAAACTGCTCACATTTCTTTGCTGATTTTATGTCTGACTGGTCAAGCCTTGGAATATGCCACAGATCCAATCTGATACTTATGAAAAATTCGTTAAAAAATTCAGATCCTTTTTTTGATCACACTTATGAATGACGCCCTCAGGGAGAAGTATTAGTTAAACTGCGCCAACGTCACTGTTCAGTAGCAGATTATGCATTAGAATTTCGTACTGTGGCTGCTGGCAGTAGATGGAATGAGCCAGCTCTGATAATCGCGTTCCGTAATGGACTAAACTCAGACATTTTGTTGGAAATGGTTGTAAGGATGACGATTTCTCATTAGATGAACTAATCACTCTGGCAATTTGCCTAGACCAGCTTAAAACTGGCAAAAGTACTACATCAAGTCTGACAGCTGCAGCTTAACACCGAGGGACTTCCACCATGCATGACTCCCCTGTCAGCGTTTCCAGCACAGATCCAGTCCAGACAGAGCCAAAGCAGTACAATTACACCTGTCTTTCACAGGAGGAGTGACTTTGAAGGTTACACAGAGGTCTATGCATGTATTGTAGCATTGCTGGTCACATTTTACGTTACTGCCGGGCGCATCCACATAGACCTCAGGCACTGACCTCTGGAAAGAGCATAGTATGTTCTTCACACGCTAATGTGGTGAGTGCTCCCACAAAGGGGTTGGTTACAAAGTCATTTCAGCTGCCTGTGACTTTGTGCTGCCTAAATTCTGTCTATGTTTTTCAGCCCTAATCAAGTCTGGTGCAGAGGGAAACTTCATCCACAATTCCCTTGTGGAGCAACTCCAGCTTCCAGTACATTTCCTTCAAGCATCTCTTCGTTTATCAGCCGTGGTTGGAGAGGGGATTATTGATACACTCACTAAACCTGCCACCATGTATACCAGCGCTCTTCCTAGGGAAGGAGATCAGTTTTTTTGTCCTGAACACTTCGGCATATTCTGTGATTTTAGGTCTGCCCTGGCTACACAAATATAACCCAAACATCTCCTGGTCAGAACGTGAGATCCTTAGTTGAACCTCTTTTTGCCGCAAACAATGTATTGAGCTTCCCAGACTAGCTATAAACTCTACATCCATTGAAAGTCATAATTCTGATCAGCCCATAGTCATTGTTGTTTATTAAATAGCGATGGTGCCACATCATCTCCCCAGAATATGAGGACTTGAAAGAAGTCTTTAGCAAAAACAAGGCTACTGAACTCCCTCTGTGAGTACGATTGTGCCATTTGTCTTATTGAGGGGTGGTGTTCCCCCAAAATCTAGAGCTTACCCCCTTACTCAGGAGGAGGATAGAGCGATGGAGGACTATTTTCAAGAAGCCTTGGCTCAGGGGTTCATCCATCCCCTTTTTGCTCCTCCATCAAGAACTGCTTTCATTTTTAGTTATTGACTCTTCCTAATTTTCTGTTATTTTGGGCCTGCCCTGGCTCGAGAAACACAATTGCCAGATCTCCTGGCCTAATCAAGAGATCACAGCTTGGTCAGAATATTGTGTGGCTCGTTGCCTCACTTCCCCTGTTCTTAAGGTCAGAGCCACTTCAGTACCAAGTCCAGAAACCACACTTCAGACAGTCATCCCCTCAGAGTACACTGATCTTCTAGAAGTTTTCAGTAAAAAGAATGCCATCAAACTTCCTCCCCATCGCCACTATGATTGTTCTATAGATATTATAGAAGGTTCTACTTTGCCTCAGGCTTGTGTATACCCATTGACACAAGAGGAGGAGAAAGCTATGCGGGAATATATCGAAGAGGCTCTGGCTCAAGGCTTTATTCATCCATCGTCATCCCCGTCCGCATCCGTATTTTTGTTTGTGAAAAAGAAGGATGGTGGCCTTAGGCCTTCTATAGATTATAGATACCTAAATAACATCATCAAAAAATTTGCAGACCCACTACCTCTTATCCCTCTGGTCTTAGAACAACTTTGAGGTGCTAAGTTTTTTGCCAAGTTGGATCTCCGTAGTGCTTACAACTTAACAGGGAAGGGGGCAAGTGGAAGACGACTTTTATCACCACTAGGTGGCACTATGAGTACTTGGTGATGCCTTTTGGTCTGTCTAATGCCCCATCCATGTTCCACTCAATCATTAATGACATATGGGACGTCCTCAGAAACCTGTGTCTAGTCACTGTACAGCCAGCCCCAGTGTCCAGTCCAGTAGCCCTTCTCCTGTCCAGCACTGGGACAGCTCCTTGGAATTTGCCTGCCAGTACCTCTAGTCAGTTAGGTGGGGTGGTCGTTGTGGGTGGCCTGTGTCCTTGGCTGTCCTGGACTCCTTGAGTGGGGGGGGTGTGTGTACTGTCACACCTGCCTCTGGCTCAGCTGGAACTACAGCCGACTCCACCGCTATGGACTGCATTTCCCAGAACCCCTCGCTCCTTCACGTGATTCAGGACTCTACCAAATGCATCTATCCTCATTCTGCCTCTCCTGACTTCTAATCACTTGCACCTGTTCCTTGTTTCTGGTGTTTTTTGGCTCAGTATATAAGCCCAGGCTTTAGTCTGGGTACTTTGGGAAGAACCGTCACCTTTTGCAACTTCTTCTGGTTTTCAACACTGATTTTTGATCGCCTCTTTGTTAATAAAACTTCTTAAGCTAACCTCGACAGCACGCGTCTGATTCCGTCTGCAACCCTTACATCTCGATCTTTAACTGTAGCTTTGAGTTTCACTGAGCTTCCAGCCTTATATCTGCAAACAATGTATAAATGAGGTTATTTAAAAACATTATTAGTCTGAGTCTTGTGGGGACGCTGGCTTCTTGGTTGATCTTTATTGTTTTGTGCAGGACTCCGCCCACTGAAGATTCTACTGACCACAACAATAAATTCATTTTGTGATCGTGAAATAAACTCCTAAAGAATTGACAGCTGGTGTTTTGGTCATTTGTGAAAAATACAATTTAGACTTAAAACCTCAGTTGTTGCTCCCGTAACAGTCATTTAAGTACCTCCAATGTAATCATGCACACAGAAGCTACTTGAGTGCTAACAGTTGTGCTAACTTGTGGAGAAGTTTCAAGCTACTAAATTTAAATAACTGTGATGACAACTCAACTGATTATGCGTCATATACAACACAAAATGAATCATCCCACAATTTGGTTTATACTGAATTTTATTTGACCAATAGGTTTCTTTTGGCATAAACAAGTGATAAAACATAATAAAACATTGTGCTAGAAATGTCAATGATACATTTGAACTATTTCTGTTTATTTTACACTTTTACCAAAAAAATCCATGTCCAAATTTATTCACACCCCTTGAAATTTTCACAAAGTATTGAGAAAATATGTGTATGTACCATTCATAAGCATATACATGAGCTTGTATACAATTCCAAATGGTCCTGGTCATTTCTACCATGTTCTAGAGCATTCTGATCAGCTATAAAGAAAGTACAGCTGATGCCGTAGTTCTCTAGTAGGTTACAAGGCAGTTGCAAGTCATGGCTAAATCAGAGTGCTTAGCATGGACCTCTTGTTGTGCATTGTGGCTGCTCACGAGAGAAGAAAAGGAATAAAGCCATATCCAAGTGTTTTCAAGCGCCAGTGGCCACAGTACAAAGCATAATCAAAAAGCACAAGGAGTTCCACGCTGTGGTATAGGGCGTGGTAGGAAGACAAAACTGACCCCTGCGCTGGCAGGAATGGAGAGGCCAAGAAGAATCAGCATCAAGACCATCATGATTAATCGGTGCAATTCTGGCACCAACATCTAACAGCTCCATGGATGCCCACCAAGAATGACTCCAGTTCTCCAAGACAGGCCCAGAAAAGCTCAGCTAGAACTTCAGGAAATGAAGGTGGACAAGTAGAGAGCAGTGTCTGACCTCAGGGTGACCGGCTGCAGTTCAAAACCAAATTAACAACCTTCATAAATACTTAAATACTTCACAAAATAACAGAAACATGACACAGAAAATAATAGAAACAATTATCTTTAACAAGTTTTTAAGGAAACACATTCAACCTCTCAATAATACATAATACTAATTATTCAGTATCTACTATGAATTATTCATTATCTGTTATGAATTAGTGTCTACTATGAAATATTCAGTATCTGCTATGAATTGTCCAGTATCTACTATGACTTATTCGGTATTGGCAATGAATTATTCATTATCTACTATATATTATTCAGTATCTACCATGAATGATTCATTATCTACTATAAATGATTCAGTATCTACTGTAAATTGTTAAGTATCTGCTATGAATTGTTCAGTATCTACTATGACTTATTTGTCACATCTCCCTCAGACCTAGCGGTGCCTACAGAGAACGTGGCTGCTCAGGACTACGTTTCCCAGAACCTCTCGATGCAGCATGTGACTCAGGACTCTCTCAGATCCACCCATCCCCGTTAGAGTTCGCCCGACTCCTGATTTACAAGTGTTTGTTAGTTTAGTATATAAGCCCAGGCTTATCGTCACTCATGTGCGTACCGAGCGTGTATGACCTGTGTTTTGTTTTTCACCATGATTCTAGTCTTGCCCTTTTGTCCTATACTGATTCTCTGGCTTTTGACCTCCTGCTTGTGTTTACTGACTGTGAATTTGGAATACCCGTTTGATATTAAAGTACTGAACTCAAGCCTTTGCTGCAAGTGTCTGGTTCCATTCGTCAGCGTCATATTATTCATTATCTACTATGAATTGTTCATTATCTACTATAAATTAATCAGTGTCTACTATAAATTATTCAGTATTGCTTTGATTTATTCATTATATATTATGAATTATTCAATACCTACTTCATTATCCTGTATCCACAATGAATTATTCTTTATGCATTATGAAAGTGTAGGTTCTGCAGTTGTGAGGGTGCTGAACTGAAGTGCAGTAAGGACGCTAATTAGTATGTAAATGTTGACACTGTGGTCAGTATTTGTGAGTTTGTCCAGCAGGAGTTTCTCCAGATACAAAAGACCCAGCAAATACAGGACAGTGTACATACTTGGCCATGATCTTCTTGATGACCTTCTTGACCCACAGAGCTTTAGTGTTCAGACAGATCTCCCGACCGGTCTTCTTTAGCGTCACTCTGAGGACCATACAGGAGGGTAAACGTCACACACAGCGAAACTTTACGCTCTGCGGCTTTATAATAACAACAACAACAACAATAATAATAATAATAATAATAATAATAATAACAAAGCACTGTTCAGTAGACCTGATAACTCACATGATCTCTGTCTCTTTGCAGTGGGGGTTCGGGGGGAAGAGCTCCACTCTCTCTATCAGTTTGGCGATCCGTCTGCTCTCGGTTCCACTGCAGCGGCACCGTGGTTCCACACTCAGACCACATACATTCACACACACTGCAACACCAGACAATCAGCTTCATCAACCTCAGCCCGATCATCATCATCACCATCATCATCATCATCAGTATCATAAACTATCCATATACAGAAACTCAACTACACAAACAGCCTGTTTTAAAATCATCAAAGCTGCAGCCAATCAGAACAGAGCTCATTTACATGCATCAGTCTCAGTAACCGATGCAGCCTGCTTTAAAATCATCAGAGCTGCAGCCAATCAAGGCAGAGCTCATTTACATATATCAGTCCTAGTAACAGAAGCAGCCTGTTTTAAAATCATCCGAGATGCAGCCAATCAAGACAGAGCTCATTTACATATATCAGTCTTAGTAACTGAAGCAGCTTGTTTTAAAATCATCAGAGATGCGCCCAATCAGAACAGAGCTCATTTAAATATATCAGTCTCAGTAACATATGCAGCCTGCTTTAAAATAATCAGAGCTGCAGCCAATCAGAACAGAGCTCATTTAAATATATCAGTCTCAGTAGCATATGCAGCCTGCTTTAAAATAATCAGAGCTGCAGCCAATCAGAACAGAGCTCATTTAAATATATCAGTCTTAGTAACAGAAGCAGCCTTTTTTGAAATCATTAGAACTGCAGCCAATCAGGACAGAGCTCATTTACATATATCAGTCTTAGTAACAGATGCAGCCTGCTTTAAAATTATCGGAGCTGCAGCCAATCAAAACAGAGCTCATTTACATACATCAGTCTTAGTCTCAGTAACAGAAGTAGCCCGTTGTAAAGTTATTGGTTTGTAAAAAGTGTTCATATTAAAAAGTGTTATTATTTTTATCATTATTACTATTAGTGGTGCACATGATGCATGTTCATTAGCGTCAGTGGTAAAGTGTGTGTCTCAGTGGAGCTCACCTTCAGTCAGAGTGAAGACGGCCAAAAGTAAACACACCCTAACAATACTGCTGCTCATCCTGATAGAAACTCTTCAGACACTGGAGATGATGAAGACAGTGAAGGTGGTGGAGTCAGAGTGAAGACTCTGCAGTGTCTGGAGTTTCAGCTGCTGTGAGCTCTCCTTAAGCTCTCCCTCTTTAATAGCTCCGACTCCTGGCTGTGTGTCAGATACTGTTTTGTAACACCCCTCTGAGAAACTGTGAGCTGAGCTCAGACCAGATTTGCAGTCATGATCAATCGGGACTTTTTAAAAGTGACTGAAATCAGCTGGAATTTCACCTACAGGCTTATTACACACCAAGGCTTACCATTCATTAACTACAGCTACGTCAGTGGAAACTGGCTGAGCTTTTCTTAGGTTACAGAAGCATGTAATAGAACACGCTCATTGTCCATTTTATCAGCTCCACTTACCCCACAGGTGCGCTTTGTAGTTCTACAGTTACAGACTGTAGTCCATCTGTTTCTCTGCATACTTTATTACCCCCCCTTTTACCACTGCACTGCTGTGTCTGATCCACTCAGACCAGCGTAACACACACTAACACACCACCACCACGTTAGTGTCACTGCAGTGCTGAGAATGACCCACCAACCAAATAGTACTTGCTCTGTGAGGGTCCATGGGGGTCCTGACCACTGAAGAACAGGGTAACAAAGTATCAGAGAAACAGATGGACTACAGTCTGTAACTGTAGAACTACAGAGTGAACCTATACAGTAAGTGGAGCTGATAAAATGGACAATGAGTGTAGAAACAAGGAGGTGGTCATAATGTCATGACTGATCAGTGTATACATTCACACACAATTCAGGTTCAGGTTGTGAGGAGGAGTTCAAAAGGCTGACCGTTACTAAACCAAGATGTTCTACATAAGATGCTTTTACCTCTTTAAAAAGGTCCCATGCCGTCCTCATGATAAACACGGAAGAACTACTCCTTAATAACTGCCTAATAAAGCTGCAGTTTTTATGGTTCCACACGAGTGGGTGGTTCTGAAATATGTGGAGGTTTTTTAAACATTACTCACGGCTCTGTCATTAACAGCGCTTGCATCATTTACTATACTAAGTACAGTCAAAACGGTCAATGTTTCACTAACTACAGTACAACTAAAGTAAAAGAAATGGAGCTGTTTCTTATGCAGGATGCAGGTCATGTGCCGCGAAAGAGCCAAACCATAAACAGGAAGAGAAAGTTCAACGGTCTTTACGGGGGTGTGTGTGGGTGTGCTGGGGGTGTGTGGGTGTGGTGGGGAGAGTACCTGCAGGTTAATGATTAATCATAATAAGGATGCAGAACTGATATGTTATCAGATCAAAGCTGAGAGCAGAAAAAAAACATTAAAAATCTAACTTTACATGCTATTATATTGATTAATTCTGAAAAAAAAAAGATCAGAAAATAATGACAGCAATTTGTTTTCGAGCTTATACTGTAGACATTGTGCTGAGGAGGAAGTGGACACTCAGGGCGGGGAGGTTTCTCAGTCTGCTGATGTGTGTGTAAAATGTTTCATTTTTCTTCTCACTTCTGTGTGTATCAGTAAAACAATTGCTTTGTCTTCCTCACACACTCTTCCTCGTTCCTCTTTTCAGGGTTCCACATCATTTTCAGACGTTACAATATCAGAGTTGTTCACTGTTGATCAGATGCCAATACCATTAACTATATTGACATTTCTGTAGATGCTACTTTGCACTGAGCAGCTGAGCTCAGTGAAGGAGTCTGGACGCTTTAACGCTTCAGCCGGTCAGTAAAATCTGCAGGAGCTCTAACAATATCAGCTTGTAATGTCATAAACAGGGTGTTAAAATGATAAATGATCATGTTGCATCCGGTGTTGCACAAAGATCTTTAACTGTCACGTTCACCTTAAAAGCTACAGTTTATACCTTAAAAAAAGATAAAAGATCATATTTACGATTTTATTTCGAGCAGACTTGGATCCCAACAGTAAAGAAGCAGGAAGAACTTCCTGATCGTCGAGAATTTTACGTCTACAAAAAGAAAAAAAAAAATCCTCTGGGTGGGTGTGTCCAGACCTTTAACCGGTCAGTGTGGAAATCAAAGCTCTTTATTGTCATGTACACAAAATAAAATTATATTTTAAATTGCATGTTCTTTTTCCTACAGACTTTAAACAACACAATACAATAAAAAACAACTACTGAACAGGACCACACACACGCACACAAAAGTTGGGATGCTGTGCAAAATGTAAATGAAAACAAAATGCAATGATGTGCAAATAATCTAATCCCTATATTTCATTGAAAATAGACAACATATCAAATGTTGAAACTAAGAAATTTTGTTGTTTTTTTTTAAATAAATGCCCATTTTGAATTTGATGCCAACAACACGTTCCAAAAAAGTTAGGATGGGGGCAACAAAAGGCTGGTAAAGTTGTGTAATGCTAAAAACCACCTTGTGGTTCATTGGCAACAGGTCAGTAGCATGATTGGGTGAAAAAAGCATCTCAGAGAGTCTTTCAATAGTAAAAATGGGGAGGGGCTCACCACTGTGAAAGACTGCACGATCAAATAATAATCAATAATCAGCAATAATTCAAGAATAACATTTCTCAATGTTTTTAATCATCTACGGTACATAATTTCATTAAAAGATTCAGAGATTTTAGACAAATCTCTGTATGAAAGGAACAAGGCCAAAAAACAGTAATTGCTGGTTGAGATCTTTGGGCCCTCAGGCGGCACTGCATTAAAAACAGACATGATTCTGTAGTGGAAATCACTGCATGGGCTCAGAAACACTTCTGAAAACACTGCCTGTGAAAACAGTTCATCACTGCATCCACAAATACAAGTTAAAACTCTAAAACACAAAGAAGAAACCAGATATATACAGGATCCAGAAACGCTGCCGCCTTCTCTGGGCCCGAGCTCATTTAAAATAGACTGAGGGGAGTGGAAAAGTGTCCTGTGGTCAGACGAAATGTAGTTATGTTATAACTGAAGTTTGAGGGGAGGAGCATGGCTGAAACCCCTCTTTCATTCAATCTAATGCCCTATAAATTCGCAATCCCCACCGCCACCCCATCTCCTCCCCATTCCTCAGTCCTGCATCAGGCCTACTACAGCTATGAGGGGGGATCTGGCCCTCTAGCTACAGGCAGAAGCTGCCCAGAACTCCAGCCCAAGTTCTCAAATTCTTTTTGGAAATCATGGACACTGTGTCCTCTGGGCTAAAGGCCACTCAGCTTGTTATCAGTGCACAGTTCAAAAGCCAGTATTTATGATGGTATAGGGGGCATTAGTGCACATGGCATGGGTGACGTGCTCATCTGTGAAGGCGCCATTAATGCTGAAAGACATATACATGTTTTGGCAACATATGCTGCCATCCAGACGACGTCTTTTTCAGGGAAGGCCTTAATTATTTCAGCAAGACGATGTCAAACCACATTCTGCATGTATTACAGCAGCATTGTAGTGTTTATTTTGTGTGTGTGTGTGTGTGTGTTTGTAGTCATCAGTTTTGTTTATTATTACTGTGTGTATGACTGTGTGAAGTTCCCAGCAGTGTTTATTAATTTGTGTGTGTGAAGTTCTCAGTAGTGTCTAATAGTCTGTGTGTGTGTGTTTGTGTATGTTTGTGTGTGTATGTGTGTGTGTGTGTTTGAGTGAGTATATCGTCATTAGTAGTGTTTATTAGTCTGTGTGTGTAGTCATCAGTAGTGTTTCTTTTGTGTGTGTGTGTGTGTGTGTGTGTGTTTGTAGTCATCAGTTTTGTTTATTATTACTGTGTGTATGACTGTGTGTGAAGTTCCCAGCAGTGTTTATTAATTTGTGTGTGTCTGTGTGTATAGTCGTCAGTGTTTCCGTGTCTGAATATGTGTATGTGTGTGTGCATTCATCAGTAGTGTTTATTAGTGTGTGTGTATCTGTATGGTGGCCAGTAGTGTGTATTAGTGAGAGTGTGAGGTCATCCAGCCATGCGGAGCTGCAGTTCAGTTCGTGATTTATCGCTCATGAGTTTACTGATAAGACTTCACCAGAAATTTGGACTGTTTTCTGACAGATTACTTCACCAACCAGAATCCAAAAGGCCCGTCGTACCTCCATGCTGTTGTTTTGTGATCTGGGCTCTCACGCTCAACTACTGTCCCTCACTACTACCCTCGACTCAGTGCTCCACGCGGTCTGTAGTCTTCAAGCACCACTTCCACCATCTGCTCCTGTTCCCTCACCTGCTCCTAGTTTCACCACAACCTCCAGTACAGCTATCCCCATCTGCCTCCCACACTTCCCTCTCCTCTATTAGGCTGGCCCTTCCTGACAAGTATGACCTGTCCCCTCTTCTGTGTACGGGATATTTAATGCAGTGCTTGAATTATTTTTCTCATGCCCCTGCCACTTTTCCCACAGATTCAACTAAGATAGCCTTTGTCATATCCCTGATCACGGGTAAAGCTCTCTCCTGGGCCACGGCTATGTGGCGAGCCAAAGTACCCAATTCCTCCACGTACTCAGACTTTAAACGTGTATTTAGGGAGGTTTTTGATCACCCAGTCAGTGGCAAAGATCATGGAGAGCTTCTGCTATCTTTCAAACAAGGTAACAAGACAGCAGCTGAGCATGCCTTGAACTTCTGTACATTCACTGCAGAGGCTGGATGGGGCGAGAAATCGTTAAAAACTGTCTACCACCAAAGCCTTAAAGAAGTTCCTCAGACAGATCTAGCATGCAGATCTAGCATACAATCGTTCTAATTTCATACAATTATCTATTTCTTTGGACAATCTTATTCATTCCAGACAACGCCCCGCCTCTAGCTCCTCTCCAAGCCTCTCACTTGGTCCGTCTACCGAAAAACGGCAACACATGCATGAAGGGCTTTGCTTCTACTGTGGCCATCAAGCACGCTTCAAAAGTTACTGCTCCATTCTCCCTAAAAGCCCCAAAAGGTGAGAGGCATGACACTTCATACTCTCCTATTAGATGCCACAAATTCACACTATGAATTATGAATAACACTAATTTGGGGTTCTTAATGTCTCTCGCAGCGCTAATCGACTCAGGAGCTTCTGGGAACTTTATTGACCAGGAACTAGCCACCAAACTTCATTCCCCTCCACAACATACAATCACCTCTGGCTATAAAAGGGCTGTATGGCAAACCCATAAGTTTGGGCCATTCCCTCCCCAGATAATCCCATTGTTCTTGGGTTAACCTGGCTATCCTTTCACAACCCCACACTATCTTGGTCTAGCAGAGAATTGGAAAAATGGAGTTTATTCTGCTTCACTCATTGTATGACTTTGACATGTTTAACCACTTCCATAGAAAGCCCTGACACTGAAATTTTAGAGATGATTCATGAAAGGCTTTGGCATGATTGCTGTTCCTCTCACCTCTCTACTGCGAGGTAATGCAAAGAAACTAAACTGGTCAGCTGAAGCCAAATCACCATTCGAATCACTTAAACGAAGCTTCACAACTGCTTTGATTCTTTGCCACCCTGGCCCCTTCCTTCCTTTCCTGGTAGAAGTAGACACTTCTGAAATGGCAACAGGCTCTGTTCACTTACAGAGACATGGTAATCCTGCCAAACTCCACCCCTGTGCATTCTATTCCAGAAAACGTAATCCTGCAAAATGCAACTATGATGTGGGCAATCGTGAATTACTAGCTGTTAAGGTGGCTTTGGAGGAATAGGGGCACTGGCTTGAGGGCGCGGCTCACCCTTTTACCATTTAAATGGATCATCGAAACCTGGAATATATGAAAACTGCCAAACGTTGGAATCCTTGCCAGGCCTGATGGGCATTATTTTTTGCACACTTTCTCTTTACAATGAGATCTGGTTCTAAGAATGGTAAGGTGGAAGCACTTTCCTGCCAACGTGATGTGCACTTCCCTGGCAGTAGGGAAATGATTAGTAGGGCACAAATTACTGACCCTGCACCCCAAACATGCCCCATGACAAAACTTGCATTCCCGCAGCCCTTCGAAATAACGTGATACATTAGGTACATTCATCCCTGAGCTCAGGTCATCCTGGCATTACTTGAACAATTTCCCTGGTTCAGAATACATTCTACTGATGTGACCAAATTGGCAAGTCATGTTCCATATGTGCTCAAGGTAAGACACAATGCCAATACCTCTCAGGATGGCATATGCCCCTACCTGTTCCACATTGTCCCTGGTCACACATAGCTGTGGATTTTCTGACAGATCCGCCCCCCCTCGATTAGACATCCACCAATGCTGGTGGTCATGTATGGATTTACCAAAGCCTGCAGGCTGATTCCTGTCAAGAAGCTTCCATCTGTCTTGGAAACGACTGAGAAGCTCTTTCATTTCTTTACGGGGTCCAATACACCTTTTCAATGTGTAGACATTTTTCGGATTGTCAGGTAAACTGTCCGAACTGCTGGCAGTGGATGATTAAATAAGGAGGAGTGAGGTGGTTTGGAACTTGTACGGCTCCAAAGGGTGGCCCACCAGCAAAGGATCCATGCAGATCGCAGATGTAGTGCCACACCCACTTACAGTCCAGGACAAAGGGTATGGCTCTCCACACGGAATTTTGAAGCTATGGTTACCCTATATTGATCTATTGATCCCTTTCACTGTTTTGCAAAGAATTAACCCTGTCACTTACCGTCTTCCAATGCCCTCACATTACCACATCTCACCCTCTTTCCATGTCTCTCTCCTGAACCCACTGCAGGTGATGTGCTGTCCTCTGACAATAAACCTCACCCCCTCTCTGGAAGTGGATGGGTTATGCCTATACTGTCCATACCCTGTTGATCTTCATCGCTGTGGGCACAAGCTTTGGTACCTGGTGGATTGGGAAGGCTGCCTGAGGAACATTGCTGAGTCCCTGTGGATGACATCCTTGATCCCTCACTCCACTACTAAATTCCACAGGTCCCATCCAGGTCACCCAGTTCCTGGCCCCACTGGGCATACTTGTCACAGATCTGATGCGTCTGCTGGTGCAGCCACCTTTGGTGGGGGGCAGGGGGAGCGGGGGGGTGGGGGGGCGGTCTTCTGTCAAGTGCGATATCTGCTCTCAACACCAGAGGTCAGCCTTACCTGAGTTTTGAACTGTTTCTAGTAATGTCTTGATTTCAATCACCTGCAGCTCATCTACCTCCATTTATTGCCCATGCATCTACATACTAGGCCTAGTATTTCTACGTTACTTTACGTTAGTGTTTCTATGTTACTCTATGTTACTTTGGTTTATTTGGACACTAATCTGTACGCTTGGACTTTGCTTTTTGGACTCTGGTAATTTGGCGGAGTTTTGTGAGCTATCTTGGTTTTTTTTTTTTTCTCTCAACTCTGCTTCTGTGTTTTTGAGTAAATGGGGAAAATGGTTTCAAACATACCTAGAGAGCCTTTATTACAGCAACAGAGCAAAATAATGTTAATCAGATTCATAGTAATAATAACCAAAACAACAATAATTAAACAATTACACAAGTTTGGAAAAATTTTGTAACTCATTTATTAAAGTGAAACGCGTCTTCTTAATGTTATGACTTTTTCTTGATAATATTGAATAGAACATTTAATGTTAAAGTTTATTCTAATATAAACCAGAGTGGAGATAATGATGGAAAAGACTGAATAAAACTTTGCTGACTAGAAAGATTGGAGCCCTCCTTAAAAAAGGTAATATAGGGCAGCAGACCGTGCATGCATTGGACTCCCTGACGGGAGTGAACTTCTGAACTCACAGAAGGGAGTTGTACCGGATGACAGTGCAAGTTATAGCTGAGGTTCAGTTTCGTACGTATGTAGAGGGTTGTGTAAGATGGCCCTTTGGAGAGCTGCGCAAGAGGGCCCTGTAAAGGGGGAACAGCCTTGGTTTTAAAGGTTCCCCAAAAAATGCTGTAAGGTTTGGACATGATGGGGACTAAAATGGTATGGAATTGTGTAACTGGGGAAGGGAGTTTACCTCATCACCCCAGAAGGGAATAAAAAAGGCATGTTTTGAGACGATATTCGCATTTTGGTTGACCGGAAACCATTTTGCCATTTGACGCTCAATAAAGCGAAGCCCTTTTCCTTCCTTCCACAAGAACTCAGTGGCTGAAATCTTTTTCATTCCTTTTTATCCTTTTTCATTTTTTGTTGATATTCTTTGATTCTTTTAATTCTTTTGAAGAATTTAGATTACAGACAGTTATTAGGGCAAATAATAAAGACAATATTAGCTACTTATAAATGTCCAGAACCTGGGCAAAAAGAGAGAGCTCTTGGCTGTGACAATAATCTGACATTTAAGCACTTTGAGCTGCCGCCGATTTGAAAGTAAAATTATCATTTATTATTGTTATTCTTCTTATTATTATCATTATTATTATAACCACAGCATCTCATCCACAAAGTGTCAGACCATGTCAAGTTACAGAGCGGGTCTCCAAGTTCTGAGGAGCATAGAGCATAAAAGTCTCCAACGCTGTGCTGATCAATAACGGTAGAGTTCAAACCTCCTCTGGCTTCAACATCAGCACAAAAACTGCACCAGGAGCTTCACTGCAGGGTTACCATGGCTGAGCAGCTGCATGCAAGCCTTACATCACCAAGCACAATGCCATACATTGGATGGAGTGGAGTAAAGCGCCGCCACTGGACTCTGGAGCAGTGAAAACATTCCGTAAAGTGAAGAATCATGCTTCACCCCTTAGTTCCAGTGAAGGGAAATCTTAATGCTTCAGCAGACCAAGGCATTTTGGACAAGCACCAGGCAAGGCCCATAAAGGCATGGCTGGGTGAGTCGGAGGAACTTGCCTGGCCCACACAGAGCCCTGACCTCAACCAGCGGTCACTCTGTTCTCCACAGTCTGACCAAACAAGCTGCAGCTCAGATGTTACCACTTAGAAGTTTCTAATGTGAACGCTTTCTGCTGCGTAAAGAGAGCTGTGACTTAGCATCTGGAGCGCAGACCATCCTGAACTGCATAACATCAGCTGAAGATCAAAACGTTCATGTTTTAGTCACATCTGCCTGTAGTTTTGATTCATTTTATTTAGTTTTCTATCTATTTTATTGTTGCTTTTACATTTATGTTTTGCGCTGATTTTTCTAAATTATTTTACTCGATCACAGAGTTTTGAGCCTCTTTTATTTTAGTTGATAAAATGTGTTTCCAGCGTCTGTTTCAGTCCATCCTTCTATGAGAATTATGATTTTATGACATCCCCACCGCACCACGCTACATTTTAACTTACACAACACCCAATAAAAGATGATTCATATGAACATAAATAAAAAAAAAAAAAACAAAACAAACAGGAACATTTTCATTTAAATACTTTTTTTATTGCTTTTTAAAAAAATAAAAACATTTGTGTGAATACTGAATCGTAACAGGCACTTCAGCTTGTTACATTATTAATATTCAGAACAATATGTACACAACATACTCTTCATATGCATAAATATTTTAATACTTATTTATTCTGGCTTTTCTGTACATTATAAATAACATACATACATAAATACTGATATAAATAATCCAGTTTACAAATGTTGGCCTTGTTTATTGGTCTTCAAGAGAGCAACAGGAGAAACGACCACCAGGTCAGAGACACTTTCCGGAAGAGCCTGAGAAAAACCTCAGGAAATGACATTGGACAAGAGAGCAGTGTCCGACTTCAGGGTGACCGGCTGCAGGACAAACAGAGTTCAGAACAAAATTAACAACCTCATATTAATACATGACAAAATAATAGATCCAATTATCTTTTAAAAAGTATGTAAGAAGAAACCACAAGAAATCTGATTCAACCTCTCAATATTGCATAATACTAATTATTCAGTGTCTATGAAAAATGATCCAGTGTCTAATATGAATTATCCTGTATCCAACAGGAGTTCTTTATTATCTACTATGAATTTCTATGAATCTATTATAAATTATTCAGTATCTATTAGGAATTATTCAGTATCTGCTATGATTATGATTATGATTATGCCATTATGTAGTATGAATTATTCATTATGCAGTTTGAAAGTGTAGGTTGTGCAGTAATGAGGTTAATTAGTCTATGAATGTAAATGATTAATCTAATGTAAATATTGCCAGTGAAGTCAGTATTTCTGAGTTTGACCAGCAGGAGTTTCTCCAGAGGGTCATACAGCAGATACAGGACAGGGTACATACTTGGCCATGATCTTCTCGATGACCTTCATGACCCATGGAGCTTTAGTGTCCAGACAGATCTCCTGACCGGTGTTCTTTAGCGTCGCTCTGAGGACCAAACAGGAGGGTAAACGTCACACAGAGTGAAACTTTATGCTCTGCAGCTTTATAATAATAATAATAATAATGATAATAATAATAATAATAATAAGAATAATAATGACGACGATAATAATAATAATAATAATAATAATAATAATAATAAAGCACTGTTTAATAGATCTGATAACTCACATGATCTCTGTCTCTTTGCAGTGGGGGTTCGGGGGAAAGAGCTCCACGCTCTCTATCAGTTTGCCGATCCGTCTGCTCTCGGTTCCACTGCAGCGGCACCGGGGTTCCACGCCCAGACCAGGTAGACTCATACCTGGAACACCAGCCAATCAGCTTCATCAATTTCAGGCCCGGTCATCATCATCATCATCATCATCACCATCATCAGTATCATAAACTGTCCATATACAGAAACTCAACTACACAAACAGCCTGTTTTAAAATCATCAGAGCTGCAGCCAATCAGAACAGAGCTCATTTACATGTCTCAGTCTCAGTAACGGTGTTGAAGTGTGAGATACTGTAAATTATTATGTAGAAATAAATTCTGACTGTTTTAGGTCTATTAAACTTCACAAACGTTACAATTAATCTTATGTTTAATGATTCTGACAGTGACCCTCATCTCACAGTAGCACTGTCTGTGTGAAAGGTCAGAAGTCACATCTACTAAATACACTAAACAAAATGCACACGCCTCCTCTAAAAATTCATCAGCAGTAACTCACTAGAAATTAGAAACGCATCATAAATCACACACTTGTTTGTTTAAAGTGACCTTCAGTCTGTAAAAAGTGTTCAATAATTAAAACATGATTATTATCACTAGTACTAGTAGTGATACTACATGCTGCATGTTCATTAGCGTCAGTGGTGAAGTGTGTGTCTCAGTGGAGCTCACCTTCGGTCAGAGTGAAGACGGCCAAAAGTAAACACACCCCCACGATTCTGCTGTTCATCCTGATGGAAACTCTGGAGACACTGGAGATGATGAAGATAGTAAAGCTGGTGGAGTCGGAGTGAGGACTCTGCAGTGTCTGGAGTTTCAGCTGCTGCTGTTAGCGCTGTGAGCTGCTGTGAGCTGCTGTGTCCCTATTTAAGTGCTCCAAGCTCTGGCTCTGAGTCAGAGGGAGTTTCGTAACACTGGGAAACTCTTAGCTGAACTCACAACAGATCTTCAGGATCAAACCTATAGAAAGTGACTTGAGCGCTGAGATCAGCTGGAATTTCACCTCCGGATTACAGAGAGATTACGGCACATTTCCTGCTTTTACTTCCTCTTCGCAAATATTCAGACTCATGTCCTGCCTCATCAAACATCTAATCAGGAATTTATTGCAGTAATAAACCCATTAAAATTCCATACACGAATTTATTTGAACGATCCTCACGGCTGTTGTTATCAGCACGTACATCATCAGTCATTCGAACGCAAACTACTGTCAAAACTGTCAACATAAAACAATAACTAAAGTATGATTAATCATAATTGGGACTGTTTATTGCGCAGAATCCAATCCAGAAGTCATGCGCCACTAGAGAGCCAAACCACAAGCAGGAAGAGAAAGCTTAACAGCTGCCACAGCATGCATAGAAAGCAGAGTGTGTGTTTGGACAAGTGTGTGCAGGTATGGGGTTGTGTGGGTGTGGTGGGGAGAGTCCCTCCAGGTTAATGTTCACAATAAGGAAGCAGAACTGATCCTTATCTGATCAGAAGTGAGAGCAGAGGAACATTCAGAAACAAATTGTAGGACCTGCTCGAATGTTACTGTTCATACATGAAACATCAGAGTGAACAGTTCAGTTTAATTCAGTTTGATTTAGTTTAATTCAGTTCAGTTTAGTTCAGTACAATGTATTCTATTCTGTTTAATGTAGTTCAGTTTAATTGAGTTCAGTTTTAATTCAAAATTTAATAATAAACACTTTTTACACACACATTTGCAGATACACAGACAAATAGACTCATAAATATATAGATAAATATTTAGAAAGATAGACAGACAGACAGACAGACAGAGAGAGGGCTTGCGGTCTCAGTCTGCTGATGTTTGTGTGATTTGAAATGTTTCATTTTTACTCTCACTTCTGTGTGTGTCAGTAAATCTATTGCTTTCTCTTCTTTACACACTCTTTCTGATTCTAGGAAACCATCAATACCGTTCACCGCTGATCCGATACCCATACTGTTCACTACTGATGAGACATCAACAGCATTGATATGGTCAATACTGATCCCAAATCAATACCATTTACTACTTATCCAATATCAATATCATTCACAGCTGATATAATATTAATATCATTCACAGCTGATATTAATATTAATATCATTCACAGCTGATATAATATTAATATCATTCACAGCTGATATAATATCAATATCGTTCAGAGCTGATATAATATCAATATCATTCACAGTTGATATAATATCAATATCGTTCAGAGCTGATATAATATCAATATCATTCACAGCTGATATAATATCAATATCATTCACAGCTGATATAATATTAATATCATTCACTGCTGATATAATATCAATATCATTCACAGCTGATATAATATCAATATCATTCACAGCTGATATAATATTAATATCATTCACTGCTGATATAATATTAATATCATTCACTGCTGATATAATATCAGTATCATTCAGAGCTGATATAATATCAATATCATTCACAGCTGATATAATATTAATATCATTCACAGCTGATATTTATTCCCATCATATGTCCAATATTAATACCAATCACTACTTATCTTGTATCAATACTGCTCAGTACTGATGGTTCAATATCAAGTATATTGGCTGATAGCCTAGCATATATAAGGATAGCAGTCTGAGGTAGCAACCAGAACAGCAGCAACGGAATATATTTGGTTGTATATTTGTAGTATTTTAGCAGCCGATATCACAAAAAAAAATAAAATGCGCAAAAATGCAAGTAGTCAGATATTAAGTGAAGTATTTCAGTGTGAAATACAAGAACACCGTTTATTACTGATTTAATATCAATACTGTTTCCACCAGCTGAGCTGAGAGATGTAACTTTGCAGTGAGCAGCTCAGTGAAGAAGTCTGGACGCTTTAACGCTCCAGCAGGTCAGTAAGATCTCCAGGAGCTCCGACAGTATAAGAGCTATTAATGTCATAAACGGGACTTTAAAATGATAAATGATAATCTAGCATCCGGTGTTACACAAACATCTTTAACTGTTGCTTTCAGTTTCACTGAGAACACTTTAACAGATAAAATCTATAACTTTTTTCCAGCGGACTTTGGTCCCAACAGTAATACTTCAGGAGGAACTTCCTGATCGTCTAGACACAAAGGACCTGTCAAACTGAAAATCAAAGCTCTTTACTGTCATGTTACACAATACATTCACATATCGCTGCTGTCGGAACAAAACCTCATATCTCTACTTTTGTTTTTCAGGTTTTGACATAATTTGAAACTATCCATTGTTTTTTACATTGTGTGTAAATTTCATGATGCCCAATAGAAATGACACAAAATTACTCAGGAAAAGGTCCTCCTGTAAAGTTCGCATTTTGGAGATACAAGGTTTTGTTACAACCATATGGTTGTGTATATATATATATATATATATATATATATATATATATATATACAGACATATTGACATATCACGGTAAAAACAGTATGGTTGACCCGATAAACAGTCAGCAGAGCAACAGACTGTGAGTGATG